CAATACGTATCTATTATATTAAAATTACATTCCAAACATTCATTTGTAATGTACTGGATTTGTCTGCCCCTTACTGGGGAAGAGTATTTTATTTTTTATTATAATACTTTCTTACTCTCTTCAACATACACTAGCATGTCATGTCGTTATTTGTGGACTGACCGTCTTAAACCTGGTGCTATACGGTGCTGTATACAGTAGTATAGAGGTTTGATTTGTCTAAATGTTTATTGTAACCCCCATAACTGCCTCATAATGAAACATTACAACAAACTTCACACACCAAAGCAGAATGATAAGACAGTTACCCTCTTTTGTGACCTAGATGGGTAAAAGGTTTGAGATTATTGCCAAAGGAAGATTTGATCTTGAAGTCTTGTTTTCTAACCAAGCTGGGACTGGCTGACTTACATATAGTCAACGAGTCTCTGAGTGAAAACTAGGTCTCAGGGAACCAAAACCTGTGACTGGACATCTAAAAATGTATAAACATGAAAATCTGATAAGTAGGTAGTCTCTACCACACAGGATACCTTGAGAGGTAAAACTGCCATGTCAGCACACATGCTCCTCAATTCAGTTTTGTTCTGGCTCAGCTACAAAACAACAAAGTATGATCAACCACATCAGTTCCAGTCCCTCAGCCACACCTACTGGGAAGGAGGAGGGATTGTGTCACCTGATCCTGAGTCAGTTGAGAGGATTCCAGGCTAACTCCTTTCTTTCTAAAATAGTGACAATCTCAGGCAATTCAATTATACATATAGTAGTACTGTACATCACTTTACTAAACTATTTCTTGCACACGACAGTCCAGAACTGTGGACATAATGGTAGAAAGGTTTTGCCACCCCCTCCACCTCGAAGTAGTTCTGTAAACTGTACAGTAACTTGAAAGTTAACCAAGGGGAAAAACACTTACTTTAACTAAAATCTTGGTTGCCAAAGCTCCTCCACACCAATTCCACAAAGCTATTTTAAACTGAAAGTTAGAATCACTCTCCAGGGCAAGAGACAACCACTAGAGGGAAAAAAGAGAGAGAAATTAAATACAGCATCTGTCACTATCCATGACTTCTTGGTACTGAATTAAGTTTTGTTTGAAAGCTTTTAATTTTCAAGTCACGTAAACTTTTATATCTTCAGTCACAAGTTTTCAGTCCCTGAAGACCTGCCCCCTCCCCCCCACAACACACACACACCTGTGGCCTGTACAGGAGTTACCCCAAGAGCAGCACATAGGTTAGAAATTACTGTAGTGTTTTCCTATTGCCGTTTCTTGATATTTTGGCCAACTCAAATATACCTTCACACAGAACTACTCTTACTCACTCATGAAGACAATTTTCTAGGTGTTACAGGGGGTCAAAGATAACAAAGGATCAGGGTGGAGAGGTGATACGTAATGCATCTGCTTGAGATTGACAATGTTTCAATTATAAAAATACAATACAATAAGCTTTTGTCTTGGCTGTCCATCGAGGCATTTTAAAAATATATAAATTTCACCTACTTTATTCTTTGAGTAAGTTTTCACAATACTGTAATACTCCCTGATGGTCCCTTACATTATTTTAATCTCTTATTTAAAGCATTCTACATATCTTCCAGTCCTTACAATTTCATTGCTTTGTTTTCCTATTATTTACCATGTACAGTCAACCCTCGCTTTACGCGGTCCCACATTCCGCGTTTCCACGTTTACGCGGTACCCTGCCGAAACAGGAATGCTCACATTCCGCGGTGCGTGTACCCCTTTACGCGGAGAGCGGCTGGCGAGCCGCGCCATTTTTGGATCCAAACCTCCCGCCATGTTGTGTAAGCGGCACGAGCATGGTGCGCACAAGGTTGCCCAGTCATCAAAACATTACCGAGTTCTTCACCCGCCACCCACCACAGCCGGTCCAAATCAGTGATAGTGATAGTGATAATTATAGTGAGGATATGGACTTATATGGACTTTGAGGGGTTTGACAAAGAGGCCCTGCAAGCCTCTGTGGTGGATAGTGATACAATTGATACAAGTGATACAAGTGAGGGCCAATAATCTGCCCTCTGCCTCGGAACCAACCGCCCATCCCCGTGTGCCCAGCCATCTTTTCTACTAATGTAAGTGTTAAAAAACCTAATATTATTGATATTTCTCTTAATTATTAATTGTGTGTGCATACCATCATAAAGTTAAGATAATATTTTTACTACAACATTGTTGTGTGTCGTCAAAAAGTGGAGTTTGGGGGTTGGCCCGGTCTCTATTTCAATTAATCCCATATGTTATGTTGTTCACTTTAAGCGTTTCGCACTTTCCGCGGTACCCTGTGGGTTGAATTAACCGCGTAAAGTGAGGGTTGACTGTACTACACTTCCTAGCATCTAAAGTTTTGCCGTCACATTAATTAAAGAGTTAACACTAAACAGTACTTATTATTTTCACATATTCATATATCTCAAGGCAAAACTATGATGGATGCTTCACCTACTTATCTGAAATCAAGAAGTGTTGGTATATGTCACTTGATGGTGTGAAGGCAGGTACAGTACTGGGCCAAATGTTTAAACAACTGTACAGTATAGGTATGATGTGTCAACCTTCTCTGATTGTAGGTAAGATTATAGGGAGAAAACCAAACTGATTAACTAAGTTTGATGAGTCTCTTTCGTGTGTTCTCTATGTACTGCAACCCATATATAACTACAGTACTGTTATACATTTATTAATTCCCATTTAAGTGAATAACATCAGCAAGAATTATCTAGTTCCAAATATGTGTGGAGAAGGTATGGTTGTAAGGCGAGGTTGGAAGCCATGTTGTTATTATTATTATTATTGTCTAGTTGGGAGCAATAAAAGTAATTCTTATGAATCAAGAACAATAAATAACTTATTGTTCAAGCACAGTACTGTGATATGTATAATTTTTCCAAGTATAGTCTTACATAACTTTTCAGACATTTAACAAAGAAAGTCAGATTATTGTAATACCTGTAAGTAATACGGTATTGCAGCAAATTAGTATAACACAAAAACTACTTGTTGTATTATATATTGATAGTTAAATACAGTTAATATAATAACTTGCCAAAAAAAAATTTAAATTAATTTCACAAAAAAAAATGGGAGAAAAATAATGATGACAGAGATTAATAATTTGTTCTATTATCATATAACTATACAGTTAAGTCTCATTATAGTGCTGTAAGAAAGTGTGGCCCTCCATCACTACTGTTGAACATTTTCATCACACACACACACACATGTAGTAATACTTCCCGCACCAAATGAATATTTTTGATACTCACTGCTGCTTGGTTAGAACATGCCAGCAGCATACTACTGGTCAACAGTTCAGTTGTTTATGCTTCATCCACCTTGTGACTACACCAAGCTAATCACTACATATCAAGAAGTTTTCTTTCAAGAAATCTTCCAAGCCATCAGACATGATTGATGTGTCCCACTCAGGACTACCCTGTACTTCTAAGACCTTAAGGTGAAGAATACTGAGCAAAAGAAATTCATTCATTATAAGTTCAGTACAGTGCAGTATTCTATACAGTCCAGTACTGTACTATGGTAGGGTAAGACACAGACATCTCTTTTGACATCTTCATTCGAATAACACAGTATTTCCCTCCCTTCCAACATACATTATGTATATGTGTGTGTATATATATATATATATATATATATATATATATATATATATATATATATATATATATATATATATATATATATATATATATATAATATATATATATATATATATATATATATATATATATATATATATATATATATATATATATATATATATATATATATATATATATATATATATATATGTGTGGTACTTTATACTGTATTATCATATACAGTACATAATACAGCACTGTATTTCAAATGAAATTCATTCACAACAAAGATTGTACATTATAAGAAACATTGTAAGCTTACAGTGTAAATACTAAGACTTAAAACTTGCCAAGCAATGTAAACATTTTAGTGGATGATTCTAACCTCCACAGCTGCCTTGGTCTTACTCACCCAATATAGGCTGTGGTGAAGCACAAGTTAACACATAGTGAAACAGTGTACAAACAATATGAAGAAATAATCGAGTGTAGGCCACACTAAATGCTCTGCATAGTCAGACATAGAAGTAGGTGGAAGTGGTGGCAGCAGCAGCATCACTGTTGTCAATTTGGTGGTTTATTACCAGCTCTGGAGATGCATTATTTCCTTTAGGGTCAGTTTGTGCTTAGCAACATGGAATATATTCAGAAATGTTCACAAATTCATCCATATCGTGAAACAATTGTGGCAGCTCGATATTTCCTGGCATCTCTTAAGAATTCTAGTCACGTTATTTATTGTGATTTAACAACACTGGCCTCAATCTGCTTGCATGAGCTGACTAATGTTAACAACCAAAGAAAAATAATGGTTTAATTTATAAGGCATCGCTTGCTTAATAACTTTCAGCAAGTCTGTGAGACATTTATACATACATGTCTGAACAACAGTACAGAATCCATGAGGTTCTGGATAGTTACTGTCTTATTTTTCTTTTTCATGCTTACCCTGTCTGTCTGTGTGTGTGTGTATGATTTTCTGTAGGGTTAGAAGTGACCTCCCTCTTTCCCCAATTAATACACAGATCATTTTAGTTCAAATCACTTAGAGTGGCACATCCCAAGAACATACTACATACCACACTATAATGAGAATTTACTATATTAAGTTTACTATAACGGATGTAATGACGGGACTTTATTCTATCCCTATTCTCTTATATGATTTTTATAAGTGTATAATTTTTTAAAAGGAATGCTTCTTATTAAAACTAAAATTTAAAGTACATTTAGTACTTAGAAACAAAAGTACTGGGTATACACAAATGAACTACTGTAGTTAAAATTGACGACTAACCCGCCGACGGGTTACTTGTTTTGATGTTTCTTTTCTTACTATATTTTTATCAGAGAGTTCTGATATGATAAAAATTTCTTGTGCAAATCCTTTGTTTGGTAGATAATTAGTGCCTAGGTGAACACTACTTTGTCCTCTCGGCAGTAATGCGGCGGTGACATCTCATCCCCGTATGTAAACGGCTAATCATATTGAAGTATTTCAAAACACTCCTCTGTGCCGTGTTCCGATCAAGGCCTATGCTCAGTCTACTTTACTTTATAAGACTCACCGGTTGGGTGGCTGCTCTCACGTCCACAAAATATGGGGTGTGGGGCTCCAAGTTAGGTAGGTTTCTTTGGTTAGGTTGGTGAGATCTTCTAGCATTGCTTCTGCCACTCGTTTTTCTTATCAACTAAGGATAGGTTAGATAAAAATTATAAATGACTACTTTTTAACACATTTGCACAAACTATGAGTGTCCACTACAAAACAAAGTGAAATTGCAGCATTTTTATAATCGTTTACTATGAAAAATCGCCAGCGAGTCAGTCATCAATAATTACCAAAAAATTTAAGCTTCAAATACCCTGGGTGGTATTTGTTGATATGAGCATAAAGCAAGTATTGGTAGCCGTGTGCAAAAGCTTAAATACAGTAAACTTCATTTCAATATACAGTACAGTACAGGAGGAGGGAGGGGGGAGGGTTACTTGTAAACCAGCATTATGGGCAACTTTAGTTACCCCACCAGTAGCTCCATCCTCTGAAGCAGGTGAAAAAGTCCAATTCTTGTATTTATTTTCTTACACATTAATTAAATGTCAATGTTTCAGAATATCACTTGGTTATTTCCATCAATTCAAATGTCTACAGAGCCATCACCATCAACATCTTCTCCCATGGATCACCAGGTGTCTGGCTCTTACTTTCCAGGAAAATGCCTCACACTTGCATGTCATTCCACTCCATTCTTTAATGATCTTCCTTCATTCTGCTCTGTTTCTTCCTTCCTGTTTCTCACCTTATAGTACAGTTTGTTCAACATGTGAAAATGTTCTACTTCTTGAGGTACAGTACCAATAGATACAGTATCACTTTCTTGTAACATTTGCCATTTGTAGGATTCTCAAGTATGATATCGGGTAGTTTCCTGCCACATTTCAAAAACTTCCAATTTTCTGACTTTCTTCACTTAACATTTGAGCCACACAGTAGAGTTGACCACATGTAGTATAGTACTTCATCAAAACTAAAATCCTTCTTAAATTACCGGTATGTCATGACATGACATCACACAATACCCTAAAAGTCCATTAAATTAATGGAAAATGAGAAAAAGCCAGCAGCATTACAGCATCTGAACTCCATCAATATTTACTAATTTAGAAAGTTCACTTTTACCACAGTCATTTTTCTCATCAGCATTACCCCATTCACCTAAATCGCCAGCCATCACATCCTTCCACCTGTTGGCTTCAGCCTCTTCTCTCTGGAAGATAATGATACATTTTACTCAAGACTACATTACTTTAATCTTGAGATTAGTAGAATCTTTCACACCTTAAATCCCTGTACAGTACTACTTCAGTTCTGAAGATTGAAAATTTCACAACACAACAAAGGGTATACTGTACTGTAAACAAACATATCAGTGACAGAAAAAAGGCAATGCTTCCCTTTCCTTGGCCACCAAACTCACATCACTGGTCACTTTCTTCTTCCCCCTGTTCCTGCATCTTCATAAGAGGATACACCTTGTAAATTTCATCATTAAATCCTAATTTTCAGTGAGAGCATGACACTGAATAGACAAATTCTGGTGAGGAATAGCAGGGAGAGGGAGAGTATGTCATTACTTGTTATGTATCACTGAGGGTGAACTCACTAGGGGAGCCACAGTATGATAAGGGCAGGGGAACTATGACTGGTGGCAAGGATGGTAGTACTGTAGAACAAGGGGGAGGTGAGGAAGAGGGATACGATAATGTCAGGTCAAGAAACACTAGTTATTGGTCCAGAATCCCCAGGCAGATGCACAATCAGGGTTGTATCTTGTTGGCTGCTGGAAACTGTGACACGACAAATGATAGTGCATGATAACATCACAGGTGTTGTCCTGTCATTAACATGTAAAAAAAACCCGGCAGATGCAGAAAACTCACAAACAGTAAATCCAAAAAGCAGCCCTTTCCTTTTAAACCAAGGAGATTTCATGGCCTTGCACTACTGGAGTACAGAGGTGGAGTCCATGGCCACCTTAGTTAAGCCTTCCCTACCTTACACTAGTGAGGAACCTTGCCCTTTATACTCTGCCTAGCTGAAAACCGCAACACCTCTGCTCTGTCAAGGTTACTCAAAATTACCCTGGTTATCTTGACAAACTGCATCCCTACATGAATTGAGCATCCATTAAATCCAGATAACAATTGTGAATCAACTTCTATAGAACACATCTCAAAGGGTTCCTGGTATAGGTTCATGAAGATCCTTAGAGATCAGCCCCAATCTAAATGGGAAGACTTGAAACTACAAGCATTCTGTACTCAAGTCAAGGACAGGTTATGTACTGTATCTACAAACACCTTTCAAATCAATGGACGTAGAATATTTCCTACCCTAAAGCTCATCTTTACTTGCATTATTGTCATTCAAAATATTTGATTATGAGGAGAATATCAAGTCTTTTATTTAATCTACAAAAGCTGGATCAAGACCATAATGAGCTGCAGTATGCAGAAACATCATCCATGCTCAGGTCTATGTGCAATGACTTCAGAAATGTATCTTAATTCAATATGAATTATAGATCTTAAATTCAACCAATAATTGTTTAGTACAACAAGGATATGGAAATTTTTTCTCTTAGACTATAATCCCACATTCTCATGGCAGTGATGCAATAATATTGAAATATTGTCAGCCATAATGCAAAGAGAATGAGTTAATGTACTTACTGCTCTGTCTTGTCTGGCAAACTTATCAAACATGCCTCCATAAAGCTCCTTCTCTTTCATCTTATCTGCCTTGATTTGGGCAGCACACCGCTGTAACTGTTGCTTAGTAGCTTTATTAGTTTGATCTAGGTCAAGGCAAGCTTGAAAATCCATTTGAGCTTGTTCTGCTTCACCCATGTTTAGATTGGCCTGGTAGGAAATAATATATATAAACAATTACGTGTTCAATAATAAACTGGAAACACTATTAATCTTACTCATGATAAGTCTCTCACTACGTCTAATCCCCTGTATAGTATTGTACTGTAAACACTCATCTTTGAATCTGAATTTCCAGGATCAATAACTGGTACATGTACAATTCTTCAACATACAGTACATAGCTTGTGAGAGCATCACCAGACACCTACCTCAGCAAGGATGTGGAACCTGACATTGCTGATATGACTTCCTAGGTGATTCTGTCTTTGAAAACCCAACTGTACTGAACAGTGTCGATCAGGAAACAGCTTAGCAATCACTGATTTAGTTTTATTCACAGGGAATTACAGTTCAATTTGATCTGCTTCTGTCAAGAATGTAAGCTATATTAACAAGTAAATAATACAGTAAAAGAACTCCCGCCCAAAAACATACATTATTTTTAATGTCCGCACATTTTAGATTATTGCCAAAATGGCAAGATTTCCAGATACAAACCCTTCATAACATTCCAGTTTGTTTCAATATATTTCTAGTACTTTTTTGGGTAAACTGCATCTTTTCATACAGTCATAGTTCTAACTGAATCCTTTGCATTAATTATTCTTACTATACATAAACCCGTATTGTACCCCGAACACTACATTACATTGACACACCTCAGTTCAAAATCTTTAGAGAATGGTTTCCAACATATACAATTCTCACAGATGATTCAAGAGCTTGGACTATGATATCCACTTGTAAAGGGAACTTACCTGGCCTCTTCTAAAATAAGCTTTAACATTCTTGTTATCCAACTCAAGAGCCTTAGTGGAATGCTCTCTTGCACGAGGATTGTCATTCAATTTCAGATAAGCCATAGCAAGATTCAAATATCCAGCCAAAAGAAGCATGTGACTTTCAGCTTTTTTTTCATCATCCAATCCTGAAACACGAAATGCATATACGTATAGTTTAGCATCTTGTGTGATAATACTGTATTCAATATTCATAAATAACTACAGGTACAATATACAGTACATTTAATAATAAAGAACTGAGACTTGAATTCTCATTTTATGACTAACAGGGGAGTAAAGGGTTGTAGGTTTTAGAGCTCACCAACCCTTATGATATGGACTAACTTGACAAACTTTAAAAATAATAACTAGCAGTTCCTTTTTTCTTATTGGGCAAGTAAAGCGTGTGTATGAGTATATTGGTAGGAGAAAGTACAGTAAGTTTTTGTTAAGATGTGTAATGCTGTGATGGTTATTAAATATTTTTATAGACAGGGTACTGACAAGTTAAAGGAGAAGAGTTCAAGTTTGGTAATAAGAATCAATCAATCAATCAGAGTACCATCCTTATATCTGAGGGTTGGCGACCACAGGAGGCAGACAAGTCAACTACTGTTTACAGATGATACAACATTTGTGGGCGATACAGAAGAAGAAATATTAATAATGTTAGTGATTGAGTTTGGAAGTGTGAGTACTGTACTATGACAAAGGTAACAGTGAATATAACAAAAGTAAAATGATGAAAATAGGTAGGAGGAGACAGTGAAAAATAAATGGCAAGAAAATTATGGATGTTTCTCACATATAAAGAAGAAAAGAACACGATCCAGCCTCCTTCACTCTGGTTCTCCCCACTACTACTGAGTGTATCAATATCACCAATCAGATATTCACTTTCCTATCGTCTCTTCTGACAGGTAACACTACTTACTGTACAGACAGTACACTGCATGTGTCAATTACATGTTTGTTGCTGGGTAGTGACAAGTCAAGGATATAAAATTATAGTGTACATTCAAGAGCCTGGCACAGTAAAGGCATCAGCTCTGCAGTGTTCACATTGGTTTGTGATGTTCTGTTGCTGTTGGGTTAAATCTGTCTGCTAGATGTAGGTCACATTTTGTTCAATCCCAATTCTCTTCTTCTTGAAGAAAACTTCTCTTGTTACCTTATTACTATAATATTTTGAAAGCTTGATACACCTGTACCTTCTCACACCTCACACTCACCATTATCATACTGGAGAAGATCAATTATTTTCTTGTACTGCTTTACTGCTAGTCGATATTTATCTTCCTTGAAGAAAGTGGTTCCTCTATCTTTGCATGCCTTGGCCTGATCAATTTTCTCTTCTTGGTCCATTTCCCAAGATTCTTTTGCCTTTTCAAAATTCCGCAATTCGACCTCATATTCCAGAGAGGCACCAGGTGGAACACCAATGATGACATTCCCTGCAGATCCAAATGCATACTGTGGATAAAAGTGTGATATGCCAACCATTACAATAACTTCCATATACTGTACTGTACTATTATTTTATTTGTGTCTAATTATAGAACCTTTTTCTTTCATACAGTACAATAATGGTCATGTTATTCTTTTAAAACAGCTTGGTTATTTACTGTTCTCATACATTATCATCCCAGCATAATGTTCAGAAAACATCTCCCTCTCCTACAATCCTCCTTAATTGTTCTTTACACTTTACTTTCAACTCATTCACACAGAATTAGCCAGATAGCTATCCAGCCATCACATGAATAGCTATACTGTATATCAATACAGCCTCTCTACACACCACATGTTCACTGAAGTCAGTACAGGTGATCGTCTACTTACAGTACAAACCTGGACTGTACTGTAATGCCTACAAATTTAATATAAGCACTTTATACTTAAAATACTGCTAAAGGCTTATCAGATGTGATGTACTGTACTGTATATCATTACATACTGGTGGCCATATAACACGTATCTACGACTAACAGCCAGGAACCCACACTGCAGTCCTTCCAATCTTACCACTGTACTGGATTTCTGGCAATGAAGTTCAGGATATTAACGGAGAAGGTTTTCATAAAAAGGAGAGGAAGGATGGGTGAGGAAACTAACAGTACAACAAGTTACCTTTGGTGAAAGTTTGATGGTTGACTTCTCCCCCTTCTTAAATCTCTCTAGTGCTCTCTCTAGGCCTTCTGGAATATTGTGCTCTGTTCCTTCACCAAGAGGGAATTTCACTTCTCTGTTGTCAAATATAGTACCATTTACTTTACCAAGAACACAAACTGCAATCATAAAAAAGAAAAGAAGTTAAGACTATCTATGACATATATATTGAATAGGATCATTATTAAATTAGCTTTCAAGGATAAACCCATCCCCAAAGACAAACCATAAAATATGCATTAACCCTTTGGCTGTGGCTTATGGTCTTAAGTTAATTTATCATTCACCATATACACAATAACAAAAAAAAAATGAAAGTTCTTAAAAAATAAAGATATGCATGCAGGCTAATGGGAAACATAAGACTAAGTTTGGTTTAGGTTTAGGTGTGGTGAAGAGGTCCTGTACCACATGAAGTGATGGTTCTGGGTCACTGGGAGATGGAGATGGACATACTTTCCCCCTGATGTCTGTGTGTGTAGCTAGGAGTCAGGGGGACCCAGAAGCCTATGAAACACAGTCTTAAATGCATCACTTGGTGAGCACTTTCTATAAATGATGCTAAAATCTTAGCAGCCTGCTGGCCTATCACAGCGTCTACTGGTTTTACACAGCAAAAGGGTTATGCTCATAAAAAGAACAGAGCCAATACCCTCTGGTTCTTTGAGGATGCCAGAGTAATAATGACAATTCACACAAACTACCAAAATTCCAATAAAAATTGAAGTCACAAATCATTTCAAAAGCATAATTGGGGCACAGATGATCTTAACCTCCTAAAGATATATAATGACACTAAGCTTTATATAATACCAACTATAATATTTACCACACCAAACTAATAAACTTACCATCAACAATTGCACCATCATTGGGGGTCAGGTAGCCTTCCCCTGCAACAATATTTCTACGTATAATACCACCGTCTTTTTTAGAGCTGAGATCTTCACCATGCCACTCATACAACTCAACCTAGCAAGGAAAAAAACAAGACATAAATCCTGTAAAACACTCTAGATGTCGTGTGTGTGTGTGTGTGTGTGTGTGTGTGTGTGTGAGTGATGCCATGTTCTAAGACATTTCATCACCAGTTCAGTATAAATCTAACCATGGCTCCAATGCCTCCAAAATAAATATATTAATGTCTAAATTGAAGAAATATAATCCAGTATTCAACAGACCAGTGACTTAATGTCCGCCCACCACGATAACATAAACATTTCAGTTGCTAAGAAGAATACAGTACGTGATTGGCTGTTTAATTCATGTATTCTTGTCCATTACTTTCCTAGATTTTTCATATTTTTAAACTTAATTCATTAACATCAATTTCTATTTAACATGTGAATATCTTTTCATGTTTTCATATTTTAAACTTTAACAATGTTTGTACAGGGGAATGTTTATATAAAAATACGGTACACGTTTTACAATTATATTTTTTCCACTACAGTACATCCACCGCTTCTTCCAAACTATTTCTAATTTTCCTTGTAGAAACAGTCAAAGTTTAAACGATAATAACAGCCAAAGAAATTTTCAAATGTTAAAGAAATAAAGGAGTGATCAAGGAACCAGGCAACTACTGTATTGTATAGATATAAAAACTGTAAAAAAGAAAAAAAAAAAAGATTGAGAGATATTTAGGAAAAGATCAATCAACAATGGATGGTACTGTTCAAGTATGAGAATGTGTGCATGGCTAAACATAACTGTAGTGTAAATAAGACGATAAGAAAAACACTTCAATGGAATTACCGGTAAATCTTCTTCATAATATATCTCTATGCTAATCATATACAGTATAGTGTATCAATAATCAGCGGACTATTATATCACCTCACCTCAAACACCAACGTAGCATTGGGCGGTATCTTGGGTGGACTGCCTCGCTCCCCATAAGCATATTCACTTTTACAAGTCAAACTGGCTATCTCCCCTTTCTTCATACTTGCCACACCCAAATCCCAAGCCTTGATAACTTCACCTGTTAAAAAAATAATTCCATCTGTTTAAAAAGACAAATCACAAGAAAATATAAAATTAATTCTGGTTACTGTATGAGTCAATGGGAGATCATTTACCTCACATACAAAGGGTTCTGGGTATGAATTTCAGCCAGAGTAGAGAACAATGTTCATTACTAGTAAACTCGGCCTTGTTCAGTCACCAATAAAATACTGTAAGTAGATAATTATGTGGCATCTACCTCCCACAGGTGTAAGAACCCTTTATTGTATGAGCATTTAACATGATGGCATAATCCACCAGCTGCTGCCCCAAACACCACACATTCATAGTGAGACCCAGGTGGCACATGAGGTATGGCTCCTATACCACTAATGATGTGCTGTAGTTGATGGGGCTCAAGCTTCTTAACAAACATGTCGAAAAAATTAGTTTGGCTGAAGAGTAGTCAATTATCTTAACATTTATTGAGTGATTACTCTTATCTACAGACTAGATTGTATTAAAGGTACAGCACTGTTATCAAACTGCAGAATGTTACAAATTACAAGACTATAAACTGAAACACAGAACAAGAGGGAAGAGATCTTTACAGTGGTCACTGATAGTGCATGGCAGGCATGACCCCATGATCTGTTCCACAGTGTATACTGTATACAGTACAGTACAGGTATGGCAATACTGCACTGTACAGCACCTGGATTACACCTCACATCAGAATTATATTATCTCCTGTTTTTTACACAATACAACACAGCATCAGTAAAGGGGACACCTGGTGAGAATACACCTGTACAGCACTACTATTGTTCCTATGCAATAATGTGTACAGTACTGTATTATGTGTTATTTCTTTAACAATACTTCTTTATTGTGTCTTTTATCATTAGAAAAATGTCCACCATTTTATGTCCCTGAAAAACAGGATACAAAAAATGTTACTAACCAGATTGAATAATGTATGTACTGTACTGTATCAGTGTCCAGGTGCACCTCTACATGGAGTACAGTACTGTACTGTATTGTATTCAATAAGGTTTAAGTGTACAATACAGAGGCAATATCACTAGGAGAGAAGTACAGCATAATAAAGTCCAATCGTATACATATATTTTGAGAACTCTGATATTATGAGTGAAGAGAGAATTTATATAAAAATGTCCTGAGTCATAATGATACAACACATGTTTACATTATGTCCACACTTTTTGAGTTAGGGGACAGATTATGTTTATTTTTTTATTATTTTTAAGTCTCTGCAAGTTAGCATTACAAGAACATAGGTAAAATAAATAAATAAATAATCTTCATATCCTATCTGACACCTGCTGCCTCTCTTTTCAAGAATAAGGTAAGGTGATTAATCTAAATTCTGATATACCATAAGATGTCTACATGAATCAATTTTACCAACACAAAAGATTATTTCCTACCTTTCCCGAGGGTGAATTCAAAACGTTCCCCTCTGTCCCGACTAGAGTCAAATTTTGTTCCATCTTCCTCAAGTGTTCCTATATAGTGGACAGATACACGATCACCTTGCAAGGGCCCTGCTTCACTGTCCCCTGGGTGTATAATCTGTGGTAATCAAACAAGACAATCATACATAACATACCTTAAGTTGTCATGAATATAACATGCTAATACCTACTTCACATCATTTCAATCTTATGTATGATTCTTTTACTTAACACTGTCAGATGTACCATATACTGTACTACCTACAAAATTAAAATCTACAAGTACTATACTGTATTGTACTCAAGGGGCGGATCCAGTGAGGGATGCTGGAGGTCCGGACCCCCCCCCCTTTCATCAGAAAATTCAAATACCTTTCCTTTAATGCAGTATTGTACTCAGGCATTTTGTCTAGTAAAAAGTAATTACTATTGACCTCAGAATATCTCCAAATATCAAGTGTGCATGGCTTCAAAATGGCCTGAAAATGCCCCATGATACTGGTCAGATTTCCAAAAAATTTCTGGGGGGCTCACAGCGTCCCCCCCACAACTCCCCCAGCTGGGTGGGCTCGCTGTGCTTGCCATATTCCCCCACCCACAATTTCTTGGATTCCCCCCCCACCCTTGATAGTCCTGGATCTGCCCCTGGTACTGTACTACACTCTCTGAAGATCCTGCTGATATTTGGGTAACCTTCACAAACCTGTAAATTAAATATTAACCCCTTGTGTATAGGATCTCCTCTGAGCTGAATAAAATTGTCTGGCATTAGCCAAATAAAGAAGTGGCATCCCTCTAGTGCAGGGGTTATAAAGCAAACATGAGGATATACAGTCTAAGCTTACTATGCAAGTGAACAACCACAAAGAAATTTTAAAAGTTTATTCACCCTGAGTACTACACCCCTATCTTATAAGAAATAATACCTCAACAAATACATACACAGAATAGTACTACTGTACTGTACTAAGTAACAATTTGGAAAAGGTCAGCCACGGAACTCTACATTGATTTGCATACAGGGAAATGGAGCAAAAGTAAATATGATTACTGTATGTTACTTTAATATACTGTATATAGCATTTTTTTAATTTATCTTTTTTGAGTAGTTTTAAATTTGATTTCACTTTAAAATATGTAATTTTGATCACACAAAGTAGGCAGAGCTTTGAAATAGAGTAAAACTGTGGGCTATATACACACAAAAAATTACATAAACAAACCTAACTACATGTATGACAGAAAACTTGAAAAGTGTAATATTTAAGAACAGGTGACCAGGTTAAGGAGCCGAATGGTGGAGGAAATTATTTTTTGCCAAACAGTAAGATCAAGAACCTAACCTTAACCTACCCAGAGAAACCAGAAGGACCTGATCTAATGGTGTATAAACTTTACCCAACAATACAGAAGAAACAAAGGAACCTAAAGAACCAAAACTAAAATCAAGGACAGAAAAACTAAAAAAATAAAAAATTCTAATAAAAATGCCAAAGACTAACGAACTGTATTAATATTTTCTGCTCTATCTCCCTATATACAATTACAAATCAATTAACAGTTCCATGGGTGACCTTTTCAGAACCTTAACACCGTATTATTTTCATGACCCTTACACTTCTCTCCCTCATGAGCTGTGTTCTCTCTACATTTTCTTTGAACTACTGTTTTTTTTATACTCCTTTGACTTTGTCCTCTAAAGTCACCTCCTTGACATACAGTATTGTCCTCTACACTTACCTTCTTGACTTAACCTCTACCATCACCACCTTCAAGACAACTACAGGCAGTCCTTTATGCTCTTACCTCCAGTTAACTACAACGCCTGCCATTTATACTCACCTCTTTTAAAACACCACCATCTTTGTTTGGAGACAGATCAACTGCATTTGTCTCCAGTTCCTCACCACCCATTGTCACCAGTTTTTAGACCCTGAAAGTCATACATTGTGAGGGAAATGTGGGTAAACAAATGGCATTCGATTAGGTCTCCCTTTGCCCGTCTAGGTACATTGTTACTGCACTGTCTATATTATATACATGCAGTCTATATGTGCTGAATCAATATTAAATTATACAGTAGCTATGACGATTCTACTGAATAAATACACGACCCACTTATCCGTAATACCTAACTTTTCCGTCATTCTAGATATTTACCAGACACACAAAAGTCACACCTTGAACAACACTGGTAACAAAGTGGCCAACCAGAGCCTTACACACACCTCTCTCTCAACCAAGGACTACCTCTATCATGTTGGAGTTTAAGTGTGCACATGTTTCAACTTACAACGAAATTATTACCAAATTAATTCAAGATATGGTTTGGTATTCCCGTTGTTTTAAATTTCTTCTCAAGAAGTGGTAAACAGACCATAGCCTCGGTACTCCGGCAGACTAATGATAACCACCGCTGCACTACGCCTGGCTTTAGCTGTAATGAACCACTAAACAATGCATGTTCATGCTGATTCAGTAATTCATTCTTGTTAAAACAACATTGTTCACAGTTGTCCCGTGTTTATTTACTATAGGGTAAGGCCTATTTACTGCATCGTAGGAGTAAATACCTGTACAGTAATTGGAACAGATGTCTCAAATGAGTTCATAACCTGGAACAGCACCCTGCCCACATTGTCTGGTGATGGACGACAGCAAACATATACTACCTACCTTAAATGTATTTCCCAATAAACAAATGGTGGATACATTTAAAGCACATCTTTCACCAGCACACAATGTGATGTGTCTCTCCACATTGTGAGTGACAGTCCAGTAGACAATGATTGCTAACAGGAGATACAAAACTTGCTACCTAACTCTAATAAATCTTAGTGTGTTATTCCTGATGACTTAATCCAACACTGTTAGACGGTCGTAATGCTCTTTAATGTGATCACTGCACAAAATGTGATTAAATAATAAATCTTATACAGAATATTTCATTGTTATTAGTAAGCATGGTGGTTAGTTCTCACGTCGTCAATATACAATAAACTATGGCGTAAATTGTATGATTACATGACCTGAATGTTATTATAAATGCTGGACAGTCACTATTATACCGAATCAATTTAATATTGTGCTTCAACATATCCCGTCAAGCACCTGTCATACTCGTCACCTCAGAGGAGTGCTAGGCATGGCAGGATTATCCCGTGGCCAGACTCACTGTTACACAAACTGTCGATGACTTATATTCTCCACAGACAAACACCACCAAAAAGTCTTCAAAAGTTCCTATATAAATTACATGCCTATTATAGATAAAGTCGTTAGCGAGATATGTATGACATTGAAGCTCGTCCACCGCAAAGCGTCGATCTCCACACTGTTCCCAGCCCCAGCAGCCAGCGGTGGTCACCCTGCTAACTCTAGCACTCCCCAACCTTATTACTAACATTCCTATTTCATTTTGTAGAAGAAAAAGTCTTAACATCCCCCCAAAAAATATTAATAAAAAAGAGACTATAGTAAGTTTGCATATTTGGTAACCCATTTTTAATAAGGAATTACAAAGGTTCACACCATTTTCCTAAAAATAAAAATCATGGAAATCCATTACAAGTAATTACAAACGCAAGCTTATGTAATATAGTGCAGATTCGAATAACATTACTCCATTCCATGGGTATTATATCACATTAGCTCACATGACGATAAAATGATACATAAGCACTATAATAAGTGTTCATGCCAGCAGGAGGCTACGATGCTAAAATATTTATTAGCACTCGCCAACACGCCATAATATATTCTTAACCTAAAAAAACTAGATCAAGAAGAGAGGCTACTTTACACCAGTTTCTGTCGTACGCAGTCATGAAATGTTTAGTACTGCAATTTCAGCTACCAAGCACTTGAGTGTGGGTAGAGTAGACGCAATGTGATCAGCTCCTCTCCTTCGAGCAAGAGGTCCCAGACAGTGAAATAATCAAGACAATAATGTAAAGAGCATATTACTTTTACTTTTATCTTCTTCGCCAATGATCGGCTCGTTAGCCGCTTGGGCGATCGGTCACGTCTCTGTTACGTACTGTTGGCAAGTACTGGGCATGAACTGGCTCCTGAATGTATCTGTACCTGCCATCACATTTTATCCTCTTCACCATTGATCGGCTCGTTAGCCGCTTGGGCGATCGGTCACGTCTCTGATTACTTTTCCTTTTCTTTTATCATTATATCCATCACACTCGGTGCCATCACAACACTCTCTGGCAGGTTGTTCCAAGAGTTTACAATTGTCACCTCGAAAAAGTTTGCCCTCACAGTTTTCTGGATTTGTGGCTTCTTTAACCTTGAGCTGTGACCCTTGTGGGGCGGGTGTCCGCCAGCTCCAGATAAGTTCACTCAACTGAGTAGTGCCCTCTGAGAAGTTTATAAACTCCAATTAGGTCACCTTTTGCCCGTCTGAAGTATAAGCTAGGAAGTTGCAGGCGTTCCAGTCTCTGGGTAACCAGGGTGCCGTAGTGCAGGCACCAGTTTGGTGGCCCTCCTTCGATATTTTCAATCAACAGAGTCCATTGCATATCTCGGGGATCGGCCGGGATGACAGTACTCCAGACGGGGAAGCACCTTACTTCCGAAGAGCGTTACGACCTTCTTTTAAGATCTATTAGTTTAGTTGCTTGATTCACATTTTTCTCACAATGGCTCGAGAACTTTAGTTTATTGTCAACACACACACAGGCCCTTTTCACATTCGGTCTCCTTTAATGCTGTTTCTTCGTCCCGTTGGGACATGTGATATGCCTCCTTACCGTTGGTACGACCTAGTTACTAGGTCGTACTAACGGTAAGGAGGATGCACCTACTAGGTCCTAGTAGGTGCATCCTTTTACACTTCGTGACATATTAGCAGCCATTTCTTCGACCATTCTTGAAGCTGACAGAGATCCTTCTGTAGCTCATCTCTGTCTGTTTGGTTCCCAATTTCCCTGAATAACTTGATATCGTCCGCAAACATTTGTATGGAGGCGTGCATAGCTTCTGGCATGTCATTTATGAAACAGGAAAACAACAACGGGCCCAGCACACTGCCCTGTGGTATCCCGCTTGTCACAGGAATGCATGACGATTTTGTGCCATTAATCACCATACACTGTTTGCGGTCATGAAGAAGATCTCCGATCCACGCGAGGTTACTTGCCGAATTCCGTACCCTTCCAGTTTAATCCTCAGCCTGTTGAAAACCGTGGCAAATTCCAGATATATATTGTCGATATTATCACTCTGTTCCAGAATTTGAATCCAAACATCCAGCATCTTGATTAATTGTGTCAAGCAGGAGCGTCCCAGCATAAAAGCGTGATGGCAGTCTTTTACAAAGATGTTTCGTAGTAGATGTTCCATCATGGCATCTCTTATAATGCTCTCCAGTAGGACTACTGAATAGAGTGCATGAAGACAAGAGTGGGACATCCTCCGCCTTACTTTACTTTATCGTCTTCGCCACCAATCGGCACGTTAGCCATTAATGCTGTTTCTTCTTCCCGTCGGGACGTGATGTGCCTCCTTACTGTTCGTAAGACCCATAGGTGTATCCTCTTGTATTTCGTGACGTTACTTTGTGACAGCACTGAGTGTGAGCTCTTTCAAGTCTAGATTTGACCAACACTGGCGCAGGTACATGCCAGTACATGCCCAGTACTTGGCAAGAGTGTGTAAGAACATAAGAACATAAGAAGTCTGCAATAGGCCGGTTGGCCTGTGCTTGGCAGCTCCTGTCGAGAGTTACTACCACTCTATCATTCATGAATCTATCTAGCCTCCTTTTGAAACTTTCCAGCGTTCCAGCACTTACTACAAAGTTGCTAAGCTTGTTCCACTCGTCCACCACCCTATTTGTGAGCCAGTTCCTTCCTATCTCCCTCCTAAACCTAAACTTATCCAACTTAAATCAGTTGCTCCGAGTCCTATCCTGTTCGGATACTATAAGAACTTTATCTATATCTCCTTTATTGATTCCTTTCACCCACTTAAATACTTCTATCATATCTCCCCGCACTCTTCGTCTTTCTGGGAAATGCAAGTTTAGTTTCTTTAACCTATCTTGATATGGAAGGTTTTTAAGTCCCGGAATCATTTCGTCATTCTTCGCTGCACCGACTGCAGTGAATTGATATCCATTCAAAAATAAGGGCACCAGAACTGAACCGCATAATCGAGGTGCGGCCTGACTAGCGCAAGATATAGTTGCAATAAGACCTCTGCATCTTATCACTTACAGTTCCAGATATAAAACCTAATACTCTGTTTGCCTTATTTTCTAGGCCGTAGGTCCGGGCTTACAAGTACCCCTAAGTCTCTTTCATAAGTCGACTTCTCTAGGTTGATGCTAACTTTTGCTTTTATTCTCTTCACCACTGATCGGCTCGCTAGCCGCCCGGGCGATCGGTCACGTCTCTGTCACGCACTGTTAGCAATTACTGGGCATGTATACATTGACAGTATTTGTTCTTCCAATATTAAGTACGCTGCACTTGCTGGTGTTGAATTTCTTTTGCCATTTTTCTGACCACTCCTGCAGTTTATTTAAATCCTCCTGTAGTGCATTTGCATCCTGCCCTGAATTAATCTGCCGCCTTATTTTGGTGTCATCCGCAAACTTGCTTATGTCACTGCTGATCCCAGTATCTAGATCGTTTATGTAGATTGTGGACAAGAGTGGGCCCATTACTGACCCCTGGGGAACCCACTGGTTACACAGCTCCACTCAGATTTACGTCCAAGCGGCTAAGAAGCCGATCAGTGATGAAGAGGATAAAGGTAAAAGTAGTCTTTCATTGTGTGTTGGACACATCACTTTTCCTTATAGTGAGTGGTGTAATAATTATGAGATAAATCACCGAGGACCTCGCAGCTCTGTACCAAGAAAACGCCTGTACTTAAGGGGTAACTATATGTTTTGGACGTCTACTTGTTTATTCACTCCTTATTATATATAACACACTGGCTTTCACAGTATATTCACTATCAACGATACATGGGAGATTCTGCAAAAAGATTACACAATAATGTGTGAAATGATTTATTACGTTTGAGAAATTTCACCATCTTTTTCAACAGCTGTTGCAACGATCACATGAGGCAATCTGGACTTCCCTTGACAATATCTAAATAAAATAAACCTTTCATCACGTTTGTTCACTAACTTACAGCGCAACGCAGAGAAATCGATAAGCCTTGCTAGTTGGAGTTGGACTGTGAATACAGACGGGTGGGCCAGTGTGCTGACAGGCCACGCGGTTGTGGCGTCTATGATTGCAGTTCTGCTGCTACGTTGACGACAATAAACCGAACGTAACAAGTAAGACACATTTCTGTGTTATGGTGCAATTGTTCAGTACTCGGTGTTGTGTGCGTATCTAGATTGAAAATGCGCCCATGTGAATTATGTGCCTATATGAAAGTATGTTTTTTAGCAATGTCAGTATCACTATGTATGTAAACGATTGTGTGTATTTGTATTTGTGTGATATGTGATATAAATTTCTGTACACCTACATACGTTCACACGCGTTTTACCTTTATTGCGTGTGTGTGTCCGTCTCTGGTTACGTTGACACACAACTGTTTAGGTCGAGTCCGGGCAAGTGTTGTCACGGTTACACACTACAAGGGAGCCACAGTGTAATAACACGATTAAACTCGCCTACCTTTCCCTATGATTTAACCAGATTAAACCGTGTGCTTCAGACAGATCTTGGGGAAGGAGGAATATAAAGTAATATATCTCACCCTTCTACTTCACATTCCACACCGCCCCGAATCAAACATGAAATCCTATCTTCAATAAGGCACAGATCCCACAGCAAGGTGGCAATATCTGGACTATTTTGTTATTCTCTTAAGCTCCACACACCTTTAATTAAAAAAACTTGACAAGAAACAATTAATATTTAGTTATTGATTTTTTTAGTATTTGATAAATAAAGTTTAAAGAAAAATCAGCATGGAAAACATGACAAATCACTATAATTTGCTAAGTAAATTCAAGGGTATATTAACGCAACACGCGCAGGACATAGTTGATAGCCTGCTGGTGGACGTGGCAGACGAGATGTGTGTCTGCCAATGCTATAAGCTTATAGGCTACCACGCCGGTCTCGCTGTGGAGGCCACCCATGCTCTTCAGTGGGTGTCTCATGCCCTTCTCAACAACTTTCTATCCGATTTCAGTCCACAAGGTAATTACATAGAATTCCTCTTGAAGGATCTGGAGGAACGAGGGAAGGAAATGGTCTTGGAATTCCTGGTGGATGACTTCGTGGGCTTGTTAGTTGAGAAGGTATCGGCGGAGTGCGTGGCCATCATCCTCGTTCTCGTGTTTAATATGCTGAAGGAGAGTCGGCCGCTGATCGAGGCCGCGTGTCTCCTCCTGAACGGCATCTTGCTCAAACTGGGAAGGGTTGACCAGCTGCCCGACTATGTACAGTGGTACTCTGAGATGTACAGCCCCTGTGGCGAGGACGACGTCGTCACCATCACTGTGTTCATAGCGGCTCTCAAGGGGGAAGTTTTCTGAAGGATGTCTTCCACCTTTCTCGCTCTGTATTACATGTATATCAATATCGTGCCAATTCTTCTTATTATTACTTAAGCGAACGACGCCATTTTCCGCAAAATATTGTGCAAGTGTATTTTTTTTTCTCTCAACTGGGCGAAATAAATGAGTCCTTCAAATCACTTCATCGGTTCAGTTTGTGTGTTTGTGATCTCCAGAGTGCAGCACATTATGAATCTATCCTCACAAAAGTTTCCACAGCAAATCGGATAAGCTGACAGGTAAATTTGGTTAAAATCGGTCCAAGGAAACGATCTTACTCCAGCAATCAAACTTTTCTGAATAACCACCAAAAAAAATGGGTTTCTCTATCTATAATGTTTGACACCTTCCGCAATTAATCATCTTGAAAATATTTACTGTATTTTATAAACTCAAAATTAATGCAAAAAAAAAAACTATCATTATTAACACAATCAATATGCAGTTTCCGAAATAACATTCTAATGAAAATCGAGTTCTTTAGTCAGAAATTTTGTGCAGTCACCCAAAAAAGTCCTGTCACGAACCACGATTCAGACTCGTGAACCCGAAGCAGTAGACACTGATACTGTACATTATTCTGTCCATAAATGCTTCGGATTAAACAGTCTGAATCTCGGGGTTCATGGTTCGCGACAGGACTTTTTTGGGTGACTGTACATACAATTTTCCGCTATTATTAACATTATGAACCTGAACACTAAACACAATAAGTATCAGTAACATAAGCTAGACCAATACAACTAGACTCCTCACCAATGAGAGAATAACCAGGAGTAATAAGTTGTAACGCTTTCAAGAGTGAGGTGCTTCCCTGTCTGGTTCCCGAGATATACTAGAGACTGTCAGTTGATCGAAAATATCCAAAGGAGGGCCACCAGACTGGTGCCTGCACTACTGCACCTCAGCTAGATCCCAGAGAGATTAGAACGCCTGCAACTGCCTAAAGCTTATAATGCAGGCGGGCAAGAGGGGGGGGGGACCTAATTGAAGTTAATAATCATCTCAGAGGGCATTATTCAGCCGAGTGTCCATACCTGGTGCTGGCGGACGCCCGCCCCACAAGGGGTCACCGCGAGTGAGCATTAACGGCACTAAGTCCCATTGGAGCAACGTCACAAGTGGAGTTCCCCAAGGCTCAGTACTTGGACCATTATTGTTTATTATATGCATAAGCGACATAGATATCGGCATAGACAGCAACATAAGTAAATTTGCTGATGACACTAAAATAGGACGTGTTATCAAATCTGACGAGGACTCGGCAAAACTACAGGAAGATCTAAACAAATTTTTCGAATGGTCTGAAAAATGGCAGATGAAATTCAATGTCGACAAATGTAAAGTACTCAGTATAGGAGATGTAAACAGGGAAACCAGATACCAGATGAACAACGATGCCATAGAGAAATCCGACTGCGAGAGAGATTTAGGAGTAATGATAAGTAGGAACCTTAAGCCAAGTAAACAATGTGTTTTTGCTCGTAACAAGGCTAATAAAGTACTTGGGTTCATACAAAGGAGTGTTAGTTACAAGACTAGCGAGGTCATCCTAAAACTGTATCTTGCTCTTGTGAGACCACACCTGGATTACGCAGTTCAGTTCTGGTCACCGTATTACAGAATGGATATAGAATCCTTGGAAAGAATTCAGAGGAGAATGACAAGACTAATCCCGGGCATTAGGAACCTTGAGTATAGAGACAGGTTAAAGCATCTTAATTTGCACTCCCTCGAGAGACGTAGAGCGAGGGGCGACCTGATAGAGGTGTATAAGTGGAAGACAGGGCTAAACAAAGGGGACATTACAAAGGTACTCAAATTATCCAACCAGGAGCGAACTCGTAACAATGGTTTTAAATTAGACAAATTTAGATTTAGGCGTGAAATAGGTAAACACTGGTTTGGAAACAGAGTAGTGGATGAATGGAACAAGTTACCAAATATCATCATTAACTCGAATACGCTGAATTGCTTCAAACATAGGTTGGATGCTCATATGAGCAATAGGGGTTGGGTGTAAACGGGACTGCCTAGTATGGGCCAATAGGCCCGCTGCAGTGTCCTCCATTCTTATGTTCTTATGTTCTTAAGTTGCTATCAAGACTTCAAGAGAGCATATCATAACACAAAGTGGCTTTCAGGGTTCCATGAAGATGTTGATACACGCAGTATATGTCTTATAATACAATAGATCAATAGCCTTACCCTTAATCCAAGTTTCTGGCACTGTAGGAGAGCGAACTATCCTCCCCGACGGTGGCGCCACATGGAAAGATAGCGTGGCGTCTATTGTAGTGCTTCCCATCCTCCTGTAGTAACAACAGGTTCCTTGCTGAGCCTGTAACACGTACGCAAACTGGTGTGGTCAGTCGTCCAAAAGGAAAAGTTGTTTATATACATGAAACTGTCAGATCTTTTTCAGTAATATCAGTTGTAATGAGCAAATAAAGTAAGTAAGGCATTACAGAGCCTTGGGTACAATACCTGTACTAAAAACGGCCTTGAATACGGAGTTCATAAACAGTACAGTATGTTGAAACTTGAAATGTACTTTGTTGAAATTAGATTTTTCTTAAGCATACATTTGTTGAGTTATAATTATGATATGTTTGAAAGTTGAGTTATTAGTGTTTAATATCATGTACAGAACTTTGTGAGGTTAAGAGTCGTTTTAGGTACACCACAGAACTTCATATTTATATTTTAAAAGAAGTGACAACTTTTTATTTAAATTTTTAGAATTTTTATATTTACTGCTTTCATTGGAACGAGAAGTCATTGGTAATTATTTACTGCTTCATATGGCAGAGGGCCTGCCCCCCAGCAAGGAGGTTAGGTTACTTTGGTTGGGGTTCGACTAATTACCCAAATGTAGCCGCAATGAAGTCAAATAATGGTCCTACATGAATAAATCGGACTGCCAATCACTTCTCGACTGGTATTTGGTGTCACGAAGTCACAAAAGATTGGTAAACTTAATTTAATCTGAGTTAATAGATCGAGTGCATGTACCTAACCTAACCTAACCTAACACAACACAACTCAGATTAAATTAAGTTTATCAATTTTTTGTGACTTTATGACACCAAATAATAATCGAGAAGTGATTCACAGCCCGATTTACGCTTGTACGACCATCATTTGACTTCATTGCGGCTACATTTGGGTAATTAGTCGGACCGCTTTGGTTGGTTAGGTCAGGTTCTAGATATTGTCGCCTCTTAAAATACTTACTACTGTATAATGATAAGAACATCTGTGGAAAAAATGAACATAATTGAACGACTTGATCTGGTGGTAGTGATGTTCTCATACGTTATCGAAAATTTATACAGGGAGAAAGCCCCCAAGAGTATATATTTAGTAGTTGCCAACATCTACGTATAAAGGGAACAAATAAAAGTAATTTATTCTATAGGGTTTCCATTGGAAATTAAGATTTTTCGAGCATTTTAACCGATATGAAATCCCCCCTCCAATTACCAGCAATTATTGGTTGTTCAAAGTGGGCGGGGCTTTGAAATGCTGTTCAGGGAAAATGTGGGAAAAAACAAGACAACACCAAACACACTTGAGAACTATACCTAACCTTTCCTAACATAAAAAATCCTAAAACCATAAAAAACTTACCCTATTTGTGTTTTCCGTGTTCAGATGAGGAGGGACCCATAAACTCGAAAGCGATTCTTAACCATTTTGCCAGTTAGGAACTGTTAGATAAGGTTTTCAAAGGATTGTTTGGTGTTCATTTTAGTATTTTACCCCACATTTTACTTTTACTTCAAAGCCCTGCCCACTTTGAACAACCAATATTGCTGCTAATTTATTATTTAATATACATATATAATTTTTTTTGGGTGGGGGGGGTAGTATCGGTTAAAATACTAAAATTATTTAAATTTGCGACGGTAACATAAAAGAATAACTTTCTTTGTATTTTTTTTAGCTCTTTTTCCCTATATAGAAGTATGAAGTTCCTTGTTTGACCTAAAATGGATTTTTACCGAAATATATACTACTGTACGGGCGGTCCAACTTAAGAACGAGGTCCCATAAAATTAAACTTTAAATTTACATTTTTTATATGGGGATTAGCCCACCCACGCACATTAGACAACACATTCTACTTCCAATATCTTCCTAGGTGGTAATATCTCCCTGTTTGATAGCTGCCTATTACCTTTATCTGATGACTTATTTTTTATTTTCACTTACTGTATTTTTAATCCTATTTTTTCCTTTCTCTAAATTAAGTGATTTTAGATGTATAAAGTCTAAAGACTTAGGCTGTCATATAGTGGGATTTTAAACATTGTTCTGTAAGTGTACGGTATGCACATAGGGCATGTGTTTCAACTTCGGTACGTCCGTATGACCGGAACTTGTATGTAACCCGGGGACTGCCTGTAATGACTTGCAGTCACACTGGAAAATGCTTAGGAACCCCTGCTTGATGCTGTTCTTACAGTTTTCCCCATTTTCTATTGCTAGAGTCCAGTATGGAGTCCAAACAAGAGGAAGACTTACAGTTCTTTGTGGCTACAGAGACCGATGGACAACGACACACATTATTGCGAACACCTCGGTCCATGCCTCCACGCCTCAGATCTGCCAGTACGTCTGTGAATGAAGATGCTTTCAACATTCTTATGGCAGATGTGTCAGGCTCTATGTGTTCTTTCTGGTCACATGTAGTTACAGGCTGGGAGAATAACATCAGGAATAACCTTGAAGGTATGTTGTTATTGTATAGGATAAGTTTAGATGCTAATACAATTACTATTATTATTATTATTTTATAAGGGATATAGGAGTAAAATTTGATCTCTTTTGTTAAAATTTCATATACTTGTAATAAAGTTTAGGTTCAGATTCTGTATTGTTATGTACCATGAAAACTATTGTACTGTACTCGAAATTATGCTTAACTAACGAGAAAAGTAAAGATTTTGACAACGCTATATCAGTAGCTCTCTAGTTATTACTAACTTACTTTAAAACCTCTTGTTACCTTCCTTTGTGTTAAAAAAATTCCTTCAATTCATTACTATGGTTTGCTGGTGTTTTCCTCAGTATCCCCTACACAGATATCCACTACAGTACCTGTTACTAAAGGTGAAATTATATCATATTCTTTAACTCTTAAGCACTACGTCAATAGTAGGAAAATAAATTGGATATGATTTTGGAATATACAGTGGTATCTTACTTCAAACCTGTGTTTTATCATTTTACAGGACACACCAAGATTTTCGTGTTTGACCACTTTGTGAAGTTTGTGCGATCTGCTAACTACTTAACCCAGGAAGATTTCTCAAGTGGTGGAACAAATCTTACTGCAGCATTAAAAAAAATTCGAGAAGAAGTAGATAGTTGTTCTGAAAAATATATACGAGTCTTCATTATAACAGATGGTCACCATGGAAGTGGAGAACCTTTACCAGACACTGAAATTAGTCTGATGAATGCACCACAAGGCAAGAGAGTCGATGTATATCTCCTTGGTATTGGATATGGTTTTCCTGTCAACTACAGCATTGACATACGATCATTCATGCACACTGGAAGTGCTAATGTACCTTCACTTTTTTGGGCTAAAGAAATGAATGAAATTGAAGAGCAGATGAGGTCCATTGGAAATGAACTAAGTGTTGGAAGAGCAATTCTCAGTCTGAACTACCAGGGTTATACACTTCCAGGTTTAGACAAATCTCTAGTAATTCATCTTGGTGAGTGGAATTACTTTCCTGAATCCCCAGAAGACCTTCCACCACTAACAGTTAAGGTAAATGATGAACCTCCAAAGACATTACCTATTGAAATTAAAGAAATATCTGTAAACTTATTGGTAGACCAGGTGTTCCGTCAATGGAGCTCTGTTTTACTTCAACAGCACCGTAAGAAGCAGCATGTTCCTATACAAACCTTTGACCTCATGGAGACATTATTCAAGAATGTGATGAATAAACTGAAATCTGAAGTGAGTGATGGAAATAGTGTCAAGGAACGGCTTCAGAAGAAAAACTTGAAGAAGTATGAAGTAGAATATGCAACACTCATGAATCAGAGCAAGACAGTTATTGGTATTGAAGGTAAGTATCAGAATGAAATAGAACTTGCTGAAACCATCCTAAAGAGTACAGTCACAACTAGAAAATATGATACAAGAAATTTAAAAATGAAAGGTCATGGCCAAGAAGACTATGGCGATGACATTCAAGCTTTCCTTAAATTATATGAGAAAGCCAAACCAAGCATCCTACAACTGCCACAACCAACACCTGATGACTGCTGCAGGATCACCATGACCTCAACCTTACTGGATATGCAAGATTCAGACTTTCATTTGCTATTTGAAGAGAACAAGTTTGACTTTTTAAAAACTTTCACAATGACAGGGATTCCAGTGTATGCACCAGTTCGTGATGCCTCACAGATCAACCCATGGACCTTTGGCATAAAACATATGCTTGTGACACCCTTTACAATACTTAGTCAGAGAGCTATTGAAGCCTATGCTGAGTGTGATGAAGATGGGTTTGGAGCTTCAGATAAAGATGTAATACTTCAAAAAAGCGATGAAAAAACTCGTTTCAATGCTATAATACCTATTGTGCCTGAGAGTGCTGCTGGGGTCTTAAAACCTCTTGTTCGTTCCAACCTGTATGCTATGTTGGCTACATTTTGTATCTTGAAAAATCCTCATATTATTGACCATAATGCACACATTGCTGCTCTAGGCTGTGCTTGGGTGAAATCAATAACCGATTATCCTCCCAAAGATCGCCCAGAATTTGTCCAAGATCGACTGAAAAATATTTTAGCAACAGCTAAAATATACATGGATCGAGGAGGAATACTTCGTTATGTAAAAGCTCTTCTGAAACATCCCAAGCAGGCTCTGATGACTGAAAGCACTGAAATGTTTGATGGCCATACCCTCAAATGTGAATCATTCATAAAGCCATTGTTCTTCCTTGGTATGGTAAAGGATAAACTAACAATGCCAGAAACAATAAATCTTCTGAAACTGATGTTAGCAGAGTTCATTGGTCGTTGCCTCTCAAACTACAAGGTTAATGAATCAGAGGCCACACCTTACACAGACTTCTTTGCTAGTGAGCTCAATGATCCAGTCACAAAGAAGGCTTGGTTGGAAAAACACTCAAAGGTAAGATATATTTGTTGTAAATTGTTATTCAACTTAATAAATAAAAAGAAAAATCCATCATATTATTTATAATCAATATTTTAAGTACCGGTACTGTATTATTGTACTCTGTCAGTCACACGTATACAGAAAAATTAGATTTATGTTATTACGTATTTGAGGTACTTTGACTGATTGGATACGGTGTTTGCCTCCTGTCCTAAGGATTGCTGGTTCAATCACAGGATACCCTCATTCTACCCAGCTATAAATTGGTACAGTATCTAACTTTATACCAGTAGTTGAGAAAATGATGCCGTCAAGTGTAATGCTGGTTACTCGGCTTATTTTTGCAGTGTGCTGTATCCACTCTTCTTAACCGGTCATAAGGCCATATTGGTATTTCATGTGATGGTCATTGCATAAATTATGTAGAATTTGTTAAGTTGTATGTTTGCTATTGACATTTGATGATAGCCTTAAATTGACAGTATCCTTTTACCCCTTCAATCTCAAACAATATGACAAATTGGTGAAAAATTCTGTACAAGGCTTACTTATTTGGCTTCACTTGTCATTGTGCAATTTCCTTTTTTGTGAATTCTTATGTTATGAAATATGATCAGAATATTTTGACATCATAATCACGCTAACCAACCCTGTCAAGATGATAGGAGAGGCATTGTTGAGTTTGAAATCCATTAAACCAAAAGGGTAAAAGTAATTTATCGTGTGAGTGTACCTTCCTGGTGCACAGTTCTTGGAAGATTTTTTGCGAAAGAATTCACGAGTGATTATGACGAATAAAATGAGTTAAATTATGTTAAAACTCCCTCTACAGAAATTTTTTTGCAGATTAATTTGATTCAATTTTAATTATCATTTTCACATCTTCAGCTTACTGTACTAGCCATTCCGGCAGTTGGCCTTTTCTTTGTTACGTACACATGTTGCACAGTTAATATTTAAAATTTAAATGAATGGCCTTGAAAACCTTATTCCTAACTACTTCCAGATGACCATAGATCATGTATATACATATATAGTATATTGTCAGTGGAAAGTGGCTGCAAGCCAAACTGACCAGATTAACTAATTGTCTATGTTCACTTAGTTTCTGGAGAAAAACAGAAGATTTTTTTTCTTGTACTCTAATGTAAGGTACTGTACAGCAATAGAATAATGATTATCTCGACTTTAATCTCGAAACACATTGATCAGTATAATTAGTCTTAGTCCATTACTTGGTCCAGACCCTGTGATCCAAAGCTTAAGGTCCTGTCTAGGGTAGTCAAGGTTTGCTCCCCAGGTCAGATGTAAAAAGGTATGTGAAGGTCGTAACAGAGAACAGATGTGCATAACAGGGAACAGACTGACTACTTGACTGGCTATTAGGTTGACAAATGGTGGCAATGATAAAAAAAAATACTATTTGGGTAGTGAAGGCTCATCACATGCACTGAATTATGTATACCACTGTACATATCGGGTAATTGCATAATTTTTTCTTCTAGAATATAATTGATACTTTCAAGTCGGCCCAGGGTAACCTAGTAGAAATGTTTTACTCCATCGATGACCTGAGAAGTTCCTTTAAGGCTCACATTTCTACCCTAATATCACCCTTATCTGGGAAGCTTCTTGAAGAAATAGCTCTAAACATCAACATGGAAAAGGTAGGTTAACTGTACATCAAGTTGTAAATGAGAAAAATTATCTACAGTAGTAAGTATTTAGTACAGTACTGTATATCAAATTACCTGATACCTACCATACATTTGCAGAATATCATAAGCCTGGACAAAAATCACATACAGTACGTACAATAATGGATATTGCATTACTAAGATTAAATTTATTTTTTAGAATATTGTAGAAATTATAAGTGTACAGTTGCAAACAAAAATCCTGTCTCTTTTCTGCTGCTCCACGAACCCCGAGATTCAGACTTGTGAATCCGAAGCATATGTGGACAGAATAATGTATCGGTGATTACTGCTTTAGCTTCACGAGTCTAAATCTTAGGGTTTGTACAGTAGAGCAGCGATTACCAGAGCCACTTCATGAGCTTATTTTTACCCTAATAAATTATATTAAGAGTCTTCCTACATTATGACCAGTGATTTGTTGTTTCAAGATAATTATGGAATGTTGGTACTGTGTGGTTTTTGTAAGCACATTTAGCTTAACAGCTGTGTGCTGCTACCTATATGAATCATCAAAAAATTTCATTGCATTACTCATTGATGAGTACTGCAACATAGCCAAGTGTTTCCTGACTGGAGCCCCAAACAAGGCAGTGTTAGCCATATACAGTATGTTGCCAGTGGTGAAAAAGTGGTCAACTTGGAGTGCCATACCAACAATGTTAGTCCTTCGCTTCACTTACATGGTCTTTTTTATTATTATAATTAAACTTTCCTGCTTATGAAGCCAAACAATAACAAAGAAATGGTGTAGGTGGTGAATGGATGTTGTAACAGTTATTTTATAACAAATGCTGTACAGTTCAGTGTTCCTTTGTACAGTTATGTTCAATATCTTAACCTTATCTTGAATTTTAAATTGTATTTATAAAAACCAAATATACCGAGTCAACTAGATAAATTCAGGCAGATTAGGATGTGTATACTGTACAGTAGTTACAAAGCTCTGTACACATTTCCTCCACTATCCCGACTGTTTGTCCAGAATTGACTGAGGTTGGCACACTATACAGTACCCTAATAGATATACCTTTTCAAGTAACTTAAATCATGAATATTCAACTAGTAAATATCGGGTATACAGTGTATTGGATCATGTGAAGATCAGGCACCCCAGCTTATTTCATCTAATGATTCACCACTAGCACTACCTGGCAGGGTTAAATTAGGTGAAATAAGCTGGGGTGCCTGATCTTCATATGGTGCAATGTTTTGATTATTCTGTGCTGTATCTTTGTTTAGATATGATATATATGGGTATGCTAGCTTCTTTGGTGTGCTTAACAAGGAATAATTATTGGCTGCAGCTTGAAGCGTGCATTACAAAGGGATTACACAAAGTTATTTCTCCTGATGATTAAACATCCCAATGCTACCCGGGGGTTCAAGTTATGTTAGGTTGGCATTATGGTTTTTAATTATCAGGCGAGATAAGCATGGATGCCTTATCTTCATGTAATTATAGATTATTCTCAAGTAGGCACACACCAATTTTCCTTACACCAAGTCTCTTCAGCTTAAAGAGCAATTCTCTGTTCCTTTACTTTACCATATGTAGTGTAAATTATTACAGTACAGTACATTGTTATTATTTGTGATGTTAACACCATATAAGAAGACATCTGTTACAGCAGTAAGAAAAATTGAATAAGATCAGTAAATGATGAGGAAAATGTTTTTGTTGTTGATTTCTGCTGTGCTTCATTTTAGTGGAAAAAGGCTACAAAAGTAAAAGCTACTATTATTATTTATGTACACACACAAGAAAATTAAACTACCCGGTACATGTATCTTAAATGAACGAACAATTGTGATCACCATTTGTGATTCCTTGACAACTTAACCAAAGCTGCTGTACATTGTGTTCATTTCCAAACACATTGCACAGAGTTGGGCAGATAGTATTTTGTGTGTGTGTGTGTTTGTGTATAAACATTTATCAGAAACTTAAAAAGTGAATATTGTTGATTTTAAAAGGTGTGACTGAGTTAATGAAATAATGTTGATAAATACTGTATATTAATTTTCAGGTAAAGAAGCTGAGTAATTATGGAAGTTGTGGATATGTCAAAATTAAATCCTTCCATGCATGGGCTGAGGAAATGGGAGTTCCCAATGATAGTATTAAAGAAGCCAGTGACCCATCACAGGTATAAAATTTTCAATCTTTTTATTTTGTAGTGAGAGATGCTAATCTTCATGAGATATTTGTACAGGTATTTATATAAGTAATTGAAAATTGTCATTGTTATGATCCACCTTAGAGAGGGGGAGTACAGTAATGTGTGCAGTTTGGCAAATAATGATTGACTTTCTTTAGAGAAAGTTGGTAAAAATTAATTTTTTATAGGTTCTGCGGTATGTGAATGAGGCTCTTCAACATCATAGTTCTAAGGAACGTCTTTCAAAAGATCTTGACACAACTGAAGAAGCCATGGAATTTATCAAGAAGAAAGTAATTCAAGAAAACACAAAGACTTTGAAGGAATCTCTGTTAAAAGAGGTATGTATGTCGTAAGATGAGCTTCTGTCTGATATAAGAGTAATCAACATATATTACATGATATGCAGTCATTGACCAATGCTGGTAATATGTTAGAGAAAATAGATACATGTACTGTAATGTAAAGGATGTTTTGCCCTGAGAGTTTGGGTGAGGGAATCTCCATTTTATCCAATTAAATCATAACTTAACCCTACCGGTATTGTAGGAATTACCTGAGTGGGTTATACTATTATATACTGTATGTGAAAAAGAAAAAGAAATTGAGAACAATATAACAGATAGATGGAAGGGTATGGTATTGTTTATATAAATACTTTACCATTAGGGTCAGGAGTGTGCTGAAGCAGAGTGGCATAAGGCTTACACAGTTCTACACAGCCCACTGGTAATGCCCTTGAAACAGAAGCAGATAATAGAAGCAGCTCAGGCCAAAGGGATAGAAGTCACCGAAGAAACATTTAGTCGCATTTACAGGTAAGTTTAATAATAGATGGTGCTGGAGTTAGTGGTGATGGAGTTAGTGGTGTTGGAGTTAGTGGTGTTGGAGTTAGTTGTGAGAGTCTATGGAAAATATTAGTCATTGCTTACAGGTCTCCTACGAGTTCAGTAAATAAGGATGGTGGTGATAGTGGTGCTGATGGTGACAATGTAGTTACCATGATGATTTAATACTTTAGTTTTATGGTTTAGGCTACTTTGACCTTCATTTTATCAGTGTAGTGTACCCCTTGTTTGAAGCTGATGGCATGGTGAAGGGAAGGGTAATCTATTTCTCCAAGGGAATAACCCAGGGTAATGATAGGAGGTTTTGCCTGGACTCGAGGATTCCCCGATAAGTAGTCCTGTACAGTATTGCATATAATGGTTGACACACTGTATTTTATGAGTGAATTAGCCAGCTTCAGTCACCATTGCTTATCTCTCATTCATTATTTGTATGGATTGTCTCAGCTGCTGCCTCACCACAGTTATGACACTGTCTTCTTTTCTATATCAATGTTAAGAGCAATATTATTTTTGTTTTAAAAGAATTAATTACTGGTATCTAACAATCCGAATTTACAAAAATAAAATTATTGAGGGTTTTCCTGATGATCCAGATTTTGAAACTACAGTCCAGTACAGTATTGCAGTTAATAAAATAAGAACTTGGTATTAAAATTTTATATTATTTGAGAAGACTTAATTGCCCATTGATAATTAGCACAAGTATAGGTTGTTTATTCGTTTATTTTTAGGTATGATGAGCGTCTGGGATTACTGCGCAACGCCTGTCAGATTCCAGGATGCCCACATTATTTGTCCCCGCACAGAAATTTCAATCAGCATCTCGCTGTTGAGCGGGAACATAAAAACTTCCCTCATTGTCTTCACTTGGTACGATATCATTAGTAGTGTGTTATGTCAGTGTATTTGAATAGCGTGCTTTAATAAATATAAATGGTATTGTACTGTCAATCATGAGTTTTTATGCAATTGTATTTAAATACTACTTTGACAAATGATTTGTTTAGAAAAAAGTTAAAATTTTCACTGGCTTAAGATATGTCATTCTGATTTGTTGAGATTTTGTGGAGAAAACTTGACCTTTGTGGTTTACAGATTTCCCACCAGTTCAGTGATAAGGACCTAGATACAGTTGTACAAGAGATAGTAAAAGGTTCACTTACTGGAAGACAAAAGAGGCGACAACCTTCCGCTCCTGAGCCTTCATCCCTCAATCCTCTTCTGGGTGAACTGAAGAACCTTTTGCAAGAATACTGTACATCTGAAGGACAAGAGTAAGTGTCATCTGAGAAAGTAAACTCTGGGTAAAATTAGACCATATGCAGTATTCTATTGAGGTTGTCCTGAAGACCAAAGATTTTCTCTCTGTGGATTCAAGAAAACTTAAAAAATTATTAATGAAAACTTAGAGCTTGGACAGAATTCAAGGGGTAATGAAGTTTCATTGTGACATACTGTAAATATACTTGTAAGATTAGTACTGTATTATCAGTCATCTTTCTGAAGCAACATATTAGTCCGTCATGAATACAATAATTTAAAAGTTGATATATCCACATTATATATAAGGTACAGAACAGTATTGTTTAGTAAGTGTCACAATTAAAGTTAGATCTTCTATCTATTTTCCTGTCTTAACAGTGTTGAGTCACCACAACAATCGAGCTACATGAAAAGAATGTGAGTGAAGTTGAAGATTAATTCTATGACAGTGTGAGATGTCGATATTAAGGCCACAGTATTGTTAAATGTCGGTGATAGCTACAGTAGATTTTCTAAGGCTGTTTTCTTTTCTTAATAGTGTTGAGTCACTGCAACAACAAGAGGAGAATATGAGTGACTCTGAAGACCAGTTTTATGACTGTGAGACTTAAAGGGTCTTCATACTTCAAAATATTTACATTCTACTATCTGTAAGTATGCAAGTATAGTGTTGAACCATGTATTTTCATAATAAAGAAATATATTGTACTGATCATGTTGTGATTTACTTGCATATAAAAATATGTCTCACTCATACAAATATTTTCTGACAAAATGGTGTTTAGTTAAGAGTTGAAAGACCCAACACTGAAAGTCAGATTGAAATATTGATGTCTTTGGTATATTGTGATTTTATTTATTTCTCCATGATTTTGATCTGTGTTTCTGGGAGTTGAGAGAGAAGTAAGTATACAGTAATTGAAATATTTCCTGTGATATGAATACCTATTATTTCTTATTTTTTCTCTGATGGCTGTACAGTTCATGTATTCAGAACTATTTTTTTCCCTTCATATATTAAGTTCCTAAGCAATGTGTCTCAGATTAAAAAATAAAAGGAGGGGCTTCTTCATTACAACATACACTGTGCTACATCTTTGTATATGCTGCTTTGGTATGAAATTATTTTATTATTGTAGAGGAAAGCGTTTCAACAATACCTCCACTTTATACTGTATATTGTTCAACACAAACATACTCGGGATTGTATATTTTTGTCTGATGGCACATTAAATATATTCATAATGTATTGTATTGTATTGAGAACACTTTGCTGATATGCAAATTCCTCAACATGAATGATATATTAAAACTTGATCAGTTGTAATACAGTACTGTAGATAAATAAAAGGGTAATTTTGTTAAGATGTTAAAATAAATATTACAAAAAAATTATAATTATTATTATCCTGTTGAGAAATTGCTAGAGAATGATTACATTCAACAAGTAAATAGAAACAGACACTACAGTACGCATAGCATAGTAAATCATAAACAGGTTAATCTCAAAGTACAGTACAGGAATATCCTGGTTATTGCAGGGGAAGTGCTCCTAAAAGTCATTGCAAATATAAAATTTTCAAATATCGGGGCAAGTTTCCCCATAAGAATTAATATAAATACTAAATAGGGGGATGTGTTCCCAGCCAACAACTTTCACCACAAATTTTTTTTATACTGTATACTCATTATCTGAGGCTATTAGGGTCCAGAGTCATGTGTATACTGTAGTACCTATAGATATATAGTCAGCATAGATAGTCAAGTTATGAAAAGAAAATAATAAGAAACGTCACTAAAACGAAAGGAAATAACACTTACCACCTCACTCACTATTTTGTTGCATTTCTCTTCTGTTTCAGACAGTCTTTGAGCCTCTTTGGAACACTTTCAGCAAGGTTTTGGAGTAGTTCAGGAGTCAAAGAAGTCCACACCTCTTTAAATGCTGCCTCTAGCTTGGGAATAGAAAACGTGTTCATGTCACAAAGGCGTCTTTTCATGATCGCCCATAAATTTTCAGTGAGATTTAAGTCTGGGCTATTCACTGAAATAATTCACTTCACAGTCCTTCATCCACCAGTGTGGCAGGGGGCACCATCTTGCATAAAAATGTCTGCTTTGGTTTTCTCAAATGATGAAGGTAAAAAGTCACACAGCAGTTCCAAGTAATTGGGGGAGGTACTCTTCAGAGGAGGGTGGGCTGTAGACCCTCCCTCCAATGCACCCAGTCACAGAAAATGTTGCCTCCTCTCTCCATAATACAGTCCTCCACTCTTCTAAGTCCCATTCACCATACTTCTTGCAGAGCTTAATCCTGTTCGCCTTCTGCCTCTGTCAGTAGTGGTTTGTGCCAGGCACGGTAACTCTTAAACCCGAGGTCATCGTACAACGCCTGTTGAATGCACCTCAGTGACACGTGTCCCAGCAGATGCAGGGTTTTTTCCTTCACTTCCCGGGCTGTAAATGTGGGTTTGACCTTCACCTGCCTAGAGACAACTTTAAGGTTCCTTGGAGACAATAACTTGGGCCTACCAGACTTGGGAACTGGGGCTGGTGTGCTGTCTTCCCCGTCTCCTTGTAATGCTGCAAGAGTCTTTGAACACTATGGACGTTCACACCAGTTTGAGCAGCTATTTCTTTGAGCTCTTGCTATGCTTTAAACAAAGCAATCACTGCTGCAATATCCTCCATAGTTGTGACTCTTCTGGGCATGATGGGTGGGCACAACAGCAGAGCACGTGACCTTGCACACACCATAAAAGGGCCACCTCCAACAACAAAAACTTGAGACTCCCATCACTGCTGCATGAGGCAAACTGGCAGGAAGCCATGACGTGTACAGAGTTGCCAAGTGTCACCACTTCACAAGAGGTATGAAACGATTTACGCTTAAAGTTAAAGCGTCGGCCCTCTTGCAAATTAACTTTCCGCGCTGACTGTGTGTGGATATACTTACATATATATATTTCCTTCCCATCATAATCATTGTCTTGTAAAAATTTCTGTTTGTAATCATAGTTCATAATAAAACAATTTTTCGGGCATGCATATTTATTTGACATATATAACATTTAGATAATGAATATGAAACACAGAGGACAGCTCATTGCTCATAATGACTAGCAAAACTTGGGATGAATACATGAACTTGCATCACCCAGTCTGATATTGAGAAGAAACCAACCTACACGATACCTTCAACAAACATGTACCTTTTCAATTTTTTTCTCATACACGACCAATTTACTTTATCTTTTAGCTAGAAAGTTCACACGTACATATTGCTAAGGATATTGTAGGTAGGAAGTATTCTTTTTCGAACACAAAAAATGAAAAATATTTCATGGACATCAATGTCTGGCAGCTGTTACATATGGAAAACACAGACACCAACTCCGTTATTTTATAAAAAATAAATAAAAATAAATAAAAAATACAAAGGGAAAATAAAGTAGTTCAAGAGGGTATTAATGCGTGTTTCCTTCATAACAGCAGTAACTGTCTATAAAATAGTAAACATAATTTAAAGTTGCACTTGGAGTATTCATTAGCAACTACACTCTTATACTAAAGCAACCACTAAAGTCTTAAGAATATTTGTTTGCTCAATTTATACATATCTGAATGCAGTACGGGACATTAAAACCACCGGTAACAATAAAAACCCCATCAACAAAGAGGTTCACATCTTGACAAAACATAAGTATAGAATTTTGTAGGACATTTCTAGATATGTTTAATCCACTTTCAAGGCATCCAAAATTATTACACATCAACAAAAACACTGAATTCTTAGTATTTTGTGGGTACAATACCTTAAAGACCATTACATCACGTCATAGCTAATGGGGCCAATAACCATACGTCTGTCAACAGGTGGCAGCAGGGGTAAAAGACGTCTTACCTCAAAACCAGACAGCACATAATGCCTTTTCGATTATTTTTTCATTCTTCCTTACCTCTTGCAGTGCCCTGTCCATATATAGTAGTTTCTCCACCATGAACAAATAAAATATCACAAGGAGCTAAAGACCGCAAATATACAATTACCTGGTCAGATAACATAGCCTACTGTGAGAGTAGTACTGTAGTCAGGTTCAAACTAACTCAATACAAGGCTTAACTTTCAAACTTGTTCAGCACAACAGTGGTATTGGTAAGTATCAATGTTACTCTAAGCTGAGGCTGGTTTTAAATGTAAGGAAAACATACGTACAATACTGTTTATACACATTTATGTATATAACTGGCACGTTACTACAAACAACTCTACATTATTCCATGAAAATTAGCCACCACTGTAGGGAAGAATCCACTGTAGATTACGTGTCATGTTCAGCCTAAGCCAATGTTTCTACACGTCATCACTGGACACACACGGCCGAGCAAGTGTTCTAGGTATTGTATTTAGCAACAATAACTATATTTTATGCAGAAAACAAAATCCCTTCTGTACTTTTCATAATCATAATTTTATATCTAACATGTGTCACACCAATGCTATGAACATAACTAACAGTACTATAATGAGATTCTCAACTTATATGTTCATTCTACATTACAACTACTGGTACTTCAAACCTGACACATGACTGAAACTTCAAAGAGCCTAATATTATAATAATTAAATACAGAATAACTATGCTTGATGCTAAATGTTGCAAAGATCCTTTAACACTGATGAAATATATATTTCTATAACATGTGCAAATACCTTCTCTTCAATTCTTTATTTCCCTAACACTACTACTGATTACCTTACAATAAATACAGACTCTCAATAACTCCCCCCAAAAAAATTTCCCGACAGAAAAAGTACACTACTGTATGCTAATTATTCAACCACAATGTTCTTCATGATTTAAATGGAAAAGATAAATTCAAGCACCTGCTGTAATCACGAAAGTCCCAAAGTTACGCATTTGAGTAGCATATTAAAATAGTTCATGAAGATAATGTGATCTTGTTCCTTGACAGTGGGTGGACTAAAATTTTATATTTCCTTTAATTATTGTTAGAACAAGAACATACATAATGGCTGTTCTAATATGTTCAGTTGAGATAAATGTAAAAAATGTTGGTTAACAAAGTCCAACCAGGATTGGATTCCTTATGACCAGGCATATTTTGGCATTATTTAACAGCTACTTAGGTTATTCTAGTAATTAAACCAACAGATTTTAAACTCCATGAATATATCCAGGAGTGTGTGTGTGGAGACATGAAACTGAGCTTGAGATTTTTAACAATTTGTGATCAGCAAAGTATATTGGTATCTTTTGAAAATAGACAATATGGAACAAGGAAGAGTAGCTCTCATAAGACAAAGAACCAAAACGTCCTCCCAATGCATATAATTCCACATAATTTGGTTCCGATCGGCAGTCAACCAAAATTACTGAGTATTTTGAAAAGTACCTGGAGTAAAGAACGCATCATTATAACCTTGATTACTGATTCTAAAACATAAATCATAATGTACATGTGTTATATAAAGGATTCTCTAGTTTTCCTCATATAACTCAATGGAAAAAAAACTGTCTTGGTAATGTAAACACCAAATACAAGGTGTTTATAACAACTGGCATTGGCACATGACTTGCAGTGTTTGGATGAGCAAACATAATTTACAGAAAAGTTCAAGATACAATAAAATATTATGTAAAGAAAATGTTGAATGTTTAAACAGTGAAGTGCAAAAAAAAGTTATTAAATCACATGAGCATTAGACACTTCAGATTAATTCACACGATAATTAAACACCTTTACACTAACCAAACAACACAACTCAGGTAGCATAAGGTTATTTAATCATCAGGTGAAATAAGCTGGGGTGCCTGATCTTCATGTGATCCTAAAGTAAACAAGATATGCCAGAGTAGCTGAGAAAATGTAAAGTCACTGTGTGGAGCTTTTGAAGTGTTAGGTCGGATGATATGAACATCAGTGCATCAAGATCTTTCTCTAGTTGCCTCACATCTCTTAAGAATATCCACAGCCAATCCCAACTAATTTCGTCAAAGAAATTTATACCGGTCAGTTTTTTATATAATTAACAAGGATACAGACATGACTGCTACTGTTTTAGGCACCAATACCAAACATGTCAACAGGTGCCCACACAAAACACCAATACAATACGGCGACATAAACGAACACGGCCAACACACAAAAAGACTTAAGTGCCTCTGTTAAAGATGTGAAAATAAACACAAAAGAAATAATTCACTATGCACTAAAGTAAATTATGTATTAATAAAGTTAAATATATCTCTAATACATTTACTCCACTCCTACTAGACTTCCATAACAAACTCTTCTATATTCTCAGTTTTCTGCAACATCAAAGACAGTATTTTATATTCTCTTTAACCCCTTGGCCACCAAAATATTGCTACCACACTACTGTACAATGGATTTTAAAACCTCAAAGCATCAAATTCTTTCATATGTTAAGAAATAAAAATATGTCATCATATTTTTGTTGAGCTCAAGACTTGTCAGTTTGTTAATGGAAGACTCATTTTGCTGACCACTATCAGGTAATGCTGCAGTACAACATCATTTATATAATATCAGTAAGTGATCTCATGTGCTCATAAACACATAAATTCTTGCTGGTCTTAAATTACATTGCTCTTTTAAGTCTTGGTCCGCTTAAAGCTTAACACCACAGCATGAAATTTTAATTAAACGTATGAAGCTCTCGCCAACATAAACACATATTGATCTAATGAACTGAATATCAAGGAATATTTCATGATGGTCCTTCTATTCCATAATAAGGCCCTAGATATGGTTTAACACTCTTGCATCACACAAACCAGCAGCACCCATCAACAAAATACCCTTCCCCCAGAATCACTCAACACCACGCTCACTGCTGGTTCCTCGATGTCTTCCCTCTAGCTCATCCTTCACCCCACCCCTCTTACTTGTACTGTACACTTTTTACCAATCCTTCACATCCAGTAGCACTTTATTCACTTCCTCATATCTCTATTTCTTGTTCTTAATTATGTCATTTCTTTTGTTTGTAATTTGCTCCCATGTGATATCATCTCAATAAGTCCCCTCTACATCCCCACCTATGCCACTCTTGACACAGTTCCCCCTCTCTATACATTTATTAATCCACCAATTACTTTCTTTCCTCTGGCTACTCAGTGGTTAAACTCATCACTTGTTATACTATTACAAACACATCTTCTCCCAGACATCTAGACACAGTACTTTATTCCCTCCAGTCATGCTAACAATTATTTGTCTCCCTTCTCTATGCACAGTATTTCCATTACTTTACGTTTGTTTACATTCACTACCTTCCCTTCACACACACACACACCTCTTATAAGTTACCCCACTAGAGTAGCCGATCCACTTCCATCCTCCGATCACCATTCACTTAACCTGCACCCGTCTTACTATCCCAGCCGTGAAAATATTAACTATCCACAGTGACACTACACATCATTAATGAAGTCTTACTCACTAGAAACCAGTTTCTCTCTTCTCAACAAAATTAATGATGAAATATTTGTGAATTTTATAAGACCAGCAGTATGAGCAGTGGCAATTTGGTATACAAGGGGTTAACATAGAAGTGTAAATTCTTATTCTTGTTTAACTAGGCTAATATTTCTTTTATAATATACAATACTATACCAATTTCCTCAGGGACACCATTCTCAATTCATATCCTTATTCTATAAAAGCATAAATTGAGAATGCTTCTCTTATCAGATAAATAAATTCTTATGATTCGTATCACAATTTTTCCTTTGTACTCGCAATCCAATATTCAGTTTCTGTATCTTATATACCAAGTAATATGTTAATGAGAATGAAAAAGAATCAATAGCAAAGAAAAAATAGTGTTATAAATAATGTAACACACAATATTGTATGACTAAAATTTAGCGTGAAGTAAAAATTTACAGAAATTTACAGTCTGTACAAGGTCGAATTAAACAGTTTAGTTTAATTTGGTTTCCACAAGTGAACTGCACAGGTACTATTCAAGCAAACCTAACCTTGCCTACAATACCTTAACCTAACCTATACTTCATGAACGAGGAATAGGTTTACAATATCTCGCACATGACACTATGGTTGAAAGTGGCTCATGTCATCTCACTTACACAATATGATAAACTGGACTCTAAGGGAAATTTAAGTTTTCAGACCCTTTCTCCCCAATTAGTCTGGAGCTACAGATGTTCTACTGTTTTATATAAGGCCTTGTTGTTATAGAGGAGTACCATAACACTGTGCTATCCTTATAATTGCCTCTCGAAGTGAAATTGATAAAAAGTTCTGTAAAGGGCCAAAACATAAAAGCTTTGGGAGGTGAGGGAGGCAATCCCATGCCCCCACACACACCACAATAACATGAGTGCCAATTAGTCACTGGGGTTAAGCCAAAACACCCAGCTCAGAGTTACAGAGACCCATGATAAAAGAGGATGTATTAATACAGTTTTATACCGTTATTTAAAAAAATTAAACTAACTTTACTGTACTTTATTATATTTTTTACCCATTATTCCTGGAATAATCTGCAGTATATTAAGAGGCAGCACATAATGAAAATATATGTCCTAAACAGGCTTACTATACAGCACAACTGTGAGCAAGGAGGCCATAGAAATAAGGGTTTACAGTACTATACTGCAAATAAAAAAACATACTCTAAGAATAAAAACCAATAAAATTCCTGTGACACAATTCGCTCAACATTGATAGTTCCAAACTCCAAGAAACTGATCTCTGTTATGAATGTATTCAATTACAAAAACTTTACCACCTTAGTCATTATTGGCAGAGTCCATTTTTAACTTTTAGACTAAGACAACTTAAGAGTATAATGAACAGTGAATGAATAATGCATGAAAAAATTTTATCACCATCAAATTGTACAGTACAGTAGTATGTACTATAAACTAGCAGATATTAAACTGTAATCTTAGCAGTCATCAACCGATGTCTACATTTTAATGACACAGAGTACAGTACAATACAGTTTATTATTACAGAAAAAGATGAAATTTAAAATGCTATCTGTACTGAACAGTAGTATGATAATTTTGTGATCAAATTGTCCATCAACAACATTAAACAATAGCTAACCTGGCATAGATTTCATAGAAATGTGAAAATAATTTAAAACACATTCAATGAACATGTCACATCCAAACTAATTTAAGCCTTGAATTAAGAAATATATACTTAGTGAACAGATAACATTCTATTGTAAACTATTAAAATTCACAGTAAACCACATCATACTGATGTACTGTACTATTCATAGCAACATACTTGTAGTTAAAAAAATTGTTCTTTGGCATATCACAAACCCTTGCCTTTCAATAAAGTCCAACTCTGTCAGTGATAATGTGTTTAAAGGCCTAAAACAAACAATATTCACAGGGAAAATGTCTAGACTTCTGGCAATATGTTGAACCTAACCCACTTCTTTCTGCTCCTGATAACAAGAGGCATCCATTGATTTTGTTAAACTGTATGTCATTAAAGTGGTTCCCATATAAATGATGGTCTATTTTGACCATTCAAACCATCCCAGATATTAAATTAAATCATACTTTCTATCAGACTTGGCTTCCAATACTGGACTCAAAAGTTTGTGAACCATCTCAGGAGCAAACTGGAGAAAACTCTACCAGTGAGTAGTCGCTAAGGAGCATCGTGATCAAACACATCCCAATGACCACCATTTGTTTAAATTTTCAAACAAAAGGGAGTCACTTAGGTACTTGTATCTGTAGTGACGAGGTCTCCCAGTCTCCAAGCATTTTATTGCAGGCAACTATTTTGACTTTCAACATGTCATCTCTTTCAGCCAGAATTGTAAACCCAAAACAGTACTTCAACGATCTAAAGTAAGAAGCGTCAGAAGAGGGACACCTACCATGGTATCCACAACAAGGTAGAATTATTGGATCACCCAGCCAAGATTGAAGAGAGCAATGCCCTATACATTATTCATGCATAAATTGAATCATGGATGCACATTACATTTATGTGTAAAATTTTACTGTTCAAGATAAGCCTACAAGTGTTGTTAAAAAGTAATTTTGGCGAGTTTGACAAAATGTTGTAAGCTTGACCTCATTAACCCCTATAGCTCCCATAAGATATACACATATTGGTTTGTATCTGTAAATTCTAACAATAAAAACTACATGCCACTACAACTACACAAACACTGAAATTACTGCTGCATGATATAGACATAATGAATGAATGACAATATTAAATATAAGCCTACAGGTAAGAGCCAATGCAGTGATGCTTGTGATAATACATATACAGTAATAAAGAAGGCAAAATTTGCAGGGTTATTGGCAAAAATTATCTCAATCTGTTTACATATGAGTACTGTACGTTATTCTCATACCCTTCATGAATTTAACATTTGCAGAAATAGTCTTGCAATTATAGGTACAGTACAGTATAATTGTTCCAGTTTTTCTTATAATTGGCATCACCTCATACCTTTGTTGGGCAGCTCCTAAGGCAAGTGATGGAGATTAGATAACTATTATACAATGATTTGGTGCTTCCTGTAACAAAATATAAATAATAAACATGACAATCATAGAATCTATTGTAAGTTAATATTGATGAAGAAATATACAATTCAAATGCTTATTGAAGCATCTTACAGTACAGTACTTCAGGCAGTGTCTTAAAGCAGGATGTTGGTATCTGAACCTGTGCCTCACTTTAATACATTACTTTTATGATATTTCCCACCATGTTTTATTATTTAGTGTCCTTATTGAATAAAACTTACTTAACTGACAATAATATGAAGCTGTATAGTAAAGCAGCATGATGCGATGAAATAAAATTATGTATTACTGTAAACATTAAAGGCGTCATGACACATTAAGACTGGCTGCATCTTTTATCCTGGTTCAAAATTCCATGAAAATTAATTTACAAAGTGTTGGTGAGAGTTAATAAAGATGTTTCCCCAAAGCTTTTTCTTCTCTTGTTATTTCAGTCTTCACTACAAAGCTCTTCCTCATTGGCATCATATTAGAAAAAGCTGGTAGATATGCAGAATACTTTTGAAAACAAATAGCAAGAAGCAGGAGTGTTAGTGGTCAGTGGGATGCTACAGCCAATGGGTCCATGTGTATGTGGCTAAGGGTGTGAGTTGTCTTGGGTGGGAGCAACACCTGTTCTCATTTTGCCGTTCTTTTAATATTTGCAATTGTATTTTTTTTCTAAATATCCAGACCTCTTGGTTATCTGAGATGATACAAAAGGTTCAACTAAACATTGTACATTTTCTATTTGTTATATTTTAATACAAGAATTGATTTAATACCAATCATAGTTTAGGGCCCTTTGTGAGAGGTTTCATCATGTAACTGTATGAAAGGTCCAGTAATTACTGTATCCATGTAATCCTGTGCATTCATCTGCAATGCCACAATGTGATATCACTTTGAAGATATACTGAAGAAAAATATTATTACGTTTCAGATTCACGTATTTCATCCCTGTACTTTAACAGACGAGAGAAACAAACACACAAAGACCCTCTTGGTCTTACTCATAAAGAATCCTAACAAGCTACTCGGTCTACTGTGTCAATTTCTCCCAAACACCAAATTGCAAAAAATAAAAATAAAATAAAATAAATAAACCAAATCACAAATACTGTGTCACAAGCATGACCAAGACAGAAAATATGTACAAAATTGAAAAAGGTAAAGAACAATTACTGAAGACTTAAAAATAAAGATAAATAAATCTTTGTGTGTTATCATGCATGAAAGTTTATGCCCGATACTTCAAACCAACTGACTGGGACTTTACAATTCCATATCATATCAAATTGAGCGGCAACAATTCCAGCTTCACCGATGCTACGTCTGTCGATGTAATAATGTTGACCAGAACAAATTAGTGTACATATCTTCACTACATATTGTATATCTTGGCTATGACTTGACAGCAATGGAGAGAATATACAAAGGTAATCATTCAGCACAAAGCAGTATGAGGCTTGGCTTCAAGTGGTCCCAAATGGCCTCAAGTTGTCAAAGCTGGATTCCATGTATATATCTACATACACTACAGTACAGTCTATCGCAATAAGATAGGGAAAAACTACTGTAAAATCATTACAAAAACCCAGTTGCTCTCGAGTGAAACCCAAGACTCAATGCACCAAGCTGGTCAGCCAACTTCTGTCCTTCTTTGGGAGTACAGTACAGGACGTTGATACTGATGCTATGAAAAGCTCTTCCTAAACAACTGAGGCTAACTGTTGGCTAAGTTGGTGTGTAGCAGCAGAAGGCAGTATTTAAAGGTAATGTTTAATATGAGTGCCTCATATTCTGTTTTATTACAAAATCAAAGCTAAGAAAGTTTCCCTGGCATCATTGAGTAGCAACTGATAGGTACAGTAAAGTGAAGTTAACCAAGACACACACACACCTGAGGAACATTTGAATATGAACATAAAAACAGTTTGTGACAAAAAAACAAACAAGGAAAATCAACTGTCTTAAGCGTTGACCTCAGAAACATTCTCTTATCATAAAATATATACCCGTGTATATATCATATATACTGTATAGGAGGTCACTACTTTATGAATTAATATCATTACAATCATTCAAGAATAATATCAGTCAATGATCCAGGGGTTACTTTACATCAACAGTACAGTGTATAATCAGGCAAGCTGCAGAAATGCAATTGACTTCCAATTCTTCTTCCATATAATATTCAGGGAACAATTACCCAGTACCACAGATATGAAAAGCTGGGAACATTACTGTAGTTTACTGCTCACCAGCATTCCTAATTATCCAATGTAGTGTAGTGCTGTAGTGCTGTATAATGCCACAAATGTGAAATATGGGACAGGAAACCTTTTGCATTTATAAAACCAATTATAATAAGTACTTATATGACTATATAAAAAGATAATATTAAATAAGAATAACATACACTAGATGAGAAGAAAGCACAGCCAGACAAACAAACTAAATTACATAAGTGGCGGAGTTGATTATGTGCTAAGTTCTCGGGTAGTGGGGAGCACAACAGAAAATCGAGCTGAAACAATTACGCTTTTGGTCTTTTTAAACACAAACTGAATTTCTATAATGAATTAGAAATGAAACAAGAAGAACAAGGAGCAGAAATTTACCTGTGGAAGCAGAGAAACTGGCTTGTGTTGATGGACTCGAGGAAATCATGCACTTTTGTTTTCACTGTCGGTTGTCTGTTTAAAGTGACCTTAAAAGTCTCCCATCTTTCTCACACTGTTAATATTCTAGAGGGAAATATATCAAAATACTGTACAATCTTCTCCGTAAAAATATCATTACTGTATTATTTAATTATCTAACATGTATGTGTCTGTCTGTTAGGGTATTAATAATTTGTATATCCCCTAGCTGGCCGTCCAAGAGCCCAACGTGTTTTTCCCTACAAGTTAAATTGATCAATTGTATGTAGATTTGATTGTATGTAAGTCTCCCTTGAAAGTAACCTTGAGAATATAAGAGTCTACAGTATGAGTTTATAAGAAAATTAAAACTGTACTGGAAACAAACAAACCTACACAAAACCTAAAAAAAACTGGACATGATATCTTAGATTGCACAACAAGACAACTTCCCTGTGTACACCATTCAAAAGTATAACTACACAAGTAGGCTGCGGTTAATTCAGGTATCATTGGTCATGGTCTACAAAGCAGATCCGAGCTCCCATAGGGGGACTGAGGTGATGCAGGTAAGATTCATGGCCAACCTAAAGTCAGTAAATTAATTGTCGTTTAACGTTTCCCCGCATTGTAATTAATATTCTGTATGACATGTTCTTAACCATTTTGAACACCTTCAATGAGAATATCCCATGAACAGTTTTGCCGACTGTACACCTTCAGATATCACTAGTCATTTGTCAATAAGAGCTTGAAGGCATCTTGAAGTCAGAAAATATATCAAAAGAATTCTTGTTGTTGACAAATGTTCAAAAAGTGTAATTGTACAAGACAAAAGCTCAGACAACACCTCCTCAGCATTAGTGTATAATTACCTTCTTTAGTGATTTTCTTAGTACTGTATATATTCTCTTCATGACCATTAAAAAATCAGATATTCATAAAACCATACATTCCAAAGATTTACTTACTTGTACACATAACTTCTAGTCCCAACCTATGCCCTGTCATCCATCCTCAAAAGACTGCCACTCTACTGAGAGGGAAACTAGTGACTCTTATGGGAGCTACCACCTGAAATATCTTGCTTTGATAAAAATAAATACTCTTAGGAATATATATATCATTTGCTTTCAGGAATAATGGTAACAAAACAAAATGTACATCAAGATGCATAACATAATTAACTCTTAAAGCCATCTGACAGCAAAGCTAAACTATAATGTAGGACACAAACAGAAGCTGCAATTTGAGAGTTCCAAGTCTTATGGACAATTGAAAACAGTGCAGGAGTACTTGAGCATGAATTGTGGGAGAGGCAACCAAATTGCTTGGACACAAAACTCAATTACAAAAGCACTATACTGGCAGTTGAGTAATGACAATGGCAACTTATTTGGTGAAAGATATCTGACACCATCACCACCACTGTATCAACAAAGCAACTGCAAAAGTACTCATTTGACGTTTTCTTAATACTGATGTCACACAGGAAATATTATTTTGATTGCAACTCACATGTGTCTGTTAATATCAACAATTTATGCTCAATTTTAACCCTAGAACGAATAAATGACCATCAAGACATGAGGGCATTTTGGTAATGTATTTTGTGAGTCCTCATTATGAGGTAATCTTAAATTAATGAAAGAACTAAAACATATAACTTACTGAGATAAAATCAATACAATATGTGAACACAATTTTAGAAAACATTTCAGAACTACAGTACAGTATTCTGTTCCTGTAAGAAAACATTTTAAACACAAACACAGAAAATAAACTTTACTGTGGAAACCTGAAATATTGTGATTAATAATTTACACTGAAGCATTCGATGAAGTCATACAGGAGTTTAATTGATGCCTACCTTGGCTTTACAATAACTGTACTTGAAAGTTACACAATCTGAAGAACTGCATTAATTTTTGTGTAATGGGCGATGATAATAAGAACTTGGACCTGCTAAAGGAAGAAACACCTACAACAACAGACCAAGAAAAAATACTTAACTAAACGAGGTTGACTTTGCTGTCTCGTAATAATTAAAATAATTAACACATATTCATGGTCTCAAGATAAACATTCAAGGAGAGAGTAACTGATTAATTGATGTTAGTTAAAAAAAAAATATATATCCTAATAATTTTGTCCCCAACTTGTTAACTTTCTACTTTCTAATATTCTGGTTGGTAAACTCTGTACAGTATGTGTGTTTTGCATAATACTATAGTATATATTCTCTGGTTTTTTACATTTAATTTAACTAAGATTTTTTTTAATGTGCTTTTCTTTAATAAACTTTGCTGACATCTATTACTGTTCTGATACACCTTTAGTATTATATATCTTTGCAAAAAAATTAAAATTTCATCATGATCTTTGCTTCACCTTAAACCTCATTCCTTTTTCTTGGAAGCATCTCCATTGGCTGAGCCTCCTCCACCCCCTCCTCCCTGCACAGCTGAAACTGAACTCTTCAAAAGGCCAGCAATTGTCTTCAGTGCAGCAGAGAAGTATTTCTGCAGGATTCCATGAGGCCTCATGCCTGGGATCAACACAATTACCACCACTGCAATGCAAGATTTCATATACTGTAGTCATAAAATGGACTCATGCCTGTTGTGTACACCATCTTACAACGTTCATTCAATACAATGCTTCTAGTCACTAATGTTAGAGAGCAAGACGAGAACTTTTCAAACATTCTAATCAACTTAGAACTTCTGGTTTCTCTGCATTCTACAATAAACATAAAACCAACATACCTTCTGCTACAACTGAGGTCTGCTGTAGTTATCCCTTAACATCATAATTCTGATAATAAACTTAGTAACCCAGTGTTTGTCTCTCTATTTACAAGAAGCACTCATAAGCTCTTCTCTATAGTTAGTACTGTACTACCAACCTCTTCTACCACCATTCTCTCTTCTACTGAATAAAACAACTGCACTATTGAGATGTTCTTATCGCTCTTCAACTCTTTCCACTTCACCCCTTTAAGTGTGACGAACTTGTCTCAATCACTTCTTTATGTCCTTATTCACACTTCTTTCATCTCCTGCCTTTTATAACTTTCTTTTATCTAAGACTTAGTGACGAGTGCTTAATAACATTGGCAGCTGAAGCAGAGAACACAACACAAGACAGTAACAACACTATGATAAAGAAGTACTGTACTTACCAATGAGATATGTTAGGAGCAAGTTGTTGATGGTGTTACCTACCCAGGCACACACCAGCAAACTCCCTGTCACCATCACAAAGTACTGGGGAAGACCAATCTACTTAAAATCTTAATCACAATGACTTTTAAAATGAATTTACAGCAATGTATAAATTCCACAATAATTGGGGTAAATTTTACACAAGAACAACCACATCCACCATCCTTCCTCCTGACACGGGTGGGAATAACAGAAAGATGGCTGAATACCAACACAAATACACTACTGTATATCCAAAGCCGGTAGTGGAGGCATAAAAAAATCTTGACTAGCTACAGTAAGAGAAGGCTATCAGTTATTATCAATTTCCAAGGGAGGTTTTACCCAAATGGGAAACCAAACTCACTCTTAGTTTCTCAAAAATAGTAATTTAAAACCTCCACAGTAACGTAAATTATTTTATATTTTACACAAAGAATTATACTCACAGTCCTGGGTTTTGATTCCTTCATGCTTGTGAGAGTGTTTGAGATGTAAGAAGCCGAGCCACAAAGACAAGCCACAGATGTGATGATCTGCTCATAGCGACGCTCATGGGCCCCAGTCCAGTAATGTGCCCCTACTATCCAAGGCACAATCTGCAACAATTAGTAGTGATATCTTTTTTAGCCGGAACAATTGGTGCAGAGCACTTTCGGGAGTGAGAGATTTCTGGGTAATGAGAAGACTCTTAAGACTGGAAAAATCCCTCATCCCGGAATCTTTTGGCTATTGGAAAAATGTTCTCAGAAGTTCCAGAAATTGCCCATTACATCATCTTTCGAATGCCGAAAAATATCTCCCATCCCCGGAATTTCCTGGGTACTGTGAAAATTTTCTCAAAATTTCCAGACTGTTTTGGAGTACAGTACAGAATGATACCAATGAAGACATAAAAACACAACCACATCATTTGTTTTCCAATATATCCCTGAATTATATCTTACTCAAACTACCTTGCTGAAACAGTCAGCAAACAGTCACATTTAAAGTGAAACACAATGATATTAATGTAAAAAGTCTTGGCTATGATGTTTGTATAAAATGAGGAACTGATCCTAATATCTCATTTAATATCCAAGACTCATGTACACTGCACATGACTGCCTTCACTTCCCCAATTTAAAAATTTAGGTACCCATTTACAGCTGGATGAACTGGGGATGACCTTGGATTGAACCTCCGACCCTTTGGACAGGAGGCAAGTGCTATAACCATTTGACTGCCACACTTCTGTACACATGTATACCACTCCTTAAATCCTGTTCATTATTGTACAGTTAATCCAGAAAGTATTGGGACCCCAGGGCCTGATGGATTAGAAGACAAGTGATAACCTCAGACAGTCAAGCATTGGTTTTGTTATTCTTTGACCAATATTCTTTCAGACACTTGGGGGCCTCACACTTTTTGGATTGACTGTACATATTGAAGGTAGATTAGTAAATATTAGTATAAACTGACCTGTGGCACCAAATAGTCGCAAAGTGTCACTGTAATACCCAGCACAGAGAGTAATGTCAGCATTGATGGTTCTATATACCATATTGTCCTGCAAAAACAAAATAATTAAGTTTCAATATATAATACAGAACACTATAGAGCTATATATATATATATATATATATATACAGTATATTCCACCTTAAAAATTTTTACAATCCATCTTTTATTAAAAATCATTTCCAAGAACAATCTAAAACTTCTTCAATGAAACTTGGATTCACATTCTGAGTCAAATGACTTTGCCAAAGAATACAGTTGTTTGTACAGTATTTAAAATATTCAAAAAGTTAATTACTGTGCATGTTGGTTTTAAGTCACCTTTATATACATTTTCTAGAAAATATAGACTATCTTTATGATATTAACACATTAGTATTCACTTTCCAAGAAAATGTCGTTTGAAGTAAAAAATATGGCTCACCTAATAACTTGTGTTTCGGCATTTGGGGTCATACCATGAATTTTGTTCCAATTTCATACAATGGTACAGCTTTACATGCTGATTAAGGATCTGGGTTTACAATTTAAAATTTTGGATATTGTAATTAGTGTTAATTAATGACATTTGAAATAATTAAGGCTATTTAAAACATTAAAGTATTATTACACGCTCATACTCAATCATTCCCTGCTCCCACTAGGTGTGTAATATATACAGTATATTGAAGAAGACTTATAAAGTGGAGACTCCATCAAAAATATGGTAGATCACAGGTTCCAACCTTCTCCTTCACCTCACCCTGTTCTTCCCAACAGATAATAAGTTTAGTAAGCTATGTCTTACAGAAAGAGTGTTGTGACGGCTGAAATGGATATGAATGGATAAAAGTGTTTCTCCCAGACAAGCACTGAATGCACAGCACACAGCACCTCGCGCCAGCCTTCCAGCTCACGCCGCAGTGTTTTCACACGTCGATCCTGAAAGCAGGAAAACAAAAATAAGAAAAGTGGTTCCACAACTACAGTATATCTGTTTTGATGTCCTCTGCTAACTCCTTTATGGAATTTGATTTTCATTCAAGATCATAAAATAGACATACAGTACTGTATAAGGAAGACTCAGTTGTGTTGTATTGAAATCATAGTTCAAGGATAACTTTATTTTCATTTGACCTCAAAGTGTGCATTTACATTGGAGTAATGGCCTGTGAAATGCACTGTATATGTGTTTACTTCAGATGAGTGAGTGATGATGCTACTGTGCCCTGATGAATGAAGCCATCTTTGATAATTTAATGGTAAAATTATCATTTCGGTCATGCATCGATTTTAAAGTAGGTCAGAATCATTCAAAACATATAAAAAACCATCAGAACATAATTTCAACCTATCCCATCCTATCCTAACCTAACCATAAAATCCTAAAATTCATTGCATGACCAAGAGGATAATAATACCATATTTTGTCAGTAATACAGTGAGTAAACTATGTATGTAAGCTTACAATTGTATATAAATGTTCTTCCTAGCCTAGAGAACTGCTCATATTTAACCTGGGAGATCAAGTGTTTTAGTATTTCCATACATTTTCCTGGACAATATTCATCTATTTTAAGCGAGACAAAACAAACAGATCACGCCTGAGCTGACATAATTTTATCTTTCTTTACAACTTAAGTTTGGTTTCACAAGTTTATGTTCTCTTTAATGAGGGTGTTGGTGTTGCAGTTATACAGGCAGTAATAAAAAAATCCTGCTGGAAACTTTTAACAAATGATTGTGTTTTATTTCCTGTCATACATTATTACATTTAGGTGACAATGTTGGAAAAGTGATTTTAAAAGACGCAGTGGCTAAATTACTGGTCACAGCAATAGTTGACAGGCTCTTTGGGCTATTTTGACGGTCCCTAAAGTAACCTAACAATTAGATTTGTTGTACATACATGTCATGTTTTTCTTTGCATACTACAATAAATACTGTACTATTTTATCATTACTTCTATTATATAAACAATGGACTGGTAAAATAGCCCGAAACAGCCTGTCAGCTACTGCCACAACTGATAATTTAGACTAACCGTTTAAAATACTGTATTAAACACGAGATCATGATCATTTGTAATCAAACATAAACAACAACAACAATTAAACTATGGCAGCAGATGGAATTAAAATTTCCCTGGAATAAAATTGTTGAAAAACCATAATGAAATAAATTTGAATCCTAGGAAGGCTGTGGGCTGCCGTCACAGCGAGGAACAAGTTTCCATCTGAACAAAGTCTTTAAATTAGTTAGTTCAATTGTGATGCAATAAAAAATTATTTCCATTTTATTGTGAAACGTTTCTTGTTGCATTACTGACTCATGCAGATATGAACCGAGTATATAGAGTACAGTATATTTAGATAAGAAAAGTAGTTTGTTTCATGTTACAATCAGAAATTACAAGTAAACTGCATGATTATGAAAGGAAAAACCTCAAGTTAATCAGTGACTAGTTGACAACACTAATATATCGTGCTGGTCGACCATAAAGTTGGTCTTGTGTCGTAGTAAAAGAAAACTCCATGACACGATGGCTCTCTTCCTTACTCGATATTGCGATTAAACATGTAAGGTTGATTATGTTTTCCAGATAAACGTGTGCTGGGTTTCACGTTCGGGTACATAACTGTAAGCGTAACATCATTAAAGACTATAGCCATTATAATAAGGGCATAAACATCAATACTCACTTGATCTTGTGTCATATCCATTGTCGAGTTTGTTTACAAAATGTTCTGCGAACGGACGAGTACCTGATACCAACACCACTAACTAAATTTCTATATTAACTGTTAAAAAATTTCATATATAACTGTACAAAAGCAACGAAAAAGAGTGTTTTCTTAGTCATATCAATATATCTAATAAAAATAATTACTATCAATCTTTATCTCGTTTGTCAGGAAATATGATGGAGGTCGATGTGCGAGCCGCGAGGGTCTGGCAACAGTAGTGGTGGGCGTCACACCCGGGAGCGCCTGCGCAAATTGACTAGCAGATTCAAATTGATTCTTGCTTCGTGATACTGTTAGTGCTAGGGTAATTAGTGGTATATATATATATATATATATATATATATATATATATATATATATATATATATATATGTGTATATATTTTATATATATATATATATATATATATATATATATATATATATATATATATATATATATATATATATATATATATACTCAGTCGAACCCGATGAGACTTCCAAACATGACTCCTAGGTATTTCCACGTTGAGGGCTGCTTATTGTATTTGTTATATTTGTTGCCATCATGTCTGTCTTAGAGGCAGGTGGTAATTAAGAAGCCTGTACTTTTCCTCACTAGTTTGCCTTACGACACAGCTCTAGGCCTCTAGCAGAAATTAATAATCTCCAAAATTGCTCCAGTGTCACACCCCTTCCTACCATGATCCGCCTGTGAGAGCGACCGACCAACTCCCGTCTCCTCCACCTTTTAATCCTTAACTCCGAGACTTCTACCACACTTCACCCCACACTACTTACAATTAGACCATACTCACTCAAGTTGTCTATAAACTACACCCACTACAGCTGAGTGTCCCAGCATATTCTAGCATTATAAAACATTTCACTTCTCATATACTCCCCCAGGCAGCATTAGGGTGTTTAATCAACAGGTGAAATCAACTTAAGAGGCTAATCTACAGGTGATCCAGGTTACGTAATGCGCGTTGCTGCTTGTTGGTCGGTTTTGTTGTGCACTGAGGCGCTTCAACTACCTCCACGTCCCACTATCTACACTTAACAGCAACTTTTAGAATGTAAGAATAATGTTATTGCAGTTGGTCCATTTTTAGTCCAAGTTTATACGTACCATACTGAGAAAAGTTAACTGGGAGGATTCTTATCAAGTAAAAATCACAACATTTTGGTACAATTTATTCATCAAACCTTATCGAATATGTCGCTGGCAGTATTCTTCATCAGTCAGACACCAGAGTCCAGCCTACGTTTGTAGTTGTGACAAATTGGATAAACGAAATTGTGAGAAATACACGAATGTAAAATATCTTTGTTATCTTGAGTTCAACGGTATCTTCTCCCAGCGAGCAGATACATGGTAAGATAACGGCTGCGAGTGGTCAGAGGACTGGGTATGGAAGATGAGCTTACATCAACAGGTAGGAGCTGGACTTAATGGGCGTTAATATTTAATCGTGAGAAGAGAACAAGATGGAAGAGGTTTTCAGACAATCTCACTTACGCTGATCTGATAGTCAGGAATTAAGACATGGGGAAACTAGAGATCTTGCTGTAGAGTTTAGCAGCCTGGATATGAAGATATTTGTATAAGTAAACTTCCGGTTCAATAGTTTGGACAGTCAGTACGGGTTTCATTAACAAACATGTTATTGACGTTTGTATAAATCCTTGAGAGCATGTGAGGCGGTGTTAGTAGGGCTGGAGCCAAGGCCGCCACATGATCTTGGATACGGTGCTCAGTTGTGAGGGTGGGTAGACGACTCTCCCTCGCCATTGCTTCAGATACTCTTGCATTTTCCCCACCGCTTCCTTGTATCTACACACAACAGGATAAAATTCCCTTGAATAATGATTCGATAAAAGTTATAATATAAAATAAGTAATTACACAGATGAGAAACAATACTGTGCCCTCATTTTACTACCAATTTGTGTCTCTTATAAACCGCTCGGCCATCATTTCGTTGAATCATTATTACAGTTATCCAGAATTATTGATAACGATTTTACTGATTAAACTATATATATCTATCTGTATCTATCAGTCAATCAATCCATCTATCGAGTTCATAATTATCTAATCCCAACACAACCTCAAGAAAGAAAATAAAACCCACCACCTTTACACCGTAACTCAAGTGAAGCGTCAAGATGAGTCCTACACGTCTACCGGGAGAATAAACTTAACAAAATATACCCAAGAATTAGATCATTACATTCTCGGCATCGTCTCACCATTCTTATAAAAGTAAGTAGATAAAACACAATACAACTTACCTTTCTTCAGCTCGTTTCATGATCTACTGCTGAAATGGTTAGGATATAATTGACAGTTATTGACTAGTAATATGAAATTAGAGTTGCTTATACGATTAGGACATTATAATAGTTACCTTTTGTTAATAATTATATAAGATAATTCCACTGGTAATCCTTGTGGTAGTGTGGTAAAAACTTATCTAACCGAGGTGCTTCATCCCTGACTGTTAAGGTATAATCCTATGAAAGGCTTGGGTGAGGAAGTGGGTGTGGCATAGATGAAGTGGGCGTGGCTTGGAAGAAATGGACGTTGTTTGGATGAGGAAGGAATGTGTTAGTTTTTATAAGTGGGAGTGACCTGGATGAGGAAATGGGCGTGGCTTGGATGAGGAAGTGGGCGTGGCTTGGATGAGGAAGTGGGCGTGGCTTGAATGATGAAATGGGCGTGGCTTAAATGATGAAATGGGCGTGGCTTAAATGATGAAATGGGCGTAACTTCAACGATGATATGGGCGCGACTTGAACGAGGAAATGGGCGTGGCTTGAACGAAGAAATGGGCGTGGCTTGAATGATGAAATGGGTGTGGCTTGAATGAGGAAATGGGCGTGACTTGAATGAGGAAATGGGCGTGGCTTGGATGAGGAAGTGGGCGTGGCTTTCATCAACAAGACGACAGCAGTAGTAGGCGGGGACTGGGGACTCACTCGACGGTGTGAGGGTCGATAGGCTTGCCGTCCTCGTAAGGGTCGGTGTTGAGGTCCCAGAGCTCCGGCTGGTGGCTCATGTCATCGACGAACTCCCCGTAACACTTGCACGCCGTGTTATACCCCCAGCCACACTGTGTACTCCCAGGGTGCCACTTGTGCTTCGCCAGGTACATCTTGTAGACGTGGCTTCCTGTCGGTTGGGTCGAATGTGTGAAATTCTGTTTTTTAAAGACTGATTCTGTATAGGTTAGGCTAGGGCAGGTTAATACTCGGGTGAAATCAACTGGAGGGGTGTCTAACTCTCAGGTGATCCAAAGAAACTCAGGTAAGATACACATATAACAAGACTGTATATATATATCATCTCACCTGTCACCAGTCTGAGGGCGTTTATGGCTTGGCTACAATGGTGAATGAAGAATCGAGGACCTTTACGACCCTTGCCAGTCACCAACAGTTCAGAGATGTCCTCACCATCCAGTTCCTGCAACATACACCAAGCAGTAACATTTTACCCTTCTGCCTCTCACCATCTCGTCAGGTGAGTTATCCAGGTACACGGAGTTCAAATTACAGTTATTTTGTAGCTCTTTAAGAATGTGAGTTATATTACCAAATGAATTAAGATCGAGTTAGTTATTTTGTAGCTCCTCGACTGTAGAGCATTTAGTATATATATTTTATGTATGTATACCTGTATTGTTTATATACATGCTGAATCAATGTAATTTGTATGGAGATTTTACTATGTATGTATGTATGTATGTATGTATGTATGTATGTATGTATGTATGTATGTACCTACCTATCTCTAGACTATGAAGGAGACACAAGGAGAAAACAAGGATTCACACACTCACCGTCTGAGCAGCTTCAGGGACAATCTTGGACAGACTCGGAAGGCCAGCGAGGGAGAGGACGGTGGGGAGGAGGTCCATCAGGGAGGTGGGCGTGTCCAAGGTGACGCCCTTTGGTAGGTGACCCGGCCATTTAAAGATCCCCGGCACCCTGATCGCTCCTTCAGATCCACCTTGTGCCTTCCCTCCTGTGTAGTGAACAAAGATAATGCAAAAATTAATGTCAGAAATGATCTAAGCTAAGCTAAGCTAATCTAAGCTAACCTAACCCATATAGCTGTTTCATGTTGATCTTGTGTGATGGTTTTTATGAAAGTATGTATGTATGTGATGGAGGAAGGGAGGAAGAACGGTAAGGGGAGGGAGGAAGAAGGGTAAGGGGAAGGAGGAAGAAGAGGAAGATATTGAGGCGGTGACACACAAGAAGGCAACTTTAACCTGACACCTTGTAACCTCCGCTGTCAAATGGCTGCCTGTCTACCACACACTGACAGCTGGCTCTCTCTACCACAGTGATGTATTTTTTACCAATCAATAAACCTTATATATATTGTGATGATCTTAGCGTGGTACAATAAACATAGCGAGGAATATATTGAACGTCTATCTGTCTATATCTATCCATCTATCAATTCATCCGTCAATCAATCAATCTATCCACCCCCCCTCAACCTATCTATCCACCCATCCATCCATCCATCCATCTAACGGTGGTGGTGAAGTCGAACACTGACCCTTGAAGCGACCGTTGTGTCCACCAATACGCTGACCGTCACTATCCACCGCCTCCAGATGGCCACCCTGGTCCGAGGTGAAGTAGATCAGGGTGTTGTCTTCAAGGCCGTACTCCTTCAGCGCCTGCAGTACCACCCCCATACTCTCGTCCAGCTCCTCTACGTTGTCTCCGTACCTGTCCAGATATAAGACTCACGTTAACAGATAGACGGTTACAGGCAGGTAGAGAGGGGCCATGTACTTCTTCAGGGCCTGTAGAACCACTCCCATATTCTTGTCTCCATACCTATCAAAACAGAACAATCGCTTTGAGAGAGAGAGTCCAGTTGTAAGAGTTTTCACCTGCCGTGCTTGCTGACACCTGCCCTCTGTGGTGCCGAAAACATAGGCGTGTGGACGTGGGCGAAGGAGTGGAAGAGGAAGAAGGGGCGGTCATCATTGGCGTGAGAGGCTATGAACTGGCGGGATTCCTGGGCTAGACGCTGCGAGAAGCCGTCCAACTCCATCGGCGCCTCCACCACCTTATCGTCCCGCATCACCATTGAGTTCAAACGCTGGTGTAGCCACGGCGACACCTTGAGGGTAATCCACACATCACCAACATGCAATAACTTTATGTTACACTATTACCTCGGCGGCGCCTCTAGCTTGTGTCACATCATCACAGCAACATCAGTATATATCAAATGTGTCATAACAAAAGCACAGCGACACCTATATGATAATTGTGTCGTTACCATCATGCAACACGCCTAAATTTTCATTGTAATACACCTTCTGTTCGCTGGCTGACTGACTGGCTATGTTGGGTATTGTTACCTACACTGTCTATGCACATTGTGTTACCTACACTGTCTATGTGTGTTAAATCAATGTGAAATTATATGACGATATTACTGAATGCCCATCTATCTATTTAAATCAATTCAGCTGTAGGACTAAATTTCCTTTTCTACAGAGAGACAGAGAGAGAGAGATGAAATATTAAGGTGTATATACAGACACACTCAGAGTTTTTCGAGTAGTGAGCGAAGACGAACCAGACCAGCGCCAGGAGCAGGTTGGTGAGGAGGGCCCCAGCCACCACCAAGGACATCCTCACTGTCTTCTTCTTCACCGCCACCAGGAGACTCAACATCGTCACCACCCACGTCATCAGCAGCCCCTGTAGGTACAATGTTACTTTCTCAAGTTTTAATGTGAAGTACCTGACGCATTGACGAGCTCTTAACCTGATACTTCATTACACACACACGTATACATACATTTAATTCCATAATAAATTCCGCTAATTTTTATTATTATTATTATTATTATTATTATTATTATCATTATTATTATTATTATTATTATCATTATTATTATTACATATGCATACATACATTTATACAGTACATACACATACAGTAAATACATACATACATACACGCACCTGGAATTTGGTCTCATCTAAAGGAAACTTCCAGAAGGGATGTGATCCACGGAACTCCTGGAAGAGGGTGACGGGGATACCGAAGAAGGACTCGAACCCGTGACTGAGCGGCCCTGGACACGACCTTCCCAACCAGCCACAGTGCATTCCCAGATGCCACTTACCTGAGAAAAAAAAACATACCTAGATAGTAATTATGCTAAGGTATGTGTGTATGTGTGTGTGTTCTTAAGGTCATACATAGAGACCACAAGACATCACAGGATAAACAGAGTACCATTGAACAACACAACAGAGAGAGGCAGCACTGAGCACTAACCGATGATCGAAGTGGTGTAGTTGGCTGCTTGGAGGGCACTGGCGAGGGTGACTTCGTGAACGGGCAAAGAGGCGAGGCTGGCCAGGTGTAAGATCACTGGCATGCGGTGTTCCTGCCCTACCAGACCTGGAGGTGGGGGGAAGTTGGCAAGCAAAAAAAAAAAAAAAAAAAAAAATATATATATATATATATATATATATATATATATATATATATATATATATACTTTAGTATAATGACTTAACCTTTCGAATACAATGGTTTAACCTTTTAAATACAATGACTTAACCCCTTGAACACTATTGACTTTACCACTTTCATACACCCAGGGCCGGATTAAGCTTAATGGGGCCTGAGGCACAGATCAACTTGGGGCCCCCTACCCTCAAGGTATATATAAATAACAAGAACAAAATATACCGAAATTTATCAATGATTTCATCAATATTAAGCTTCTGCAAAATAACACATTTAATGTTCATAAGAGACAGAAAATTGAGACGTTGCTAGGACATCGTTGAACGAAGTTCATGTTTTATATGCTTCAACTTCGAGAATGTTTGGATTTGGGGGCCCCTTAGAGTCGGGGGGGGGGGGGGGCTGAAGCCAGTGCCTGGTGGTTAATCCGGCATTGCACAGTGAGAACTTACCGTAACGGGCAGCGTAACGGCCGGTAAGCATCGCAGCCCGACTGGGGGTACAGAAGGGCGCAGCTGCTAAATGATGGGTCAACTTCACTCCTTCTGCCGCTAACCTGCGGAGGGAGGTCATCAGGTTCTCAGCCCTTAGTTGATGTTCCTTGATCACCAGCCCTTAGTCCTTCAATCACCAGCCCTTAATCCTTCAATCACCAGCTCTTACTCCTTCAATCACCAGCCCTTAGTCCTTCAATCACCAGCCCTTAGTCCTTCAATCACCAGCTCTTACTCCTTCAATCACCAGCCCTTAGTCCTTCAATCACCAGCCCTTAGTCCTTCAATCACCAGCTCTTACTCCTTCAATCACCAGCCCTTAGTCCTTCAATCACCAGCCCTTAGTTAATGGGACGCTACTTTTAAACACCCTAACGCTTACCTAAGGGGGGTTAAGTTAGTATTAGATAAGATTAGATTAGATTAGGTTAGGTCAGGTTTAATCTTATGGTGAAAAACTATAATTAAAATATTTAAAATTTCGTTGACTTGAGTGTTTTTATCTCCCACACCTAACACAATAAATGTGTTTAATTACCACAACAAACACACACCTGTTGATACTATAGGTGTCAGGAGAATCAGTATAACGCACGTGTGATTGTCTACAGCAAGTGTTACCAACTGTAGCGGTACACACTTGTTGATACTGTATGACGTATGTGTTAGACGTTTATATACCGGAAGTGTTAACAACTCCATTAGCACGAATTTACGGTCGTTACCGATGTGTAAGTATTATCAAATATGGGAACACACACACACCTACACCTGTTGATAATGGATTACCAACTATGTTAACTCCACAATTACACACCTGTCGATACCAGACGTCATATCATCCATACCACCAGACATATGAGTGTATACAAACATGAATCACCTGAAGATTACCCCCCCTCCCCCCATGTAGCTCTAGGGTGTCTATTCAGGTGAAATAAGCTAATGGGGAGAGCTAATCTTCAGATAAACCACAAATGTTATCGGGTATATCAAACGCTTTGCCAACTACCATGAAACGAAATTAATATACATGCAAAAGTTAAATATACCAGAGCCACACACTTATCAATATTAGGAGTGTTGATGGTGGTGTTCCCGTAGCAGCCAACGTCGCCAATGCCGAGGTCGTCTGCCAGGAAGACGATAATGTTGGGTGGTTTAGCCTGAGCCGCAGCAGCTAGCAGGACCACAACTCCCACCACCCACACCCACGCTCTCTCCATCTTGTTAATGTTTCTCTTGATCTTCTCACCTGAAATGATAATTCAACGCAGTAAATTTCATAACCTCATTGCCTTAATCTTTTTAAATAAAGAGACATACATTTTGACGGGAAGATCATCACCTTTGGAATTTTTTCAATGTTTTCATAATTTAAGTGTAGAGTGAGTCTGTACAGTAGCTAAAACATCTATCTGTGCAAGTGGGGGTCGATATGCTCCGAAAGTTCACACGTGTGACTAGTGACAGCCCTCATATACTAATATTGTTTCCCACAAAGTATGCAGAGATAGTTGTTTTAGCTACTGTACATGGAAAGATAAGACAAGCTAAGACAAAATTTAAATAGAAGAATAAAATAATTATATACAGATGATTTCTAAGACAAAAGACATTCCTTATGATTTGGTTTACTGGGATGAGTGCAGTTCGTGATGCGAGGTGTCTACAGCCCCGTGAGTGTTGGTTGGTTGTATTTGATGGGTAACCGGATACGTCACACCCGCCGAGCTGTGACATAACCCGTGTCTGTGTGTTTGTTATTAATCTTAACTAACCTAACCTTACCAAACCTATCGTAAACTAACTTGACCTAACCTTACATTACCTAACCTTATGTAAACCATCAACCTGAACCTTACCTTGTCTAACCTAACCTAAACCTTACCTAGTCTAACCTAACCTAACCTATACTTATGTGGAGCTCTAACACCTGAATGTGAATCACGACGGACAGAGATATGTCCAGTCAATCCTTGTGAATTCTTATATTCAAGAGACAGACAGGCACAGTATGATCAGATGAGGACGTCCACCACTGTAGCCTTATGTCTTGTGTCAGTCTACCGCTGTAATCCGATTCACTTTCATTTGTTTATCATCTTGTGGTCAAATTATCGTCTTAGGTCTTTGGATAGAGTATAAATGTTAATAAATTAATACAATGAAGGTTAAAATTAGAGATCAATGGATGACATACTGTACACGTATACATATTTTGTTTATAATTGACTATAATGTTTATAATCAATACACCGAATACAGTATACGAAAACCTTCCAATCATAATATAATAAATAATATGACAACCGATGAATTACCAGATTTGATATTCTTGAGTGGTGAACTTTTATCAGATGCGATAAAGTTAACTAGTACAAAAAATGCCTGACGTGTTGCTATAGGTGTCGGGTTCGGTTAAATTCTCCCATTGCGCCACAGAAGCTAATTTTCTTCATCATCATTATCATCATCACTTTAACGTGTTTGTGGAAATGTAACCGGTAATATAAGGATATGTTATCGATGTTTTAGTATTTGTTTGACTCAGGACGAATTTCTGTGGTATCATATGGCCTTGAATAATAAAATGTGGATGCCTGGTTATCATTATATTGCCTGGTCACGAAGCTGCATTGTCATTCGTTGTAGATAGTCGCCAACACGCATCAGCATCATCATTGGTTGTTCAAGGTACGAAAATTATAATTGAAAGAAATCACATCGAAAAACTGACATCAGATTCCTTAACTAGTACTTAAAAAATAAAAAATAAATAATTCTGGAGTTATAGGATTATATTTCTCAGCTAGCTTGAGAATTACCTTACATGTTATATACCCAATTCCCCACCTGTTGCATAATTAATTTACGTTATAGCGACCACAACTAGAGGTGTCCATTGTGGTACTGTACAGTATATGAAAAAGGTATTCTGTGGGTTGCACTTCTTGGGCGAGCGTCTGTCACGGCATTAAGACTGTAGTGTTGAAAATTGAACGTCATTCTGATACCCAACGCACTGTACCTAAACCGTCACCGAGAACACGTCACACGCCTATTGAGGAGTGCTATAAAACATACATCTAGACTATTTTGCTTTTTTAAGTTAACCTCGGCTTTTACCGTTTCCAGGGACTAATCATTGTGGTCCCGTGAATAAGTTTGTATAAGTAATAAGATTAAAATGTTTTCCTAACGTAGTGATAACAAGAACGAAAACAACAAATTTTCAGGGCACTAGCATGAGTGCTCAATGTGGATAAGAAAAAAATAATCGTGGCGCCATGGCTTCACTAAACAGGTTTCAGTCAGTTCTTATAGAGCTCAGTGGCATGAACACCAACACAGTATTAAGACACAACATTTGCAACGTCTCCTTATGTTTTGCCTTCATTTAATACTTTTATATGTTCCCAGGTCACGTCATTCTGTAGACTACCAAAAACTATTGCTACAGCTACGGACCGTAAGACCTATTGCTCGGTTTTCCTCATATTCTGCGATATCTCAGGATAATTAAGATTTAATGCTCTCATAAAATTATGGAAATATATACACATTTCATGAAGTTTCGCTGGGTAATTCATACACCCACTGTGCACTAGGGTATCTGTTGGTGCCGCAAATACTGTACTGCACCTGGGTTAGTGATCATCGTACCTGCAGTTGTTGTTTGTTGTTGTCTGTACAAAGGCTCTGTCCACAGTAACTGTGGACGCAGGGTATAGATACACCCACCTAAATCCCCAGGGTACAAAGTTCACTTGTGCACTTCAAAACCCACGGCGTGTGATGGCTGGCCTGTCAAAGCATACCATGACATTACATGAAACAGAAGCTGTTATGTGAAGCTTTAACAATAATTTGTTATACATTACCATTGTTGTAATTTGAATAAGGATATTGTGGATATTGAGATGCACGGTGGTGTAAAAGCCTTAAAATGGGTTTATCTAGCGCTGCTCGTGCACTGTGAGAGCCTCCACTGGGCTCTCTCCCAATTCACTCCACCAGTTGACTTGACCTTCAAATAAAGTATTGTTGTTGTTATGTTATTACTGCGCTTCAACAACTAAGGTCTCATGGCGGCGGTGCTGAGAGCTGATGAAGAGAATGATGCCGAGATTACCGAAGAGGAACTGTGGAATAATAAAGCAATAATCCCCAGGAACCACTGTTCTCCATCTGCTCCACACGTGCCCGGAAACTTCCTCCCTCTGTCGAATGGTTGAACCTCCAACACAAAAGTGCGCATTCCTAAATCGGGCACAGTCAAAATCATACCTATTTCCTTTCCTCTTCTGTAAAACGATGGACCATATTCCTTTACCCGCCCTATGTTCCGGCAACCATTTAACTGCGGCATCAAAAGTAGTCTCAAAAGAACCTCCCGTGTCCTCGCCAAGAGTGTGCAGCTACAGTGAGGATCAACTTGGTTTAAAATGGCTAGGTTATGGTGTATTTACTCCTATCTTCTCAGTGATTTTATGTACGATTTATTCTCTTCTCCCCGACACCTCAGTTACCTGCTTTTTACTTTAAATGTTTTCGCTTTAACTCGCCAGATCATCCTTTGTATCGTCTTTCACTTGTGGTATCATCTCCCCAGACAAGAGTAGGGTTTCCTTCCGCCCAAACTCAGGGACGCTCCCAAAATTCTCTCTCGGAAATAGAGTTAACTACCTTTTTCCTGCCCGTGTCAACCCCCCCCCCATAAAAAAATCTAGATATCCTTGAAAAGTACCAAAAACAGACATGATATTTAACTTGGGTCGTTCTTTCTCCATTACGATAAACATTCTAACTAATGACTCCTGATTCAGGGTCACCTGTCTTCATTCTCACTTTGCCCCCCCCCCCACCCACCTCCTTCCCCAGAACTGTTCTCATGTCCTTAGAACCTCCCTTGACCCTTGTGCACTTTGGCCACTATCCTCATTAATAGTTTGCTCTACACCTCAAACCCTTGATACTGATTTGCCCGTAGCAAAAGTTTAACACATCACAGCTCTCCCCCCAGGATCATTTCTTGTCCATAAATCTTTCTCACTCACACCTGAAAGGAGGATCCGCTTCTCCATCAACAACAACTAGCTGGAGATCACCGCACACCATCTGTACACCAACGACTCACCCATGCCCCATTTTTTTCTCCTAATTGTATAAATAGTCCTAGCCTTGAGTTAATATTATTCAACACAACTGCTACGATTGTCCAATGTCAGGGTAGGGGTCGTCTTACCTCAGAAAGAGTCGCTCACGGCAGTACATCAACAATATTGTCTTGACTGCCCTTGCCTCTGGTCTGGTTGTGCTCAAAGTTCTCGAACAAGATGTCTTCTACTTCCGCCTCCAGGCCCCAGCAATTAATTAATTAAGTTAAAACGTGGAGAGATACGACAGATTCAATGTTAATCGTAACAAATATCCTCCATGTTATTCTCTAATTAAAATTTATATTTGATCTATGCCATGCTAGCATTAATGGGTTTCTGGTGTAGTAGTCAAATTCTTCCTGGGAAGACAAATAAGAGACTGGCATAATTCAGTAATTTTTTACATTTCAATTTTATGTATATTTTTATATATGCTGGATATTAATAATTTAACGATGTGTACATTTACACGTGAACAATACATACACATAAAAAAATACATATTTTCCAGAATTCTAAACCCAAACATTTTCCAAAGATCACCCGCCAGTGATCAACATGACATGGCAGTGACAGGCCGCCGGGAAATTTGGGCTTGGTGACGTTTTATTTACGTTTACAAAACATTCCCAAGTATTCTTACCGCAAATAACGAAATATGGCTCCTGGTGAGTAATTTTACCACTCTTATATTTTTTGAGGATTTTTCACTAAATGTTAATATTATTTCCTGATGTCAGACAACATGAGGGTAATTGGTAAACGCTTTTAAATCCCGTAAATGCGGGGGCGCCACTTCTGACACTTTATTTGGCAAAAAGAGGCTATCACACTGGGCAAAATTCCGTTTTCCTAGGTCAGGTTTTCAACCTGAAAACAGATCCGAGGAAAAGGGAAATTACGGGAGTTCTCGAGCAAGTTTTATTTGCATTTCCGGTCCAATTGAGGTTTTATGATATTTGTAATTAAAAGTCATTGATTTTATGAGAACAAATTATTCGAAAACAGTTTTAAGTTATTTTAATGCGTGTACATTACCATTAGAATATTTCCATTCATACAAATGAAAATTACAGAATATTTCATTTGACATGTTGACATCCAGTGAGCGCGGCCAGCATGCTTTCTCAAGCCTCACATATTATTTGGACAAGGAACTTCGACACTTACTTTGTTGATAATGTGAGGGAATGTGTTGTGGAATTTCAGACTTTTACTGTATCGCAAGAAAAGCTTAAAACCACAGCAACACTTGGACGACCCGCCATCTTTGTTATTGGTAAAGAAAGTATTTTTTGACAACGGTGGACATTTTACCCAGTGTGATACCTCCTTAATGCCAAATAATTTTATTCAGCACATAGAGACCCTGTACACAAAGGATTAACGTCTTCCAGCAGTAGTTAAAAAAAAATCATAATCGTTGCCGTTCATTGTGCTTTTCAAATGTTTATAGGACACGAATTAACAAGATACGAAATTTAATGGGACAGGATTTTTAAACTGTTTTTTTTTTTTACTATTCTTCAATACATTTTTAGTTGGTTAATAGTGCATAGTTTTTGTTTTTAATAAAGGTAAGTCTATATCCTCAGGTGGCAGACGAGACTACGGTGTGTGGGGAGACGACACAGTACAGCCACCACTGAGTAAGGGACATGCCGCTGTCCTGCCAGATACTACACCGGGAACATGGCCAAACCTTCGCCACTTTGGCTTCACACATGATTCAGTACTCCTGCCTCAACATCACCAGAAGATCCTCAGGTCATGACCCAACGTCAGAAGATCCTCAGGTCATGACCCAACGTCAGAAGATCCTCAGGTCATGACCCAACATCAGAAGATCAGCAGGTCATGATCCACCACCATCCGAAGATCCCCATCATGATCCCAGACTGTTTCTCAAGGATTCCAGGGCTCATGATCCTGCCTCGTCATTCCTCGGGGATCCAAGGCTCATTTTTCATACCATGGGCAGCCACGGTCAATCCGGTCAGTTTTAATTGCAGTTTTTAATTATATATATATATATATATATATATATATATATATATATATATATATATATATATATATATATAGTAGATCCACAGTGGTAACGTAGAAAAGAAAAATTTTGATAAAAACTTACAGGTAAAGGGAAACGTACTTTCGATTTTCACTTTGCTTTTAAATTCTGACTGTCCAGTCGTTGGGGAATGATGTTTATTTTGAAAATTTTCGAGTCCCGTTACAGATATGATAAATCGATAAATAAAACTCATAAAAATGTGAAAATTTCACCAATTTTTACCGAAGAAATTTTAATTATATTTGGTAAACACTGAAAGACTAAAAAATGTAACCTTGGCAACACTTCCCCAAGATAACTTTTTCATTCCTGAATCTTAAATTGTAAGTTATTTAATTTAAGCACGATTTATTATTTAGATGGGACAGCGACAAACGCAACCATAATTTTTCACCATAGGCTCATGAAGGAGTACGAAGTGTATAAGTTGCTTTGCGTTGCAATATTCGATATCGGGTATTTAGCAGGTGTTCATAAGAAAAAAAATGTTACCTTGTTTAGTTTTTTATTTAGACTTTAGTAAATTTAATGTATGAAACAATTTTGTATTGTATATATAATATTTTTTATCTGAAATGGGGAAACACTGGAATAATTACAATTTTTGGGGGTGCTGACTTGTGTTATGGGCACACTGCTCCTGACGGCGTGGAATCTAAGGAAGATAACACAATCACGTTGTTAACGTTAACAAAGATGGTAACAGATCACAGAAACGTAACAATGGACTTGTATGAATATTTTTGTTATTTGGAATATATTTGCGTAAGAAGGCTACCAAATATCCGACTTTAATGCCATATTAGATACATGGAAGACAAGTAAACAATCTTTCATTTCTCAGCTGATCCTTCAACCTTTTGTTTATGTTGTCAATGAACGGTCTTTAATAACTGCACATATTTTTCCATTTATTTGAGTTTTGATCAATGATAAAAAAATATTGACAACATTTTAATATCATCTTCTTTTCTATAATAGAATATGTGTTGTTGATTTATTCAAATTGTAAATATTAACAATTTATTTGATTTCCAGCATAAATTATTTTGAACTTTGGCTTGATTTCTTGATTCGTACTCTACCGAGGCAAGAGATTGATGCACTCCAAATGACAACTTGGTTTTTTTTTACACAATGGAATGTGAAAAATAAACCAGTTTGTTGAAATTTGTTGCCATACATACAGAATGTGGTATAGGTTTTTATGTCAAATTGTTAAAATCAAGGAAAATAGTGTCAGATAACTTGTAATTGCAGATAGTGATAAATCTGTTGTTGTAAAATATATATGTATCATTGCATCATTTATGGTTTTTGATTGGTGTTTTTCTTAATACTATATGTAGTTTGACTATTCTGATTTTCAGTTCTCTAAAGTATGATGTTTTATTTCAATTAAAGTTTTTTAAAAGTATTAAGTCTCCAGAAGAAACCCTCTCAACATTGTGTATTAAGCGCCCGCCATTACAGGGGACGTGACAAAAGGGTCGGGTAGAATTCGCTTATTTTATCACTATGACGATTCTCTAACCCCCCTAAAGCATAGGAAATTGACTGCTGCCCGCTAGGTAAGGTATCAAGCTTTCCATATGAGAGCAGTTTGTAGTAATTTTTCTCCCAGGTCACTTGATAAAATGTACTAAGCCTTCAGGTGCATTGCAATTCAGTTGACATCCTTTCATTCTTGTTACTGAGATGCAGAATCGCGTGTAGTAATGCCCAAAACCCCCCGTCGATATCATGTGATTTCCTAAGCCGTGTTTTTGTCAGGCATATTTTATTACTGGATGGATTATAAGAGAATTACCGAGTCGTCCGTTTTATTGATTACGTGTGACATTGTAGTGGTGTCTGGCAACCTGAACTAGCTAGAATTCACCCAAAATATTTAGTTGTTATATCACTTACCTTGTTAATAATGTTGTTAAGAGTCTGGGAGATGAACACATTACTTTTCATTTTATAACTCTTAACTTCTGATATCCTTGTGTGAATATATACTGTACAGTACGTTTTTTTTTCAACCTATTGGAGTCACACAAAGAAAGATTGATTGTATATTTGTAACCATACATACTTGCCCTTATATTATGCTACCATACCACCTGGATACCGTAAATTACTCTTACTGGATCTGGCTTCATTGTAAAAGAAGTTGTGACCTTATGTATTTGTGTACAAACTTTTTTGTTATTGATTCATTGTCTTGCAACAGCCACATGTGTTTCAAATTTACAGTCAGGTAGAGTTAATACTGATCAGCCTCCAAACACCATAGTAGTTATGCCTACTGAACAGCTACCTTATGTATTAGACCTATTGGCCAGTGTTTGACTTGAAAACCACATTGTTAGTACAGCATAAAACAAAAGAAATATCTACCCAAATAATCCATTACCATGCTGCAGTTGGAATCTGTGAGCCATATGGTATTGTGTCATAAGGGAGAGAAATCTAGAGATAATTATTAACTCCATATGTTATAAACCATCCTAACCTGACCAAGTTATGAATTCTTTTTGGTTAAGTTAGTTTAGTTTTTGGTGGTTTGTGTTGTGTAGCATTAAATGTTTTCCACTCCTCACTCATAGCCTGCATGTTTCACTACTGAAGGTGGGTTACAAGGAGGTTAGGCACTCCAGCTTATTTCATCTTAAGGTTAACCACCCTAATGTTACTGAGGGGTTAGGATAGGTTAGCTTAAGAGTGGTTAATCTTTAGGTGAAATAAAGTGGGATTCCTGCTCTTGTGGTCCATGAAAATCAACTAGAGAGTACAGAGAATATTGTGGAAAGAGATATTTTGTTTCATGTAGCATTAAGAATGAGGGTTTACTGTAAAACATAACCAGATACATTTATTGTACAGATGCAGTAGAAGGCCTCTTGTTTGGATATTAGTGCTTTGTTTACATGAGCACCACATTCAAATCAACCTGTGTTAAGTTTTGTTTAAAAACTAATATTTCTTGTTAAAAAGAAGAAACGGTTTAAAAGAAATATAATAATTACTTTGGGAGTACAGGTATATAAAGATTTTTGCTTATATTTGTCACATGAATTTGGGATACACGTACAAAGCACTTTGTGTTGATTACCGGTACATTTATCCCGGGTTTTAATTCCTTCTCAGTGAAATAGCTGGATTTATATCATTTGCTGCTCGAGATTTTTTCCTAAGATTTCTAATACTGTACCATACCTTTCACTTGCCTGTAAGAGGAGGGGCAGAGATATAACATCATCTGTTTTGTTTTAGAAATTTCATGTTTGGATATTATAGTACTGCACAGGGTTAATTACTACTATCACCAGTTTAATGGTTGTACTGTACTGTATACAGTATATTAATTTTTGGTCTATCATTACTCCAATGGGTGTTCTATAGTTGTGAAGTGAGGACCTCTCGAGTGTCTTTATCTAGATCCACACATTGTGTGCATGTGTGCACTTCTACTTTTTGGGGAGTGTGGTATAACTTGGGAAGTATTGGGGTCACATGAGTTTCACGAGTCAATAACTTTGTTAAGGGCACTTTATTGTGTAGTACTGGAATATGTCAGTGGAATGAACTCCTGCACTGCTTTCATTAAAACAGTGTCAAACTATTGGTTTTTATAAAGCAAGTAATTTATTTTTATGCAGTGACCTTGATGCCCCAAATCAAAATGGTGACCACATAAATAACATTTTGTAATGCTTGACAAATGTTTAAGCTGTTTACTGTTTGTATATAAGTATGTACTGTATGTACAGAAAAGTGTCTTGTAATGACAGGTGGTTTCCATTTTCATCTGTAAGCTCAAGACTTAATTTTGATTTTAGGTGAACCAGGAGCTTTACCTCTATTACTCAGTATCCATTATACAGTACAGTACTTCATTCTTGGTCTTGCTGTAATTCGTTTGCTAGTGGTACTTGTATTACAGTGTACAGTTGAACCTCTCAAATCTGGGAACCATGGGACAACCCCTTGCTGGATAATAGAATTTTCTGGACCACAGATTGTCACTGAAGAATACTGTAATTTAAAAAGAATAAATTTTTAAAGGAGAAAATAGGTGCAGTCTATTTTTAATAACTCCTCCAAAATAAACTAATATTTAAAGGTATACTGTATTTGTACTGTACAGTAAGAAATAATTCAATTGCTTGCTCCTCAATGGAACTTTTTACATGCATTGATACTAACTGATAAGAGTTGGTACAAGTACAGTACAGTATTAATCTGTACTCAATGACTTTTTTAGAAATTGCCCCAAAACCTGCATAGTGAGTGCAAGAAGACCTTCTAGTGCTTTGCCAAGCATACCGTGTATCAAGAAACCGCAAAAGAGTGTCATTTTAGAGGTGAAATCAGACATTGTTTCAGGCTGTGCAGATTAGCAGTGCCTGGACTAAGGGCTGGGCTTTTTCATGTGCCTGGCACTTGCCCAGTGGACTAGCTGATATTTTGAGAGGAAAGCTCCTAGTCAGAAAATTATCAGGTGTTGCGTGACTCCGCCTCACCATACATGTTAAACCAGGGAGGTTTTTCAATGGTTGTTTTTCATCAGAGTACCAGGAGTAGTGATTGTCAGATGCAGGTAATTTATCTTCATTAAACTGCCAACTTGCCTATGGTCAGTCGGAGTCAAGTTTTCAATATTTCAAAGGAACCGCCAAGGTGAGAGGCTGTAGACGTGAGGTGATAGGAGTTGTGACTTCACATGACAAATGTTACTATCATTGACATCAGCTTATAGGGAGCGGAGTGATAGTTAGGCTAAGACAGGTGATCACAGGTACTGGCTCTGCCTTCCCACACATCCAGCAGGGGTGATGTGAGTTGATTGGGTTATAACATCACAAACACTCCCCCAGGTTCTGGATGAGTTCCGTTCCTGGTGGCTATCCATAAGCCGGAATTGACCCTTTCATAGGTAATCACTGAACACAGTACAGTGCACATAATGTACTGTATATACAATTATTATACAGTACAGTTAGAAGCAGTAATTGTTACCACCTCCCTCCCCTCCTAGCACCCAGAGCCACAGCCAGTGAAAGCCGATATAGACACAGTGCAACATCCCTAGCCACGATAGTTCCCAAACTATCCATTAACGTTCAGAGAAGGGGAGGGAGAAGGGTTTGTCCGATCGCCAGGCGTTCACTTACCATGGCTTTGACTGTTGCTTCCGACTGTACATACACGATACAATACTTTTTCATTCATTTAAAACTATACAGGATATATAGTAACAATAGAAGCATAGGAAAGAAAGACGAGTGTCACAATGATGCACTACTTAACATCCGTAACAATGGATACTTATCTGCAACCCGTAATTCTTTCAGTGTGACTTATGGGAGAATATCCATAACCCGGGTAGTGTCTGTACTGTAAAATTACAAAACATTATATGAAGTGAACTGAAGCCTAGGAGTTAAGCAGCTAAGAACTGGAGTAATTATGACCACAGTTGTTGAACCAGCATTTCTAAAATTGCTGGACTAGAGAGGTTCAGCTGGACAATATCTGTCAATAGTAATGAAGGGACTGGCCTCCTTATCCTAGTGTATTTAATCTGAACTTTGGCTTGGAGTTTATTTTGAACAGTCCTCTAAATTTGAATAATGTCATAACTATTTATTTGTTTCTTTGTCAGAAATGCCTTCTCCATACAGTACAGGTATTATGAAAAAATTTATAAGTATAACAAGCCAGTCCATTGTTCTGAACAAAAATATTTAGAATTGGCAATAGAATTTTGAAGAAACAAGGACGACTAACATCTCTGACCAGTGTCCTTGATGTTTGACCTTTATTCTCCTGACTCAAACACTCAACCTATCTCCCAGTTACAGTATAACTATTCTTAAAAAATTTAACCAACGCCCGTGTCAAATTTCATTAAGATCCGTACTCCAGTTTAGAATGTCTCCTGTGGTGGTCACTTTCCTTACCCTACAATATGATCTTGATTGTATAACTTAAGATTTTCCAAAATGAAACCAACCCAAAACGAGGCTAGTACTTGGCAGGTGTGCCACATATATTCCAGTTCATTGTAACTTAATTTTGTTTATTTCTTACATACAATATTCCCTTAAAGCTCGCTGGGGTTAGGGAAAATGGACCCCGTGAGAAAGCAAAATCCGCGAGTTTTCATGCCAGTCCCAGGAGTGTGCAAAATACATATGTAAATAGCTATATGTACATGTATAACAACATTATGTATGCATAAGACAATATAATAAATATGAAATAATATAAATAAACATGAAATAACATTGTATGGACATTAGGTCCACACAGTGATAGTTAGTTGTGATAGTGACAATGGAAAGACAATATCTCTAAAATGTTAGCTGATCTGGTGCACAGGATGTAAACAATCCCTGTAATGGACAGTTCCTAGTGAACATGCCCATTATTGATGAGTACAGTATTTATGTGTATGCCGTAGGTACCTGTACGTATATTATATCCTTTTGAATTAAATTAGGTAAATTTTATTAATAGTACCAACAAATGTTTAAATAGGTCCATAAAGTGATAGTGAGCTGTGGTAGTGAGAAACATGATACCATATAGCCAGTGACTTGACTTTGCCAGTACAGTAGGCTATTGAATCTGCTAAAATTATTTTTCCAAAATATACCTTGTTAATTATAGGGTGCATCTTATGACCTGGGAAATATGGTGCTCTATACTGTCCTGGTGTGTTGACTCCTCTTGACCCCTGGCACACAGCCTCAGATTTATTTTATTTACTTTCCATGGCAGTCTGTGAGTTTCTGGGGGACGCAAGGCTTAAAACTGCGAGCTTTTAGGGAATACTGTACCCTGTATATAACAATATACAGTATATAGTAATTTTGTCACAAAAATTCTTTATGTTGCATTTTGGACTTACAGTAATGCTGTACTTTATACATGTTTTGCAGGATAACTTGTTTTAGTTCATCTATTTGTAAAACCTTATTTGTCATGATATTCATTTTTTATATGCTGAATTTCTAATTTATACATGTCTTCTACTTTCCAGAAGAATGGCGGGTGGCGAGGGTGTGAATGGTGGTGGAGGTGCAGGTAGTGCTGGTGTGTGTCCAGTATGTGGTTGCAACCAGCCCAACCTGACACAACATTTGTCTCGTCATAGTAAAGAAGAAATTATCCGTGCCGTCACTAATGGGCAGCCACTGCCAGAATTAGCCAGCCGGCGGCCTCCTGGACGAACTCGTAGGCCTTCTTATTCACTTCCATCTGTGAATAATGTGGCCCCCATCTCCCCAAGACCCACCACCAGTCAGACACCATTGCTCCTTGCTGGAAATCCATCTCATGAACAGACTTTGGGGGCCCCCCTTGGACCTTTACCTCAGGCATCTCCTACACCTCATCCGACCCCTGCTCAACCTGTTAGGCTAGGGTCTCTTGGACCTCTGATACAACCTTCCCGAAATGGCATGCCCCTTGCAGCAACCCCTTTGCAGCATGGTGCTACCGGCAGCAATTACCTTCTCATTGGTAATAATATGTTTCCCGCTGGGAGTGTAATCCCCAATAATTTACCTCTTGCAAACAATGGGGTCAGCTATCTTATCCCTAGTTCTGGGGGGCTTATGCTTGCTGCTGCCCCATCAGCCAACCAAACTCTGTTCGTTCAGACACCTACCACTACAACACAAACTGTACCTGTTAAGCATCAACCACCCACCTCTGTCTCTATTACTGGACCAGGTACAGTTATGGGAGGGGTTTATAACAGTATCCCTCGACGAACTCCTAGACCACTTTTGCCCGAGCCACCTATCTGTTATATTGAGGAATCTTGTCCTCAGCAGACACAAGAAGAAATTCAAGTACCTTCTGTAGAGAATTCATACAGATTGGAAACAAATACAAACCAGAATATCATAAATAATGATAGAAATTATTTCAAGACAAGAAGTGAACCAGTAACTGTAAACCAGAAAGCTACCATAAATATTGGTAAAAATATTAGTATTTCATTGCCCAAAGATCTGGTTGGGCAGAAGAATCGACTGAAAGAGATTATAAACCAGGAGTTAGTAAGAGCATTATTGATGAATGATAGTCAGGAAGAGAGTGAAACTACAGAAAGTCAGCCCTCAACTAGTACTGGAAGAAGGAAAACAGACTTTTACTTTGCTAAAAGTGAACCAATTTGCTATGAAGTGAAGAATGATGTGTGTTCCTCTTCATCTAATACCTTATCTGGGGATATTACTGAAACAGTTATAGAAGAAAATCCTTTGAGGATTGATTCAGATATGGGTGATAATGATAATTCACGCGATTTTGATGACGAACAACAACAATATGGTGAAAGTAAGCAAGATGTTGATCCTTTGGCAACACCTTTGGTTATACCCATCACAAGCAGGTGCAGAAATGGTTCAGAATTTCAAGATTCTTCTAACATTCATATAGACCCAAATGTTCCTTCACCTGCCCGCAACATAACCATAGAAAATGGTCTTGACAGCTTCACTCGCCATGGGACAGTCAGTTCATTTAGTATTCCAGTAGATGAACCAATGGAGGTTATTTTTGATGATAGGGGTCATAGTAGCCGTGCATCTAGTGGTACTAGCAGCACTTCTCAAGGTCATAGCTCTAGCATAAATACCCGCAGTGATAAGGTCTCTTACAATAGGGATAGCAATAAGATTTCTTTTGAGGTGTCTACAACTGTCGATGAAATTAATAATGATGTTAAATTAAAACGAACAATAAGTAGAAAGGTTGAAGTTAATGACTCGAACATGGATATTGACATGTGTAACACCTCAAGAATAACTACTACCTTGACTCCTGTCGGCCAAACGTCTGGTAGTGTAAACCAGAACAGACAAACAAGCAGAGAAGATCAGGAAGATAATATGTTATGCTGTGATGATGATCAACCGCTGAGTTTTTTAACATCAGATCGCAACTTCAATACTCTCTTGGGTGACTCTACTCTACAAGAAATGGTATATGTAGACGACCAGGTCCTTGGAGCTGTCGAAGAAGTCTTTGCCGGTGATAATTCGTCAAATCTACCAGGTACAAGTTCATCTCTTGTTAATGGAACATCTAGTCAGAAGTCAGTCCCAAGGAAAGTGAATAATTCGTATGTGACTGTGTATGAGGAGCAGCAGTGTATACCTCCAGCACTTGAGAGTAATAGAGATAAGAAACAAGAGGTCAAATGCAAGATTGAACCTCAGTGTAGTTCAACACAACCTAATTCTTCCACAGCCAATAGGACCACATCTTATCAGATAACTCAAACATCTCAAAACCAATCTATGATCAGATCTTCCACCAACATTGTAGGGAAATTGGAAGTTTCAACACAAGAGCAAGAGGAGGAGTTAGTAGATGACCCAAGTTTAGTCGAGGATTTTGGAAACGAGAGCATGTTTCAAGAAGACCAGATGTTTGAACGGGAATTGAGCAGCCAGCAGACAGAGGAAGTTATGTCTCTCAAGGCATCAGAGACCCTGGCTGACAGTGATAGTGAGAGAGCCACACCACATGAAGAACTACAGGATGTAAGTTGTTAATCTTATTTTTCCTGTTTACCTTGTTATCTTTACATCCACGCTTGTGAGAGATACATTGATACATTTCCAGAGAGGATTTAAAGAGAGGAATGTAGAGGAGGAGTTGTTGAGTCAGTGAAATAGTGTGGATGTGAAGCAGGAGGAGGTAGCAAGGTGGTGGGAGTGGAATGTGGTGTAATTATAATGCAAAACAATAAAACACAGATTAGAGAGAACCTAGAGCAACATCATGATGAACTAATGAAGAAAAAAAAGGGCAGGAACAAATTGGGAGTTAATATTTTGATATATAGTGTTGAAGATGTGTTTGGATATGTGGAGAGAATTTGAATTGGGAAGAATGATCATGGGAATTTATATGACTATGATAGAGGGAATGGGGCAAGGTATTGGCATTATGGGATTGAAGTTTGAGAGAAGGAAGAAACTGCTTTAAGGAGGGTGCCGGTATGTTAATAACTGTCAGGATACACTTCTACATAGTCACTTTGTTCTATGAAGCACTTTTGGTGTTTTTTAAAGGAAAATTACAGTATTTACAACTTTAAAACTGAGAGTGTCTTATTGCCTTCCTTGTAGCTCATGTTTTACGATCGAAGCTGCATGTTTGCCGGTGAGCCAGGCCCAGCGAACCTCTCCCCAAGAACGTACCCTTCAATAGACTCCTCAGCCTTCCATGCTCTGACCCCAGCTCTGATCACACCTCTCGATCATGCAGTAGAGGTAAGGCTGTGTGTGTGGGTATACTGTATTGTACCTTATATTGAAAAGTTTCTTTGTATTCTATATTGTTTCTAGGCACTGTACTGACAACCATTTATTTTTTCTGGCATTACGTGTTTACATTTACAGTTTATAACAGATTCTAAGGCACTGTACTCATACTGTACCTAAGGCTTCCCCCAACCCACCATTCATAAATCAGTGTTTATCAATATAACTTGGTATTTCCTGTAAGTTTTGTGCCACAGTGAAGGTTGATGATAATATACAGTAGTGCCAAGCAGTAACTACTGGAGACTGAATGGTAGCTTTTTATCCCATCCATCACACCACATGGAAAGTTTCCCAAGTATAGTAATGCTTCATCTCTGTGTGGCCGGCCAGACTGTAGATCATGATTAATTATACTTGGGTAGAAATTGGAGACATTAATGGTATCTGATTTGTAGCAGTGCCTTGGAACTAGCGTATCTGGTTGTCTGTATAAAATTGAAGGTGGACCCAAAGTTTCGGTCAATATAGTGTCCATATGGAAGTAAGGTGGTGAAAAAAAATTCCTTTACAAGAATGTCATCATCATTACTACATTACTGACAAAGGCATTTTTAGTATAGCTCTTCAAACAGACTGTGGAGTTTCTCTTCTTCTTTTTCTCTCTCCATCTTTCTCTGTTTTTAATGTAGGTGAAGTTTGAAAAGGTCTAATATTTTATAAATTAATGAATAGAGTATGGAGACCAATTGCCATATTCTCAGTGTGAAAAGATGTTCTGCTTTCATTTGTTTATCTCTCTCTCTCTCCTTGTGTATACTGTATGTATGTCTGTGTGTGATAAGTTTGTCAAATCAACTCATTCTCCATTTTTCAGTAGGCTTTTTTCTTTTCTTTTTTTATTTTTTTATTTATTGCTTGTTACAAATGTGAATGGATGGTTGGTGAGAATTTGTCATTATAGTTTTGCTCTGTTGGTTATTTGTAGTTCTGGCCCTTTTTATTTATTTGTCTATCTATTTATCATCTTGCCACTAATCAATTTACTCCCTGCTTTGGTGGTTGGTCTGTTCTTTGGTATGGCTTTCATTGTCCAGTGTCATTACAGGAGAAAGCCTCGGATGTTAGGTAAGGTTAGGTTACACTGCATAACACTTTTCTCATTTATACACCAGGCTGGGGACTGAACCCAGGACATGGTAGTGAGATATGTGTTCATTACCGCTGTACAGTACTGCCAAACGTCCCATTTTGGGGGGATAGACTATATAAAGCCTCTCAAGCTCACTAATCAATGCTTCTCAAAATGACTTGGTTTGTATTAAACTAGCATAACGCTTCCTATGTACAGTACCAATGGCATCTTCAGCTAAAACCTCATCAGTGTTTATGGGGAGAAGGCAGCATGACCTTTATCCTTTTAATGAAGAAAAAATCAATGCTTTTGTCTGATTTTATTAGAAATTGCATTCATCATATTCATTTAAGGATAGGTTTTTTTTTTTTTACCTCAAACTCTTTTCCCCAGATTGACTCGGGACAGCCTGGGTCAATGTCTGGCCTGGTTGGAGGACATACAGAAGATGGTGTTGTAGAGATGCCCCCTGTAGAAACCACAATGCATCTTTCTGCAGATGAATGCTGCACTGTTTTGCCACCAGAAGGGCTTAGTATTACCCAGCTGTTTTCCTCAGCCCATGACCCCACAATAGTTCCTTCAACAGCAACTTCTTCACATGTTAATGCCATTGTTTCATCGGCGCAATCACAAGTTACCTTTGCCGACTTGATGGAAGATTCAAAATTAAGCTCTAAGGTAAGTTTAGTTCATGCTTAAAGAGATAAAAAGCCAAAATAGTGCATGATTGAAATTTAATGCATAGTAAGGTAACCAGTATTTCCTAGTGCTGTTTCAGAAGTGTTTTGAGATTTGAATGTAGTAATCGGGCTGTATGGCCTTGGGTGATGATCATAAACTTATACTTTGTGGTTCTGTAATGTGTAACTTTGATTAACAACTTAAATTATGGATCAGGTAAATCCTGTACAGTCAATGTGTCAGTGATATGCCAGCCAGGCCTTTTAGTGTCTTTGGTGTGTGTAATTGGGACTAAGTTCCAGAAAAATGGCAATTTTTCTCCCGTATACAAATGTAGCCCCCCAAAATGGGGTTTTTTGGAGGTGTCAATTGTACGAGGTGAAAGAAGAGTCTTTACAGCTGCATTAATACTCATCCATTGCCCAGTTTACCTTTTATTGTTGGTTACAACTGGACAGCACAACCACCCCTCAATGCCAGTCCCCTGACTGTACAGAGGTGACTGCCTCCTGGCTTGCTCCAAGTACTTTGGGAGCTAAGCACTTCCTCTGAAATATTTTAAATGCTTATCATTTCAAGATATACTGTTTGCCATGCAGTTGTAGGCAAATAGTGCTTTAAGTGTGTTTTATCACATTATAAGAGTATTTACATTTGCTTAATGACCCATTGTTAGTTTACTGCTGGGCTGGTATGTGGGGTCAGCACTACTAGCATTGCTTTGTAACAATGGTACAGAGCTCAACATTATTTTACCAGGTGCTGGGTCTTGTGTATTGTGACTGTGAAGATGTTCTAGTCTCCTTAGAAGCTGTACTGTAGTCTTGAACACAATTTCAGGAAAGTTCCTTTTTGGAAGTTACCATGGATCTTAGGATTAGTTGATCCTTTATTTAATATTTTGTTTAAAACTATTTTTTAATGATCCTTTGTGCTCAAGTTCAGGTCATATTAGGACACACAAGGGGATCCAGTAGCTCGTAATTACTAACCAGGTGGAAGTAATTAGGGTTTCAACATATTTGCAACTGTTTTAGTTACTCCTCTCCTAAAAGACTGCATTTCCCGTGTAGGCTCACACCTTTCTGTTATCTTCAGAAACATACCTATGAGGGGCCCGTAGGTAACATTTCCTATTTACATTTATGACACCCTTTGTATCACAAGGAGTTATATAGTACAGTACAGTATATGGGTTTCCTCTAGCAACTCGAGCTTTAGCAAGTTACCGCCTCTTAAGTTTGAACTTAAATTACAGTAGTTCATAATACCTTGTTGGGGTGACTGATGGCTTATAGCTTATCTGTCCATTCCAAATGAATGACCAAGGGTAAAGGTTGTGAGACTCCCAGTAGTGAGTTTGTGATATATGGTCTGGATAACCATATACTGTATATTGCCCTTGTCATGGTAGCTTGTAATCTGAACTGCTTTCACCCTGGTCAGTGTGAGGAGTGTAGCAAAACTGCTAATTGCATCTTACATAGTGGACTTGATTTTACAGCTGGTACTATTTTTGGGAAGAGAGTAGGAGTCTTTCTTGATGTCTGTGACTCACTAACATCTTAAAAAAATCACCAGGTATGTTAATAGCTGGAAAAGAAATGGCAGACGTCCTGTTCCTTTTGATATTTTGTAAACAAAATTGGAAGAGTATGATAAATATGCTGGTCCCATGTCCAAGGTTATACCAATAGTGTGATAGGAAGGTAGGGATGATTAGTTTGTTCATTGAAGTTCAAACATCACTCAGGGCTTAGCACTTGGGATTGTCCAAGAACATTGTACTCTCCAGATGGCAGCCCTGTGTTATGAGAAGTACTTGGTCTTGGTATATGAGGAAAACGAACAGGAAAGGCATGATACATTACCATCAAAAACAGATTTTGCATTGAATGAATATTATTACATATTTTGAAGTACTGTACAGTACATGTAAAAAGAATAAATAAAGAAGCCTATGATTATCTCAAGTAACAGGTTTTAAAGATAACCTGGGTATCACTTTATTAAGATGATATTGATAGTTTACAATTTCAGTAGATATGATGATCTTAGGCTTAGCAACATAAACTTGTATGGTGTGTATGGAAGTGTACTAATAAATTTTTATCTCAAACCAGATGCTGGCACTAGAAAAAAGCTGTAATAGCTTGAATCGTCAGTTGTCTCCAATTCCATCAACCTCTGGTCTTCAAGGTTCAATCCTTGTGAAGACGGCCAAAGAAGATGAGGACTATGAATTTGAATATGAGAGTGATTGTTATGGGGACAGTGACTCCGATTCTGGTGTGATTAACCGTGGTCCTCTTGACCTTGATCACTGGAAGTGTCTTGTGTGTAATAAAATGTTTAAGAGTCTAAAGGAAAAATTACTACATGCTGGTCAACATTCACCCTGTGCAGAGGCTATGGAAAAATCTGGGGTAATAAGAAGTGCCACTCAAGTGAAGTCTGTTCAATCAGGGATTAAAAAGGACACCGAGGAAGATTCAGGCATATCACTTCTGAAGTGTAAGGAAGAAATGGGTACACTTCAGGAAGAAACACGAAATATGCTGGAGAATTTTGCTTCAGATGGTGAATATAAATGTCCTGAATGTAGTCTAGGATTTCCAACAGCAGAAACTCTACACGAGCACAGAAAGATGGTGTTTAAGTCCCGTGTCATATGCCAGATATGTCATATGGTGTTCAAGAAGAGACTGTCAAAGATAAAGCACATGAAGACACACACTGTGGCAGACCTAAGGTGTCTCATTTGCAATCGCACTTATCCAAACCGTTATTCTTGGTCACAGCATCAGCTCTTCCATATGGGTTTGGTACTCTTCGAATGCAAGGAATGTGGTAGAAGATTCCAAAGGAGGTCAGAATTAGAGGTACACTCGAGGACCCACACGGGTGAAAGGCCTTATCATTGTGCAACTTGTAGTGGAGCCTTTACCACACGACAAGCTCTCAAACGGCATTTAGTTACTCATATGGATGGCCAAGAGGTCGATTGTGATATCTGTCAAAAGACTTATAAAAATAATGTATGTTTAAATAAGCACAAGCTTAAGGCTCACTCAAAAGGCAAAGGAAAGACAAAGGTACGGAGGGACTTCATGTGTAATACGTGTAATGAAGTTTTTCCCTCGGAAAAGAAGTTAGCATGGCATCAAGAAACTCACGAGAGGTGGCCAAAGAAGTGTCAACAGTGTGGAGAGTGTTTCATTCACCAGTCCAGCTTGACCAAACACATTCGTCAGAAACATGACCCACACCACCAAACACCTGATGGAAAATCTGAAAATAATTCCACTTGCCATATATGTTGCAAAGTATTTAAGAAATCTTCACTGGCGTTACATTTACGGACGCATACTGGAGTTAAGCCCTTCAAGTGCAATATATGTAATAAAAGTTTTGCAGTGAAGTGTAATTTAGATGCTCACAAATGGGTTCATATGGGTGTGCGTGATCGGCCACATAAATGTAAGTTATGCGAGCGCAGTTTCCACCGTAAAAAAGATTTAGAGGCTCATATACGTAGTCATAAAAACATTCGTCCTTTCACATGCAATGAATGTGGAAAATCTTTTATTCATAAAAACAATTTGCAGCTTCATGTACGTGAGCATTCTGGCGAAAAACAGCACAAGTGTGCCTTTTGTGGTAAAGCTTTTTTTCGAAAGTATAATCTGGACAATCACGTCAGGATTCATACGGGGGAAATGCCGTATGAATGTACCATTTGCCGCAAAGATTTTACTCAAAAAAGCAACTATAATGTACATATGAAGGCATTCCATGTTGAGAGACATGCTGTTCATGAGGAACTGTAAGGAAATCTCAAACTGAAAAGAAACTGTATGTACAAATGTCTAGTTTCTGTTGGCAAAGTATTAATCAAATGAGAAGTTAGAGAATGTGTCATCATTCAATGCCAGATATACAGAAGTGTTATTTTTCTAAAAAAATAAATAAAAAAATTTAGGTAACATGATTGAGAGTCCATGAGGGGAAAACGTAAGTAGAACTTCGATAATCTGCTGTTGTTTAGTGTTACCATCGGCTAGTTTAATCTTGACATAACACTTACCTTTTCTTAGGTGAGGTACTACATTTATTAAGTGATGATAATTCTCAGCAAGACTTTTATGACCTGTTATTTATTTTTTATTTTAAGTTTGTGATACTGTACAGTATGTTGCACTGTGTGCAAAAAAAATAATGTATGGGTTTTATCAGGCCCAAATTACAGAACTATCGGTGAAGCTTAGGTTGAATTTTTTAACTCATAAAATTAGGGAAGTGCTACTGTATTGACGTACAGTATATCTCCTCAATTTAAAAAAAAAATAGGTCTTTTGTTATTGAAGCTTTATGATCTTCAAGAAAATAACTGGCAGTTTTAGTGAAGGTTGGTTTTGGAATTGCTTCCATTAATATGTGGCTTCAGACTACACAGTATTGATGGTATTGTGTTAGGAAGTCACCATTTTAATTAATGCCAAATTTTTAATAATTTTATAATGTGTATTATATAGTCACAGACTAACGTGGTTCTACTTTTTAAATAGTGAAAGGTTGCATGAGTATTTTAGTTTATGGGATACTTTTCTAAAGGAGTTTATGGTATATTTAGCAAATTGGTTCTTAACTATTGTACAGTATATATATATACTGTATATATATATATACATACACTTTATGATTATAGAGATGTTGTATTGTCTTGGAATTTTAAGAATGGTCTAATTTTTTTATTCTAGTTGTAACCTAAAGTAACCAGTGACACCGGTCATGCAACGTTTTCAGAAATGTAATTTTGTGGAACTCATCAGTGCAATACGTACATTTAAATTTCTAGGTTATATGTGCATTGTGAAAGATCTGTAAGAAAACTTGTATGCAGTTGAGAAATAGTGGTTTATATGATAACATTAAGGTTGTGTAAACTTTGTTATCAGCTCCGTAGGCTCAAGCTTAGCCTTTATTCCTCTAGTGGTTCCTTTACCAAAACTGCCACAGAATTAGTTACCTTAAACTGTAGAATACATGTTTCTTAGCAATTTTTTGTGTGGTTTGACAATAAGATGATATGAACCTTGTAGAAGTTGTGATGGTTATGGTTCTTGCTAACCTTATTGAACTTTCATACGTCTTTTCTCGTGGACACCAGCAAGAGGTCTCCTCCCACGTGAATGTATCTGTATTGTTATGGGATACCTGTGACTGTATGAATGGTGGACATATTTTTGAAAGAAAGCAATTTTATGATTGTGAGCATACAACTATTTATACTGCATGTGAATTTTTGTTGTTGTGCTTTCAATGATAATTTCTCAACTCATTTTAATGCAGCAGCCTCAGCCATACTTTTTTATTTTTCTGAAATTAATTTTTAAATTCAGAAGTTATTTAATAATTCATTTATAGTTTTATTCATGTACTGCACAGTATGTCGAAGCGTTCTTGCAGAAATTTTATAGTATATATAAATAGTTGAGCTTATTTTGATAGGTCAGTTTATTGGAAGATTTTAATTAAATCACTATCAGACTTAGATGGTTACCTATTGGTTAAGGGTATTGATATGTGAAGTAAATTTGCAGCACATTGTCTTATGTGAAAAAGTATACTTTATTACTTTAGGTTACTAACAGAAATGCAGTTGGTTTTTACCACATGTTGGTCATAATTAGAACTGCTCATAAATACGTGGTTGGCATGTGTACTAAATCTATTTAGTTGTTTTGAATAGCATTATTTTAGGTCTTAGAAACTTTCCTCTGTATTTCTCCATTGATATTTTAAATCAGTTACTGTACAGATTTGTGTATATACTATTATAAACCTTTTAATTTTTTTTATCATCAGTGTATTTTCTACAATGCTTCACATACGCCATTGGTCTAATTATTAATACTGCGTTTGAAGATGTACCTTTGTGTATAATACTGTACTGGTAACTACAGGGGTAATGGGAAGTGTTGTAACCTGTTTGTCATTCACAGCAGCTGTTCAAATGGTGGAAGGCATGAACCAGCAGTTATAATTTTGTTGAGATTATCTAAAAGGCAAGTTCCTTATAGAGTACTGTACTTGAAGGAATGAAAGCTGGTGGGTAGAACTAGTTGTGGCCATTAATTGCCATCTCTGTCACCTGTCTGTTGTATGAAGTGTGTTGTTTGTTACCTTACAATGTGTAGGCCTTTTATGGCTTCTGTTATTTATTATTTAATTGGTCCTAATTTTTTTTTTCAATTATGCTTGATTTCATATATCAAAATGTTTGAAAGGTCTGCTGTAACTTTGTCAAGTCTAGTATATGTTGTTCAATATGTAAGATGTATGTTACCAGTTTAGAGCTACTTAACAAATGTGTAGCTTTATTTATGATAACTATAAGCTTTAAATTTAATGTGTGCTTGTCAGGAATAGTGTGAAAGTTTTGCGTAACCCTGTAGAACTGTAGAAGGCTAAAAATACACACTAAAAATTGTGTATTGTTTTCTTTAAACCAATTAGTTGGCAATTATCTGTTAAATGATATGTATCAGTATCTATATCTTCTCTGCTTCCAATACAGGTATCCCCTGATTTACGATCTCCCAATCTATGATATTCCACTTTAATGATGGAGTTGTATGAAGTCCATCGATGCCTCTATTTACGATGTAAACAATCTGCAAGAAAGATGGTCGTTGTTAGCTGTGGTCTACCCGCATGCTGCCACCCAGTGCACTACAGTACCAAGCTTTGTTCCATGGTGATTGCACATGGTCATGTAGCTCAATGGTTATTAGTCAGTATTGGTGTTTTTTCAGTGATAGGACATCTCTAACGTTCAACATTTTACTCTGTTTTGGTGGCTGTGAGGTGATTTTTTGTTTTTGTGACTGTAAAGTGCTTTGCCTCATGTTGTGAACAGGATGTAAATAGTGTCGGCCGCAATAATGTTATCATCGTTCACTCTGTTATTATGACTAAAGTGAGTAGTGGAACTTTCAAAATGTCTGGGAAGGCCAGACCAATGCACCCAGGAAAACTGTCTCTGGAGGTGAAGCTTGACATTGTGATGCTGCATGAGACTCCCCAGAGGCTGGGTAGGAGTCAGTGACATCTTCACTCCACCTTCAAGAGTCCCTTTAGCCTCAAAAGGGACATGTAATAACGACCAGACTTGTTCTTATTGGTGTGGCGAGTCTTGTTTAATTGTGTTGTCGGTACATTATTAGTGTAGGATTTATTTATTTTATTTTATTTTTTATTTTTTTGTGTGTTTGTGATACATGTGGATGTCTCTGACTGGCTGGGAACGTATCCCATTAAACCTCATGTTATAATGATCCTAATTTATGATATTTCAACCTGGGATGGGTCTTTCAGGAATGTAACCCTATCGTAAATAGGGGGGATACACATACTTCACACAAGTGTTTATATGTCTTAAGTTTATTGAGGAAAACCGAAAGAAAATGCAAGTGCTGCAAATTATTATTTTATTGTACTATAACAATAACCAATAACCATAATTAAGTTTCTAACATCACAGTGATAGTAAATACCTTTAGGTATATTTTGAAATGTAACAAAATAGTTTCGCTTATAACATGTGCTTCTTATCAGTGATAGAATCTCCCGGGCTGTTGGAACACACTTAGTACTATAGCCTATTGCCAAGACTTATAATTCCCCTAAAGCTTTGTAACTTTCATACCTGTTTCAGGACTTGGCATATGATGAGGATGCACAATAATGTTTGTATGTGGTCTTGGTGTAAACTTCCATTGGCTGTAAATCTAAAAATGTGTATTGTCGTTTCTCAAATTAAAAATATAATCTTAATTATTTTCAAGTAGGTCATGAAAATTCTGTTTGTTACTGTTGTCTTGATCATTTGGGGTCTCGCAGACTCTGCTAATACATTTCCTCGGAGTCATTAGTGAACTAAAAATGGAGATCTGAACATTTAGTTGATCTTTTATTTGTTGCCAGCAGATACTCTGAAACAAGACCTGTTCTCTGTACTGTATGAACTAAATCTGGATTCAGGGTTTGCCAGTAAGTAAATGTCTGACTCTTATGCAAGTATGCAAGCTTGTGATTTCCAGTTATGTTAAAGCCTTGGGGGGGGGGATGTCAAAAAATTTACTTCGTCCAATACCGCTTGGCCGAGCTGTCACGTGCAGGAGTACAGAATGTGGTAAGTCCTGAGTTATGGAAGTACTGTATGCTGTACATGTGATATTACTGAGAGAATCATATATTTAAGTTAGAAGCATTTTCAGAATCGTATCAAGATCATCGTGTGGTAGTCATAGTTGGAGTAATGTCCGGAACTGAATGATTACCAGCTTCACTAATTGACCGCAGTCAGTCATGATGTTGGAAGTGAATATTTACATTCATATTTTGAATATATATATATTTTTTTTAACTTACGTTATACAATATTTCATTTTGATTACAATAAATACTTCTTCCTAAAAGAGATGGTGTTGATCGGGTTTGAGGTCATAGGCAGCCCACCTCACAACTAGGACCTGGAGACAGAAAACATAAGATTATAGTTGAAACATACAGTAACTTAAAGAAAAAAAAATTGCGAGTGAAGTCGGTTTTGCTTGGGAACTGCTGGAGGGGGAGGGGAGCTTACCGTATAGTGCTATAGATAAAGTTGACGAAGTTGGGGATGTTGACGTAGACGCCTGGCACCTCGCTTGTGGCACAGCCGATGCCCCACGCCACCAGTCCTACTACCGTAAATTGGCCAGACTGGTTAGGGCACACAAGGGGAGCTCCTCCATCACCCTGGGGAGCACATAGAAATGTTCATTTAGTAGATAAAAAAAAAGTATGCATTAAACATTTTCACACAAAGGTTCAAAGAAGGCAAAATATAGGTTGATATTTAACAGTTGAGGCAAATAACAATAATTTTTTATTGTTGAAATGGAAAAGAAAAAAGGCTTTGACATGTAAATACTAAAGCCAAGACTTTCAGTACCAAAGCTCGGTCCTACAGACTTTGCTTTTTATACTGCAATGTCCTAAAGTTGTCTCATTTATTCAGTTAAATTCTCACACATGTTTTTAAATTGATATATATATATATATATATATATATATATATGCAGTTATACTCTATACATAGACATGGAGGTATATAAACAATGTATTTAAGACCTACCGTGCAGGCATCCTTTCCTTCGAAACCACCAGCACAAACAAAGGAATTGGAATCAAGAATGAAATCAGTTCCAAGGCGTGTTTGTCGGAGGCGCTCCTGACAGACAGTCGGGTCCACGACGGGCAAGTCCACCTCTTTCAGGTTGTTTTGGAAGAGACCTGTGCTGTTAAAGGCATCTTTACCCCACCCAGTCACCCAACACCTGAAAGAGAACGACTATGTATATAAATGATTTTTTTTTGTATTTAACATTACTGTACTACCACCACCACACTGGCATCACTTTACCTACTACTCACTACAATACAACACATGGCTGTACCTAACACAAACTACAATAATAAGACACTACACAAGTAACACACTACAGGACTAACAGTAGTGATGATAGGTGATGGTGGTGATCCACAGCTATGGTGATGTGTGATGGTGGTGATCTGCAGTTGTAGTGATGTGTGATGGTGGTGGTGATTTACATTTGTGGTGATCTGCAATTGTGATGTATGGTGGTCACATAGTACTTACTGGCTGTGGCCGGCAAATAATTGGCCTTGTTCTGGGAGACAAACGGTGCCTATGTGAGGGAATTGGCCAGTATTGATTGACTGAGTAAGCTGAAGGAGAGCTACGTCATGCCTCAGGGTTTTGTCGTCGAAGTTGGGGTGAATAACCACTCTCGCCACATTGACTTCCAGATGTCTTAATGTAGGGTGTTCTTGAGCTGTACTGACATCCAAATCCCCCATACGGACCTTCAGGTTTCTAAAGGAGAGAGAAATATATGTTATTGTTATGTAGCGATTTTTTTTCAGGTCTTAGATGTACGAGCAGGAGTTCTGGATCTAAAGTGGCGATAAATTTACTCGAACAGCTTGCAAAACGACCTGAAGATATGTGCAATAGATGGGAGAAATAGGGTAAGTTTATGTATTTTATTCAGTCTTTGGGGAGATTAATGGTGTCCAGTGCCACTTGTATTCTTCAGAGTAATACAAGATCAAACTGAGAGTAACAGTGCCTCTTCCCTGGTGGTTGAACTCAGGAACCACAAATTTACCTTAATGAAAAAAATATATATATGCAAGAATCAGTCACTGTGTGTAATATAACCTCTACCTTTAACTGTAGTCAGGTGATGTATTTATGTGGAATTCCTTAGCCGAATCTCGTAATATAGAAGTCATGTGAAACAATATACTGTAACACATTAACAACCGGGTACAGTACAGTACTGTATACGGTTTTCATACCTTATATCACAAGGAGATATTATTCAATGCATAACTCATTTAATTTTATACTGATGAAGATAATTACATGAGGTGGATGATTACTTGCCTCTCGCCCTTAACTCTGTGTGCTGCTGTCAAGACCCAGTTTGGTGCGATCAGAGCTCCGCCGCCCTTGTAGTTATTGCTCAAGTCGAGCACCACGGCCACCCAGGGGTATTCTCCGAAATCAGCCTGGCAGAGAAGGTTGCTGTATAGTATATTAAAAAAAGTTGGGATAAACTCCGCTTTTTTCACTTGAAGTTTAACCACCATTAATGTTGTGCAGGGGAAGCTTAGGTTAAGTATTTAGGGTGGTTAATCTTCAGGTGAAATAAACTAAAGCAGAGGTGTAATCTTCAGGTGATCCATTAAAGTTGTACATATAATATCGCAACATCTGAAGGCTGGCTCACGAATTAGTACGTGTATTTCTAGTTTTGTTCTGTGCAGTCATGGCATGTGGAATAAGTCAACAACAAAGAAGAGTAATACAAGTCAGATCGTGTCAAAGATGAGGTGGTGCCTTTACCTGAGCAAACTGTGGTGACTGATGAGGAAGAGGTAACGGATTCTGGATGCCACATCTGGTGTCACCGATTGGTACTGGATTGGGTCTTATGGGGGACGGCCTCGGCGTAGCTGTGCCCGGGCCTACAGGACCGCCGCCATGATTGACACAACACATTTTCTGGTCTGGACAAACTCCTGCTTGAGGCTGCAAAGAGGAAGATGTCATGTATACTTGACGAGATATAGACGTAAGTTGCGTCATTTATTAATCAATCCGTGTTCATAGTCCCTACATCTGGACTCCTCTGCCACTGCCTGTCAAGTTATATTTTATTGTTTTATAATATTTTGGCTCACCATAGTGAAGTTTGCAGTTGCACATACTGAAGTATTAGTAGCGTTTGGCAGGAAATTTGTACGATTTGACCCCTTCACTACGGGGACGCCAATTTTTATTTGTCTAGCGCCAGACAATTTCATACATATATACATGACTGCAAAATAATCTTTATTGTCACTAAGGCTATACAGTACCAGTTGATTATACCATAAACCGAGTTAGTGTAGCAAGATGTATACTGGGTATCTTTAAATAGTATTTACCTCTCCGTGTTCACATTGCTTACCAAGTTTACTATGCGTACGTTGATGACACCTGCCCCAAAGTTCCCGCCATTACCACCACCACCACCGATTGGGGTCCCAATAGACGGCAGTTGGCCGATTGGGCATTGTTGGTTGACTGGCAGGCAGACGCATTGCCTTCCAGGGTTTGGTCGTTGTGTGTTAACTGCCGGAAGTCGTGTTATTACTTTACATGTGGATGATAGTAATATTAAGAAAGTTATGAACACTGTATTTATATTTTGTAACGCCGACTTTCCGGTGTTTGCCACAAGTCTATGTACATGATTTATTAAGTAATCATGTTATAGCTAATATGAGTATTTCTTACCATTGAAATAAAACAACGTTTAGGAGCAAAGCTGTAAAACAACAAACAGTATATTTGGCCAAACTTAGTTTTCAGTTAAATGTCATTTAAGCAAAATTATTTGGAAAACAAAAATTACGGAAACTGTGTACTAAGCTGTTGAAAATGGCGATTATGAAAATTATGATCTAATAACAATGATAATAACTGATGATACTGTATGATGATGATAATAATGATGATGTTAATGATGAAAATGGTGATAAAAATAATGATGAAAATGAAGAATCCTGAGTTTTGGTCGTGGTGGTGAAGCGAAGACTTACAATTAGGGCCGCCAGGGACAGGGTCAACACCAATTAATGTAGACACGAGACCTAGTCTCGGGTTGTTGGGGTTAGAGCGCTGAGACTCTACCGACACCACCAACACCGCACACACACACGCCCATAACCTGTAAAACGAAATAAAGTACATTGTTTGCCTGTCTGTACAGTGGATATATATTTCTATAACTGCATTCTGCATTGACTATAGACATGCTGAACTGTATACGTGCAATGTCTATATAGTACACGCTGAATTGTGTACCTGCATTGTCTATGTACATGCTAAACTGTATACCTGCGGGCTGCATTGTCCATATACATGGTGAACTGTATAACTACATTGTCTACATACATGCAGAACTGTATACTGTACCTGCTTTGTCTATATACATGCTGAACTGTGTACCTGCATTATTTATATGCACGGTGAACTGTATACCTGCATTTACATACATGCTGAATCAATGCAAAGTTGCGTGGCGATTTGACTGTATAATATATCTCTATCTATCTATTTATCTGTCTTATCACCAGTATGTTCACTGTATGTTCCTTTACCTTTCTCTCATGAAGGCTTTTGTTAAACCACCAATGTATGTAATAAGTCATTTATGTCCAATGTATATTTTCAGCCTTCTGGCTGCAGAACTTTTTCAATAAACCGTTAATTATTATTATTATTATTATTATTAGGATAAAGGAGCAGCGGTGATAGTAATGACAGGTTTAAAGTGAATCAGGAATCTCAATATATATCCCAGGAAGCTGTGAGACGATTAGCTAAGTAATTTGTGCAAGTTCTTGTGGGTGCTTGGCTGTTTGCTGAAGGTCTAACAGATTACACCGTTTTTCATTACTGGTCATACAAGTTGACATGATTAAGTATGTATGTAGACAATGCAGGCATACAGTATACATTATACACATTGTTATTTTCAAGATGCGCATAAAAATCAGGAAAAAAAACAAATTACCATGCCAAGGACGTGTTTTGACGTTTCAGTAAAGGCGAACATTGTGTTGTATTCGTTCAGCAATATTACAAATTTATAGATAAACGCATACTTATGATATTTAAAACTATACTTAAAAGATACGGTTCGGAGAGGGTATAAACGAACAACTTGAAAAGAAGGAAATGAACAAACCAATGTTGGAATATTTATTATGAGAAGCAGTCAATGGATGGTAAACGAGTAGAAAATTAGGCTTGCATGACATCAAAATGGAACTTCCACGCCACTGACAGGGACTTTAAAAACTAGTTTGGGATCAAGTGAACAGTGTGAGCGAGGGGTGGAGGTTGCTGCTACACCACCTCAAACAACCTGTCTAACCTTGAGCTGCGGGAGTCCCCACCAACAATACCACCACCATCTTGTTTTTATTTCCACTGGCCAGTCGACACCATGAGACTTTTGGGCTCGAGCAGCGGGTTTCCTGGCTCATGAACTGGGAGTTTTCGAACGAGTGGGAGCTAACGTTGGTGGAGAGATAGCAGGTATGGTTAATAACTTGAAGCGTCAGTTTCTCCACTACCGGTATGGGCCCGTGTGGCATACTAAGATCGTATAGTGCTGAAATTGTTCTGGGTATGTTGCAGTTCGATCAAAAAATCAATGAAGTCTTGAGGTGTACTGAGATTATCCCTCGTAATAGAAGGTTAGGTTAAATTTGGTTAGGTTTTGATCGAACTGCGCATGACCAGAATATTATTAGCACGGTACACACTTGGCACGCCACACCAGTATCGGCCATGAAAACAGCACCATCAGGTATATGTTAAAAATGAACTCTCAAGGTTACCTCAAACTTGTCTCTCCAACTTCCTCCTCCGTTCATTTCAGACTAACTTGAGAGCTCATCTGACCATCTGCAGGGTGTTTATTATATGGTAACTAGACCAGATTACTCTCTCTCTATGCCTCAATGTCCCTCTTTCTTGGTAAACATCAGTAGTTCTCTCTCACTAACCCCTCTCCCTCCATTGTCGGTGATGTCCCCCCCTCCTCCTTCAATAGCAGGGTTGAGCCAGGAAACACTCACCCCCTCCCTCCCTCACCCCTCCTTCCTCACTAGCAGAAGCCTGTCCGGGGGTATTATCACCGCCCCCCCCCCCTCCTGCATGTTCACTTCACACGAACTTCATCATGATTCCACGGCGGGGAGTTCCCGGGAGTGTGAGGGTAACCCAGCGACTACATCACGTCCCTGGCGACGACCAGCACACATGCTGTTGTTCACCTGGCCTGTGTGACGACGCGTGTTTTCCTCCATGGCGTCACAAACACAGGTGAGGACCAACGATAAACCTTATCACCAACGGCTCGGATGTTGACAGCTCGTTTAGGTAGATTTCATGGAGTATGTTTAAATTAATGTACTTATTTATTTTGGTTTTATCATCTCAGGAACAACAGCACAGATTTAGGAAGAGGGAATTCAGAATACGTACATTAAACAAACCTATTCAAGATTTAATGCATATTGTTCAATTAAAATCAACAGTAGTGGTGCGGGTAACAATACAGGTAGAGTTACAAAGATTATAAAGATTTGAGATTAGGATAATATTGATCAGGTCAGCCATTATGAAATACTTGTGTGTTTGTGTGTGCGTTTGACGGCGAACGTTCACTATTCCGGATTTTATGTAAAGTCAACAACCTTTCTCAGGAAATTTCTACCTTCGCATGTGTTCCGTCCCTGGTTGGATATGTTCCTTGTGTGTGTGTGTCCCGTCCATGGTTAGGTGTTCCATTCGTCGCTAGCTATGTTCCGGGTATTTATATATTCCGTGTTTCCTTTATATCCCTCAAAGGTATTCTTATTTACTATGACTAAACCACATAACATGGTCAAATCATCAACTACGCCCAACATCCCCATCCCTAACCATGCAATGACGCTCCTATAGACTAAGGCAGACTGCTTGATCCGCCTTGTGCCTACAGTGGCGTTCATTCAGTGGTGGTTGTTTATGTGAGTCTGTGTAGTATCCACCCGTGACCTTCTGTGGAGGGTGTGGATCACTTCCCTGGTGTTGAAGTCTCCCACCGACCACCACTTCCCTGGTGTTGAAGTCTCCCACCGACCACCACTATTATTACCACCAGTACCACCGTCGTCATCACCAATCACCATAATATTTACTTACTGTAATATTGTGACAAAATTATATTGAATCAACTACCTATTCATACTATTCTCCTCATAAAACTTTTTATTTATTTTATTTTAGTAAATTTACTGGAAGAATTGGCGATTTTTATTTCGGGTTTTTTTCTGGGGGGGCGGGGGGGGGGGGTGGACTCGTAGCGACCAGGAAGCTCTTACACAATGAAGACCTCGGAAATGTATGTGGTCCGCCCCTCACTCCCGAGTCCCGCTGTCATGTTTACAGTATTCTGCTCGCTTCCTTAAAACCATTTTATTGGAATTTAAAGACCAGATCATGGTACTGCTACCCTGCAACTATACAGGTATATCTTTCTCTCCAGGTTTTTTTTACATATGTACCTGTATTTTTTCCTCACCTTACCTCTATCCGTATTTCACCCTATCTGTTTACTACACTGTAGGTTGATAAAGCTTTCAGGGGCTTAGGCCTAAACTAAGATAAAACACGGGGCTCTCGTTTATACACAGGGTTGTCATTGGTCACTTGAATCAGGGAATCTTAAGAAAAAAAGTAAAATATCACAACCTTGAATTACTAGGGTTCCGTGAAGCGTGTGATCAAGTTCGTGTTGTAATAATCTTCCTACCTGCCTAATCCTGCCTACTGTACACTTAACATAAAAAAAATCCAATACTGTAATGGGAATGTTGTGTATATATGCATTAACAGTAGAATTTAAACGTAGCAAAGTTAATAAGTTGGTAAAGAATGACCGTACTAAGCCGTGAGCCGTACATAGAGATAATGTTCTATATCGTTGGGATGAAGAGCGCTGACATTATGTGTGCAGTGTGTAGTGTAGAAATGTCACAAGTAAGGAAAGTGTAGATAAAGTGAGTGTGAAGAGGAAGAGGCCAAGGTTGGTAAACGAGAGATGTGGTAGACTGCCTTGAAGATTGTATATGATATTTTACAAACAGGAAATAAATATATATCCCGCAGGTCCAAGACCACACTCAACTGTTGGTGTTAAGTAGAATCCCTTTCATAGAGTTGTATCCCTGATACTTTTTTAATATTGATGGATTAGTGTAATTTCTAACTTAATTATGTGCTTAATGACCTTAGTCGTCGAAGCGTAGCAATAACATTCTACGAAATTTCTAGTGTTCACAAACTAGAGAAACTCAGCTTCAGTGTAGACATCTCAGTGACCTTCATCTATTACCCATAAAACTAAAAGATATTGTAGATATGACTCTTACAGAGAACTATATCTGTACTTAGGTGATATTTCTATTATACTCACACTAAACAGAAGCAGCCAAACGCCCTACTCGTTGTTCTCGCATGCGTGGGAGGAGTTCAATTGTTTGCCCGCTTTCACCAACACATCATGTCGGGTCTGCATTAATATTATCCATTTATCTAGGTGGAGGCGCTGATGACGTAGATCCACAAAGACAAAGAAGAGACTATTATTGAAGACACTCATATACCTACGGCGCATGTCAAGTATCGTAAGATGAGTGCTACTTTCTTGTATATCTGCTGTAGTGAACCATCAAGCATACTTGATTCGATTTCATCTCATATAATTCTTAAACACTGGTGAATTATTTTTTGTACTGTTTCTTAAAAAAAATAACTCCATTGCCTTCGCTGTCGTATGACGCGGCATAGCATGGACTGCAATGTGACTTGGCTGGGGAAGAGCTTAGACATGTCTGTACTGTACAATACATTAAGCCCACCTGGCACAAGGAGAGCATATCTTGCTCTGAAACGATGGTCACCTACAAATTTCCTTTCTCTGCAGACGGAGCGAATCTACTGTAGAGCGACTGTAAAAGCGTTTATGTTAGACTCGAATCGTCAGAGCGTATCGGTGAAGGTATGGGAGGCGGCAGGCGGTCACACAAAAACTTGACGGTGATAATCGTATATAGCAAGCAAGTCACATTAGACGCTTCACTAGGCACTCCCAGTAACCCCTATAAATACGATGGGGGGCTACTATCACTGGTATTATTTCCCCAACTGTAACGTCAGGTATCCATTTTACAGTAACATTGAATATTTGGTGTACATTAACGTGACAATAGCGTGAGAGTTCTTGAAAAAATCGTCGTGATGAAATGTTATTTTAAATCGATCAGAGTGCTTGGCTGGTAAAGGCGGGTGATAAGACTGAATCAATACGCACACACACACACACACCATGGATATATAGTATGATGCTGGTACCCTTGTGTAGGCAAAGTACACACACACAAACACATACAGTGAGGTAGGTCAGCACTTAGGTTATTAATTTTAAGGTGAAATAAGCAGGAGACGGCTAATCTCCAAGTGATCCTCTTCTTTCTAAGTACACTTGCCTTCAGTATCAAGTTGCATCTACTACATAACACCGTCTTAACCTCCACAGTGACAACACAACCCGACAAGAGTATCCTCGGGTGTATGCAATTCCCCGAGAGCACTTTGTTGCAATCTAACGTCACACAATAATTAACAATTGCAACCGTCTTTTAACACAATATAAACAATCAGTAAATTATTTCCTCGATGTTAATAAAAGTTACCATACGATAGAGCGTTATATATCACCACGTACCTCATAGTTATTTCTGGTCTGTGGCTGTGACGACAATACTACGACAAGCAGCGAGTGTGTTGTACTCATCCACACATCTCATCCTCGCTTCATATATGCACGCTCCCAGGTGCCACGTCGGCTATATCAGTTTAAAAGAATACGTTACCGTCTTTGTTCTGGTACATAATTCAAGTACGTATTTCGTGTCTGTATTTCCCATACCGATGATGGATATTCCACCTCCAGATAGAACCATCGTAGTCTACTGCTATACTACACAGGAAACCGTCACAAACTCGACTCAAAATACACAAACTGTAAACACGAGTCTTATAAGTCACGTGGTCAGAAATCCCAGGTGAGGTTAATTGAACATCGGAGGTGTATCGTGTCGGCAAGTGGCAAGTTTGTCCTGAATACCCAATTAAGTTACGTGTCCTGGTGGAAATAGGAAATAAACAAACAGGTGAGTGATTATTTGCACACCTGGTTGACACCCTGACCTGTTACTCATTCTCACCTGCTTGTTTTGTTGGATTACCTGTCCCTCAACTCTGTCTCTCACACGTCACTAACTTACCTGTCTATTTACCTCACCCTCCCTCCCCCATGTCTCACCTGTTCCTCTCCTTTACCTCACTCTCATTTACCTCCGTCTCTCACCTCTCCTTCTGTGTCTTTCCTTGACTTTCTTACGTGTTTCTTTCTTGTACTGAGTCACCCTTGAGCCATTGACCTTGACCCCTGAACCCTAGAATGTATATGTATATTAAGTTATGTATTTTGAATATATATAATGTATGTAATTTGTTGAGTTGATTATCTTTTTATTGAATTTTTGGATTAAGGAAAGGTTGAGGTCACCTGATGATAAAACACCTCAATGTTAACCTAACCTAACTAAATTTAACCTAAGCAAACCTAGCCTAACCTAACAACCAAACTTTAATCTATCCTAACTTAATCTAATCTATCCTAACTTAACCTACCCTAACCTCCCAGACAGCGTTAGGGTGTTCAGTCATCAGGTGATATAAGCTAGGGGCTCATCTCCAGGTGATCTATATTAATGCAAAACGAATATGTGATCAATGCAGGTGTAGGCAAACAATCATATAATTGATATAACACAAACGAACTTAGTGTGTGTGTGTGTACAAGTAGTGGGACCTCACTTGACCTGCCTGTATCCCTCAGGTAAAGTGAGGTCATATCACCTGTGCACATACACCTCTAATGGGGACTACCCGTGCCGTTTAGGTGATCGGAGCAACTTTTTACCAAATCCGGCTTCGAAACACGAGGTTCCATATATATTTCATTAGCCCAATAAAGCACGCGGACTTCTACATATAATCAACACCTCACCCCGCCAGGATTCGAACCCACGATCTTGATCTTATAATTGTGACCGGAGAACGCTACCTCTGGGCCACCAGGACACTAAAAGCAATCTTAGACTGTTATATTTCACACAAAGCCTGTGTGAATACAAATAATCCTTTCGAGACAAGTAGCTGATGATGATAATGGTGAATTTAGAACACCTGAAGAATAATCCCCCTAACTGATTTCACCTTAAAACTACCCGAATGCTAACCTAACCTTAACGTAATTTAACACCAATTAAACTAATCTCACCAAGTAGTGTTAAGTGGGATGGCAAAGGTATAGTGGACAGGTGGGTATAGGTCGAGGGAGCGGGGGAGACTGGCGACGACGCTACGTGGGTTTTATGTTAGAACAAAGGACTCGAGTCGGGGTGTTTCTGGCCGTGCCGCTCCACCACTACCAATCACTAATTCCTGTTCTACGGTCTGTCTCCGCTTCACCTTCTTCCCTTCCATTATCTTTCCTTTCCTCCCTCATCTTTGCTTCCTCATCATCAAAGACACTAATATAGGTAAGTCCCTCGCCCATAAATTGAGGTAGCCATTATCATACACAAAGTAGTGAATGAATACAGTATTATACACTTGTAATGCTTATGATACACCACCGAAGAGTTCCAGATGTATGATTCTTAAAGCCATACAAGAGAGAAATACATAAGTATACTCAGCCCATAGTACACTACACATTGTACTTAAGTTGAATTAACAAGTACAGTATGGTGAATTAATGAGCAAGTCCATGGTATAGTAGATAAGTACACTTGTTGCGTAGCCTATTATACTGTATAAATATCTCATGCAGTCACCATAGTGTTGAGCCTCACACACAGACCTCTCTCTCTCTCTCTCACTATACTGCACTGCACATTCCCGTATCAACAATTTCCTTAACTAATATGAAAATAAGTTAACGTATGGTGGTTGGTGGTGTAAAGACAGAGAGAGAGAGGAATCGTTAGCCTAAGACGCAACGCTCAAAGCTAGTTACGCAATGGCCACTGTATAATAATTATGCTCATTTAACCCATAATTTGACCTTTATTTACACTTAAATTAAACATTCAGCATTTTTATTGTTATTTTTATTATTAAAATTTATATAAGCGACATGTTTTCAATATTTTCTTTGGGTACCTGAGGATTTATAGGTATCGCAACTTTTAGGTTAGGTTAGACTAAAAAGTTATTGGAGGAAAATATACCTTGGGTTGTGTTACTGAAGCGCTGAACAAGTGACTCACCTTGAACTCGGCCGTTTTCAGCAGGTGTTACCGACAGGCTGGTGAGCTAACCTAAGCTAACCCTAACTTAATCTAATCTGATGTATTCTATTCCCACCTCACCTAACCTAACCTTACGTAACCTTAACCTAACCCTAACTTAATCTAACGTATACTAATCCAACCTAACGTAACCTTAACCTATCCTAACCAAATCTAATGTACTCTAATTCCATCTAACCTATCAAAATCTAACCTTAACCTAACCCTAAATGAAACTACTCTAGTGTGTTCTAACCCAACCTTGATGTAACCTTCCTAAACCTATTCTAACCTGACCTTCCTTGACCTAATATGACCTATATCAGCTACATATATTATCATATTTTCAACGAACGCTCAATGTTTTCCCATTGTATAAACAGAGATGGCGTCAGCTGTATTCCCTGCGGTCAACTCTAATAAACAGGTCCAGGTAGCGGCGAGAGACTCCACACACACACACACTACCTCCTCCCGAATCTCCAATCAGTTGAGTAGACAGACACAGTCACACAATACGCCCAGTTAAGTCGTGCCAGCTTCTACATCTGTTCAATATGATCACCTCTTCACTTTTTGTAATATTTATACATTGTCTTTAGATAAAAGTTAAAAAGAAATTACCCTTGGCATAGCTTGACAATATTATTATCTCAAAGTAATTATATATGTATATTTTTTTCCTGGCATAGCCTGTTTAAGGATGCACATGGCGCATCAAGATAATCGGCCCACAACAAGCAGTATACAGTATATCTCCTGTAATTTTAATTTTGTTGATTTTCGATCACACGTTTGAGTCCCGAGCTAAGCGGAATGTTCCCTCCCAATCGACACAGCTTTAGAATGGGTATCTACATTTAACAGTGAAATGAAAGCCAGTCAAGGGCGGTGCTTTTTGATATGTCTCTTTACGTATCGAATAAGACTGGTTATGTTTTTATAAGTGGAATAGATGCGGCAGATACATTTGACGAGAAACAGGAGTCAAGTGAGATATTTGGGGTAGGCTAATGTTAAAAGCAATCAGATTTTACGTGGCAGCAGAAACAATCATCTCTTCTGAACGTTGACAAAAGAGACTACCCAATAGAGTGTCAGAACGAGATGATGGATGGAGGGAAACTAATAGACAACTTCCACTAGCGATGAATCTAGTTGTTATTTTTTCCCTAGACTCTGGACGTACTGATAGAGACAAAAAAAAGATTGAGACGCGGAACAACACGACTAAATTTCCCAACGTTAAAGTTTATGGACAAAAACATAATCAGGAGTTTCCCAGTTTGTATTTGTTTGGTTAGTAAAGATAAAAGTTCTCTTCATTTATGATTTTTATCAGACATAGTTATATCGAAAATTACTGGTGTTTTAACTAATCTATTTCGTCTCAGTTTAACCCCCCCCCCCCTAACGCTGTTTGGAGGGGTGCAGTTAGATTAGATATGTTAGATTAGGTTTGAATAGGGTAAGTTAGTTTAGGTTAGGATGAGTTAGTTTAGGTTCGGATAAGTTAGTTTAGCTTAGGGTAGATTTGTTTAGGTTAGGATAGGTTAGATTGGGTTAACGTTAAAGTGGTTAATCTTTGAGCCACCTGGAGTCGGCGTCGTCAACTAATAGTCTACCCACCTCACAAGAACTCGTTCCTACCTGCTCCGGGAAGTCCCAACTAGCCCCGGATTCTCTAAGACCAGGCTGCTATTTTTTCCTTCAAAACAGTGCATGAGAAATTTGCCGCAAGTGAACATAGAAAAAAAATGGGCTCATCGTCTTTTTTGGTTTGGTTTGACGTCTTGTTGTTTTGAAGTTCGTATGAGGTTACTGTGGAAAGGTTGGTGAATTAATGACTCAAATAAAGATTGATTGTTTATGTTGTGTATTAGAGTTGTAGATACGCGTTAAGTGAATTTGGTAGATGGATATTTATTCACTAAACACTTCATAAAAGGTTGCATTGATTCAACATGTATATAGACAATATAGATAACAGTATATGCATAGTGTGGGATATATCAGCATCTTGCGGCGCTTTCTGTTGATTTTTACGCTCCTCTTGCTACGCTCTCCCCGTGAGGTTTCTCTACCCCTTGCCACACAAAAGTGGTGAATGAATTAATTAAAATATTTAGTTCAGTTACAGGAAAATTTTGAAGTATTTATTGAAAAATCATAGAACAGGTTTGTGTGTGCGAGGCTGTTTTTTGAACGGAGGACTGACATGTTGCTCCTGAAGTGGTGTGTATGGTGTGGTGTGGTGCGTGGGGTATGGTGTGTTTGGTGTGGTTTGTTGTGTTTTATAGGGTGTGGTGTAGGTATGCCATGTATGATGTGTGGTATGGTGCTGTATGCTGTTAGTGCAAGAGGACCTTAGGAATCGTCTTACAGGGGGGAGGTCAGGCACGTATCCTGTAGGTCCCTCAAGAGTAGCTCAGGGAGAACTGGGGTGTATATTGATTGGGAGAGGGTGGGAGAGATGGGGGGTTTGGGGGTAAGGCAGTTACAGGAGTTGAAGGGCAGGTGTAAGTCGACTAGTGGAGATTTGCCAACACTGATCAACTATAATACACACGTTACACAACAACAGCGTTTGTTCTACTCGGCGACTTAATAGACATTTATAAAATCACATTCAATCTTTTAATTTTTACCTCAACCTCTAAAATACCATCTGATAATGATGTAAATATAAAGATGTGTACATTAAATATTGTATTTCTGGTTCGGTATTATCATCAGCATCCGGCAACAATCGCTGAGGTCACCTTTTAGTTCTTGCGGGCAATTACTGTATGTCATTAAGTTCAGTGCATGGTTATTATTGTATTTTTCACGGATGGAGAGAGATGTAAGAAGATGGGGGGAGGGGAGATGGAGGGGGGAGGAGGAAGACAGGAAGAGATGAAAGGGGGTAGGGGGGAGATGGAGGAGAGTGAGAAAGCCTGATGCCGACCTGCTCAGGAAACGAATTGGCGATGGATGGGATGTACTTTAGTCAAGTCTCCCGTCTCTCTGTTGTCTTGTTGAACGATTCTCAGAAGGCTTCTCTCTCCCGCCGCGTCAAGCCTCGAGGGATGTCAAGTAAATGATGGACGCTACAGTAGATGAAGTGGTTATTTGTTGTTTATCTTTGTATTAGCTTTGATTGTGTAGATTGCTTTCTTCACTTCCATATCTATGCGTTTGTTTTCTTTTCCACAGCTTTGTTTTTGCTTGATCATGCAAACAAAAAGAGGAGACGAATCTAGCAGCAACAACAACACACTTAAGAACCTCTGGCGAATCTCTTATTCTCTTGCCACAAGAGTTGTTTGCCTTGAACCATGTCGAAAGAACAGTAATTTATAAATGTGTGGATGCTCTTCTTTACATCGAATTTACACAGATTTAAAATGTATGTTAAAGGACCCTACTGCACCTGCACTGTCTGGGTACGTCTTTTGTACCCAGACAGTGCAGGTACGCTGTCTTGGTATATATTGTTTGTAAGCTGGTACTGTCTAGGTGGATTGTATACTTTGAGTTTTAGTTGTATATCTGCAGTCTTATGTATGTTATATACTTGCATTGCCTATATCCTAACTTATCCTATCCTAACCTAACTTATTCTAACCTATCAATTCTTAACCTAACCTATCATATCAAAACCTAACCTAACCTATACCAAACTAACCTCTAGGTGAGCTAAACTGAGGGGGAGAATCTTCAGTTGATCCATTGACCTGCTAAGACGAAATAGATTACCCTGTTCTTGTAATTACAGTAATTTTTTATATAAGTATATACTGTGCCAGCAGTAGAGACAAGACCACAAGTGTACCTGATAAACAACATAGAACCCAAGACTTATCCCTGTGGAACTCCTAACCACCGCTAAGAGACAGGTTCAGATACTCTTCCTTTACAGTGTATTGGAAGCGATCCCATATATAAGATTAAGAGACGAGACAGCAGGGGATACCAGAATAGGAAGTAGTTGGTCAAGTGTAGCACCCCATTATAATAAAAAAGATAGAAACTGAAAGATAATTTGTCACGTTTTCACTATCAAGACCATATTTCTTTTCTAACAGCCTAACCAAAATGCTTGTTTTTCAGACCAACAAAAAAAACCTCCTTGAAAGCAATGATTAATGATTTCCGTAACAAAGGGAACTGCAGACTCATACGATAATGTAATTTTGGAACTAACTATAAATCTTTGTGTTTCCTAGTGTAGTTAAAGACATTAATCACTCCGTCCGGATGATAATATATCGGAGTAGTGGATTTATCAAACTGTGGAGTAAATAATGAAAACTTGATATTTGAAGACGCAGGATCATACTGTTTTATTGATACTTGCAATATATGAGTCAATGAATTAGGAAGATGAGGGGGAGGGGGGTTTATATCGGAGGAAGGTAGAGCAGAGGTATTAGTAAATCAGCCTGGCAAACAAACACAACAGGCAGTAACTCTAGGAAAACAGCTCCCCCCACCAGGACATCCAAGCACAGTGGACGGGAACCTTTAGTCAAATCACTCAGTAATAAGTACGAATATCCTGAGGGGAAACCCAGTAAACGGACAACGACCCGCAAGCATGCACGACCCTCGATCGAGTCGAGTGTATATCCGGGGACGCTTACTGTAGAGATGGTATTGATATTATTGACGCTGATATTGAACTCGCAGATTGTTCTTGTTGGTAGGGTAATGATACAGAAGCTTCAAGATTTGTGTGTGTCGTGTGCTTGGTTGGGTTTTTATACTGTAATCTGACCGGTTTCAATGGCGCATTTGGGGCGTATCCAGTGATGTGTATATATATGCAGTGTTCACACTATGATGAGGCGTCACTAAACGTTGCCGCACCACTTACTCTTCACCATGTTTACATATGCTGCTCGTTAAGGATTCTTTTGTGAACTAAAACTGGCTCATCTCTGGGGCTCCTCACACCTCCTTTACGTTACCTTACACTTCTCACACCACGCCTAGCACCTCCTACTCACAATACTGCACACCTTACACTGCCTATCATGATCGATGTGTACAGTCAGTTGATCAATGTCCTGCAGTATCTGATGCCAACTTAAACCACTTAACCCCAAATAATGTGTGTGTGTGTTATCATCCCTTAGTTCCTGTATATTCTGTGAACTTATGCTTTCAGAAAATTCCATGTTGTTTAAACTAAATCGCAAGTGTTTGTGTTTACAGTGAGACAGCTGTTCGTGGTTTACCTGTTTGTTTCCGAGGCCTTATGGGATGGAGCTGGCTGTCACAACAAAATGATATACGACGGACAATCAAGAGGTCAGCAGTGAAATCCGGCACCCTGTATTGGACAGTATATATTTCTACACTAATTACAGTAAGTTTTATTTGTGTTGTTTATTCACAGATAGGAAAGGCATTATGTGAGGTAACGAATGAGACGATCAATTGGTGTATGGTGGTATCTTTGAAGCAGCAGTTCGTTATCACAGGCAATTAGAGTATATTTCTTCTATAGAACACCCCGGAAGAAAGTGGTAATATTTTATAATCTCATAAACCATACACTTGCCAACACAATGAAAATAATGCAGCTGAAATCCAAGAGAAGCGGTCTTATGGCCCTGACTTCACAAGGTCAAATTATCTAAGTCAGTCAAAATTTGTATTCCTTGAATCGGCTGATGCATTTCTAATTAAGCTTTGAGTATTCTTAAACTGTTTGGTGAAGAGTTTGAATAAAGTTTGGTCTCGGGTTTGACACCAGTTTTAACCACCTCAACCGGCTTCTCGTTTGTGAGCTTCCTCTTCAAGATCAAATCAAGGACTTGCAATGACGCAGCCAGCAAATCATGTTCAAATACTCAATCACGACAATAAGTGTGGGAAGATTGTATGAAGACACTCGTCAGTGATCACAGCAAAGCGTGAGACGGAAAACCCAGTGTTTTGGCAAGTCAGCTGATGTGAGGGAAGTGTACCCTGTAGTGCGTAAAACTTCCCTCCAGTTGTTAGATTGAAACCAGAAAGATATAATGTATTCCACTTACTTTTTAACTGTTGGTGACTAGTGTATTTCCTAATCAAAGTACGTGCTTAAAGACACGAGTTGTTGAGGCGCAACAATACATTATAACACCCAAAGTCTGGTTTATTTAGACTTTGGTAACATCATCTTGTTATGCTATGTATTGTACAAAAGCCTGAACATGTGTGCGTGCTTGGTGTAGTGCGTGTTGTGACCACTCATGTATGCTTCAGTACGGTGTTGTTTGTCTGTATTATGTGTTTGATGTTTTTTATACTGTATTGCTATAAATGCACTCAGTATACGCATATGATTTATGTACAATTTTGTGCTACTCGATTTCTGTGTTGCACTCAGAAAACAAAGTTACGGGTTCAGGTTGGCCAAAGATTCAAACAGATGATGAAACACGCAATGGTCCTGTGATGCATTAGGCTGCTGTACACATCATGTGGTCACGATCCAATTTCAGGTTGTTTTTGTATAATTTCAACTCACACCTTTACACACACACACACGTGACTGATAATTCATAGGACTGACCATTATGAAGATCAAAGGTAGTTATTATCTCCCTGTGATTTTACATTAGTGGTCCTGTTTCCTCAGCTCCACGGCTCAAAGTCAACAAGATTTGAACTTAATTTCACACCATATTAGCCGAGTTACCTCACTTATTTAGTGTCAATGTCAGTCAGCCTCGCAGCCACCCCCCCTTCCTACATTTTAAACTAGCGAGAGAAATTTGCTCATTTAAACTTCACAAACACACTCGTAAAGATAGGGGGACATAATCAGAGTTTCAGTTATGATACTATTTTTGAAACTTATATTGAAAGCGAAAGTTTATTTTGCTAGAAAAATAGGTAAAAGTGAGTAAGAGTACCAATATCGACAATGCTGATCTCGGGTGCTTGCAGTTCTCTTGAATGTGTTTGATAAATATCGTATATCTGGATTACAACGTGTTACATGGTGTTATATATATATATATATATATATATATATATATATATATATATATATATATATATATATATATATATATATATATATATAAAAGTGTTATCGTATTTTGAATTGTTTTTTTTATGATATGCTCTTGCAATCACCTGCCTACTGCGTATTATAGTTCCTTGTATTATCTCGTAATTTGGTTTAAAGTCTCATTCATTCACGTTTCTATTTGTCGAGCCTGATCTTCGTCTTTCTATGGTTCTTTGAGTAGCTTGAAGATGTGTTTGTCAGTAGTTTATTTACCCTCTTGTGTTATAATCATAGATCAATCTGGGGTTGTAGTAAGCATTTTTGTGATCATATTTTTGTTCGTTCAAAGAGTTATGTTGTATTTCAATATATTGCTTACTTTTCGAATCACTTCAGACAATCCTGGCCTATTTTCAATTTTCAGTACAATATTTGATTTCTTTTTCTCTCATATATTAGTTCCGGTTTGCATTGATTTTCACTCGTAATCAGGAAATGGCCGCCAAATTTAAGTGAAGTTAATATTACTAGTATGCGACGAGGTAAGCCAGTAAACACAGGCGACAGGAAGCTGGAATCTTTAATTGCTGCCAGACGAGTGTTAAAAATTTATTTCGTAATTTTTTGTTGACACTAACACGCGCCAAGATTTTCATACCATGTTATAATATTCCTTGAATCCATTTAAACTCGACCTTATAAGAAATCTCTATGATGTAAATAACCAGAATCGATGGATGAGGACAGATTGTGAAACAGTTGTATTTCTGGAAGGCACAAAGAAAAACGAAGGCCAAGTAATTCTGAGAACCTTGAGCAACCAGCTACCCCCACCATCCATGTGAAGATACGATTAGTTTTTTCATAGTATTGTGACACCTATTGTTGCTGGGAAGCGGTGCCATCAACAGATACAACTGATTTAGTATTGACAGCCTGTTGTCAGGGTGGAGAGAGATGGTAAACATGGTAGTGAGAGCGGGAAGTGGGTGAGAATATTGTGATGGTGCGGTGCGGGGAAACCCAGGGACAAATCACGCTCACCCCGCAGCCAGCCAGTGCCATAACTTTGGGATCCCGCACTGCCTTGTGGTGAACTTTTTAAACCACCCCCAATTACTATGGTACTTTACATAGTTTCATAAAAATGTAAACTTAAGGATTTGAAGACATAACCTATTTTTGTCCTTTTTATATATTATTATTTGCAGATAAAAACACGTCTAATATAAGCCAGTTTACAGGGGAAACTGATTTGTGCTGGTTTTCAGAACTTTGCATGCTGATGTGAAGGTCATATCGATAAAAAGAAGAAATAATTATGAACACGAACATCACAAGATACAAGATTCTTTCGTCACGATTCTGGAAGACAAAGTAGTGAGATGCTGTATACGTGAAGAACCAGATGCTGTGTGGAGAGTAGCATAAGATGTCGAGACGTGTTTCTTCACTCACTTTAAATATATTAGTCTTTATCCTCGTCTTGCCATAGGTGTCTCTGCGTCCCAAAGAGCTCTCAGAGTTAACGAGTGCATATTCCTCTTAGCTGTCTCTATATCCAAGAGCTTTCTGAATTTACGAGTCTCTGCATTCAAGTCTTTCAGCTACCTCCCCGTCTCTTTCATTCAAAATTTACTAACAAAAATATCTCACGTTTCTTATAAAGTGTGGCAGGAGGAGACTGTTACGTTCTCCCTTATTTCTTTCGGCAAGGCCCCGGAGGAAGAAATCTATTCTTGACTGTGCAGTGTCTCATCTCTCTTCCTCCCAGCACCTTGTACAGTACTTCCCTGAGATACTCTTTGATCTTCCAGTCTGACAAAGCCTCTCTATCAGTTAAAGTTTTCTATTTTTTGTTGAAGACATTCTGGTCGTGTTCCTGTAGGGTGGGTGGACGACCTGCACTGCATCCATACTCTGAGGCGGAGCTTGAGTCTTCACTCCCCAGTAAGTTATTTTTTTCTGTGGAGGCGTGAGAATACATCGAAATGGCTCACTGACTTGCGACATAAACATAGTTCTACGACTCTCATCATTAGTAGTAGTGGGAAAGAATGAAACGAGGAATGTCTGAGTACAGTTCTTCGAATATATGTTGCACAGCCGCCAGCCCGGCCCTTGAAGAATCAGCTGAAGATCTCGATCCTCTAAAACACATAAAGTGACTGTGGCCAGAAGGGGTTATGCTTCTGTAATAGTTTGACCAAACACGCAAGAACAAACGTAAAACTGAACACATTATTATGCACGACTACCAGTAATATGGCAGTTGTCTCAGCTTGACGACACCGATCACCAAAGTCAACGTATAGGGGAATCAGTACCATATGGAAGACACATAATAATAGGAATGTCTCATTTGCCCACGTGCTGGCAGAGTGAAGACCTGCTGGTGTGTGGCAACATTATCCTGCTAGCTTCGTTCATAAGTGGCCAATTCCCTACCGTAATACCCTATATTATAATGTTATTTGTCCTCCGTCAGTGAGCTGGACAACCACTTCTCAAGTTTCATCACTGTCTTCAATGAACGAACAACGAGACTCACGTGAGTATCTTGCTACACTAAGCTACATCTGTGCCTCTCCTCACCCAGAACACTATTGGCATACCTCAACACCTGTCACACCTGTCTAGTGTGACGCATACTGGAGGAATTTCGCAATTGGCCCCCCAGCTTATTTCACCTTAATATTAATCACCTTAACGCCAACCTAACCTAATCTGTTCTAATGTAACCTATCGCTAATCCAACTTAATCTAAATAAACCTAACGTAACCCCAGCTGGCGTTGGGCGGGTGAATCATCAGGTGAAATAAGCTAGGGGATAGTCATCAGCAGATCTGCAAGAATCATCCACTGTTACAGAAGGAAGAATAAAAACAACAAGCGCGAGACATGACAACAGTGACGCACGAGCAGACCATCTTATTCATCGCCGCCAGAGTGACTTGCCAAGGATCTGGGTGTGTGAAACATGGCCGTGCAGGTCTTCTTAAATATCTAGACCAAAATAGAGAATACCGTTAGATTCTGGTGTTTTTAGAATTATCCTTTGTTGTCATTAATAATCAACAGAATAAAACCTTTTTTTTTGTTTTTGTTTTTTTATAGATTTCAAGGTGAGGCGGAACAAGATTTTTTACGCGGCGTGATGGGTCGAAGTTCAAGCGACAACCTGGCGAACAAAACATGCTTGGATCCCTCTTGGGGGCCTCTCAATAACATGGTGGGGATGGAGGACGGGGACCGATCTCGAGGTGAAGTAATTGCCAAGAAGAAACAAATATTAATATAAGAATAATGTCTTGAAGTGAAGTAATTACCAAAAAAATAGAAGAATGGTGAAGAATAAGAGCCAGCAGGATCAACCGCTCAAGTTGTCAGCTCCACATCACGCTCACGTCTGTAGCGGAGAGGAAAGACCATCGCTATGGAACGGAGGGGAATGGTATAGTATTTTTTATGGTGTTTATTGATGATTCATGGTAACTGGTTGCCAGGTGGAACAAGTTAAGTCTTTCTGTCTTTATTACTCCTTTTCTCTTTCTTTTTGTCTTTCCCTTCTCTCTCTCACCGTGGGCCTGGATTCTCAACAGGTCTTAAGTTATAATATTCACCATATCTAGGAGATGTAAAAATCACCTACGTGGCTCACTTAAGCTACAGTACAAAGATGGCGAGAATATAGACGTCGAAACTACATACAATAAAACTATCGTAACTAGAATTGTCCTATCCATAATTATTAGAAACTTATAAAACGAATTTATTAAGACTGGACCTTGACCCAAAGCCAATTGCCTTTTTCGAATCAGAAGTGAAGATTAACCTCAGCTTATTTCACCTAAGATTAACCATCCTAACGATAACCTAACTTAATGCCCCCTCCCCCAGGTGGTGTTAGGCTATTAAGCGTGAGTTGAAATAAGCTGGGGCTAATCTTCAGGTGATTTTCATTTCCATATACAGCATTAAGAACGGCATTAGTGTTGATATTTACAAGACTTTAGAACACAACCCCAGGAAATATCAAGTGGCGATTTTTCTTATGCTCTTAAATGGAAAATTGTAGCCTCATGTGTCAGTGTTAATGATAACGGAACATGACAGACTTTCTCTCAGTGACAAAGGTCTATTAGCACCGAGATGTGACACAGGTGGTGATGTGGTGTAGTTAGTTTTAATGCCTTAAGAGAGAAAGCTATTCAGTAAAATCGTCATTCAAGTTTCCATTGATCCAGCCTGTGCTGTATATATACAATGCAGGTATACAAAGAACCAGTTCTCCACCACAACCAGCACCCTACCGCCGTGACAAAGAACACCTGTCCAACACCACGCGCCCCACTTGTCCGAGTTTCCCGCACCACGGTCATCAAGTTTTTAGAGCGAATTTCCTTTTTTTTGTTGAGGCTTCTGTCAAGTGGCCACAGAGGCGAGGAGGGGAAGGCCAGGTGTGAAATAGAGTCTGCTTCAACCACCAGTTGCAACACACACCACAGTAAAACACCCCCACTACACCTAACACCTTCACCACCACAAGACTAACACCACCACAAGACTAACACCACCACACAAACTAACATCACAACAAATTCGTCCACCACAAGAAACACACTAACTACGTCAACAGCTATATCGACCATTGCAACTACATTCAAACACACTATTCTAATCAGTAAGATGCAAGTGAAGGGTGAGGTCAGCTTACACTTACTACACATTATGCAAAGAGGAGATAGTGACCTTAATATACGGGGCATTTGACCACAGTGAGGGTGACGTCAGTAGCAGTGAGGAACCTTGGGTAGGACTAGGAGGTTTATTTAATGGGCGGGTCCTGACCTCGGGTAGGAAACTTGACCCAGGGGAAAGGAATGTAAAAAAAAAAAGGAAACTGGTGAAAGGGGTGAGAGTCTGTGACGAGGAAGGTGGGGGGGGTGCACGGGAAGGTGTGGGCTATTAAACAACCTTATTACGAACCATTCGAACAACTGTGGATCCAGTAGCCCGATAATCTTGTTTTATATTATTATTATTATTATTATTATTATATTATACTGAGTTACTTGGAGGGGAACACAAGATTATTATATTACAAGTAAAAAGAAATCTTAGTTTTAAAATTCAACTCAACATATTGTTTCTTTATTTATGGCTCAATATATTCAAATTTTATTTGACCTTATGAGGAACATCCGTACGTCTGTCGATATTATTGTACAAACCCGAGGTGTTGTAATCTGGTACAGTACCATATGGCTGATTCACTACTATATAACTAGAGTCTCATACACACCAAGATACATCTCAGTGTGTACGCGGCTTAAGGAACTCTGGGAAAGATCACGGAGATGTGTACACCCACCAAAAAAAAAAAGTCTTGTCAGTCCTCTCTCCCATCTAAGAGACTCATGAACCTGTGAATTCGAGACATCATACAGTGCTAAAGGCCACTGTGGTGTCTCGGATTCATAGGTTCATGAGTCAGGGTTCGTGGATACGTTTTTCTTTTATTGAAGTCAAGGATATTTATTTTTTTACATACATTTCGTAATTAGATAATCCCAATGTTAAGTTAAATCAAGGATTATTCATATATAGAACAAGGTCTTAAATTTATTTGTTGGTATGTCAGCTTTCAAAGATATTTTATACATACAGTTTACCGTATAAAATATATTTGAAAACTGCTCTCGTCGTGGAGAGCAGAATTTGTTTTATTATCCCTGTATTAACATTCTCGACATTCTCTTATATTTATAGCGACAAAAACGCTGTTTGTTTCTATCACAATATCTAATTCAGCCAGTCAGATGTGTCTAGTTCGTAAGTGTACCTTAGTATCGGCGAGAAGTGAAAAGGAACCATTTTGGGTGACAATTGACGTCAGACGAGTAGGAAATCAATTGGCATTTTCTTTATTCATTGCAGATCCGTGTTGAATTTTGCTTCGTAAAATAGTAGCCTACCTTGAGAGATTTTGCATAACTGCAAGCAAAGTTTTATTTCTAAGAGGACTGGTAAAGGTGTTCCAGTCGGCGGCCATTAGTTTACATCGGCCAGGCGAGGAAGGAGGAAGCCCCGTGCTAGTTTTAACAGTAAAACTAATTTGATGAACAATTATTGTGTGTGTAATACTCTGGAAACCAGCATCTTCAGCCTCGTATGATAGTAAGTATTTATTCGGTAAAATCCCAATACAAGATTACGTTGATTGAGGCATTACAGTAGAGTGCAGTATACAAACAGTGGTAAACAGTAACTCGGTTCAAGGATAGCTAACAAAGCCATCAGTTGCCTGTTTCCTGTTGTGTCCTTTAAATTTTTAAGTCTAATACATTTTGCCAACGAGGACGGAGATTAACGGTACTCATTGGCAGTGACGTGTGGCCCTGTAGTGTGTGTGTGTGCGTAGCATAGCTGAGTGTTGTGACCCACAGAAAAGTTTGCCACATGTCGGAGTTGTATTAGTCGCCATGAGTGCTGTGATGATAACGGGACACCAGCACCAGTCAGCCTACCTACCTCTACTATCACAGTCATGACTTCAAGCAGATTGAAAACAGTTATTAAAAAGAAAATAACTAACCACAGTTTCGATGATATTTTTTCTATTGCTCTTTTTTTTCTGGTGCTGAAGTTTAATCTAGCATTTTTTTTATCGTCGATGGGATAAAGGTTTAGTGAATAGAATTGGTGAGCCATTAGGCTGTGGTGGCCATGACGGAGTGGCTCACAAATTAAGTCTGAGAATGGTTGTCAACTACCGGGAATCCCCACACCCAGCCACAGTCATAGTATGGTGTGTGACAGGTACTGCCCCTACTGTATTGTGACGTCGGATAATCGGATTACGGAAAGATTAGCCCAACCAGCTTATTTTACCTGATGATTAAATACCTTAACGCTACGGGGGGTTAGGTTACGTTGTTTTTTAATCGGTTAAATGAAGTTAGCTTGGGTTAGCGATAGGTTAGATTAGGATAGTGTGGGTGGTTTATCATAGGTGAAAACACTTTACACTTGTGACACGAATAGTGTACTGAAAAATCTTGGAAAATTATCACTTGCTACGTTATACAGAACTTTCAGTCATATTTCAGAAGTGCATCACTCGGCATCATTAATTTCAGTATGTGTATAGAGTGTAGAAGATGTATTTATTTATAGTTTACTTGGAAATTTGGGTTTTCCGGTCGTCAGTGATAACAAAGCCGGGCGCCTGTTGTTGTTGTTGGTGCTAGGTCGGAAACCCCAGCTTGCTCTGTACTGACTGTTACCCGCTTTATAACGGTGGATGGCAAGAACAGTGTGCAGCCCAACAGCAAGTATCAAGATCCTTAGCTACGATAAGATTCACAGAAAGCATTGGACCCAGGTGTTACAATAATAATAATAAACGGTTTATTAATAGAGTTGCAGCCGGTGGCTGAAAATTTACACTTACATTTGATTTAGACATAATGATATAATATGTGTGTGTGTGTGTGTGTGTTTAGAACATTAAGTAGAATAAAATATCTTCCCAGCTTTGGCCGAAATGTAATGAAACCTGAAGGATTATACTGGAAGTGTTACCGAGACGTATTCGTTGGAAGTCGGGATGGTGCAGTACAGTATTTTGTTCACTCATTCACTGTAGCAGCATCCCCGTTGTGTGTTGCCGTCACACCAAGATCACTGTATCGTACTCGCACCTTAATCATTTCATTCGTGATATCTCTGTGTAAACATTACAAAAAACATGATGGCTCTGTAAAAATGTGGTATGTTTTAGAAAGCAATAAAAATAAACAGATTCATTAGTGGGTCAGTGGCCCCCACACCCTAGGTCCCTCCCTCTCACGCTGCTGGTGCTGGCTCGTGTGATGTGGGCAATCTTTAACAGGTGGGAGGGCAGAGTTCGCAGGTGTGAAAAGAGGAAGAGATGGTGTAGTGGGGCGGGGAAGGCATTGGGGAAAACCCGGCGTGTGTTGTAGCCGTCATGAAGAGGATGTGAAGGTATAAATAAGGACGTCCCAGTATTAACACCGGTAAGAAGGCGCGTGGGGCCGCATGAGCATCCCAGGTGGTGAGACGTTGTTCATGCCTGGTAAAAGTAGTTACCTGCCTTCACTAGCATAAACAGAAGAACAAAACACCTGATAAACGTGAGGAGGGGTCGTAATAACCTCGGTGAGTTTTCAGTTCATGACTAGCAGCTGCACCCGACCACCACTCCACGGGAAACTACCTCGAACACTAGGAAAATTGTTCGGCTTGACGTCACTTCTTTGTCCGTGACTCACGAATCATTGGAAACAACTCGGTAATGGAGTTGTGGTTATGTTGTTGAAGGAAAAGTTATCCTTGGATTATAATAATGATTATTTTGATGTGCACTAAGTAGGAAGCTGGTTTACAGTATTTCCCCCGGAGAGTCCAAATTCGAAGGTGATCATTTTAGGAAATATCTTTTAGCGTAACTCAATTTTAACATTAATGCTTATCACCAGAACCTTCCAGATAGTATAGTCTATTAAAGAAGGCTATCTTATATTCCAGATGGTAACCGTCATCGTAGTTACCCTGTGAAGAAGATGGTAAGTTCACCTTCCTGCTTGTTTGGCGCTGCAGTTCCTTCAAGACAAACTAAATCTCCAGCAGTACTGTATACCTCACAAGTAAGTTCTTCCAGCTATCTTATGAAAGAGAATAGAAATAGTATGTGTAACAATAGGCATATATCATAGTTGACCATTGTCTCGTTTGGGGAGGCGGGCGTTTTAAGGTCAGATGCTGAGTCATGATGAGTCAGCAGAAATGTGGTGAATGGAAGATGACTCGCTCTCTTCCCTCATTTTGAACAGTGATGGATGATGACGCACCCTCCTCCCTCACTCTGTTTACCAGTATAGCTTAATTAAATGGTTTTTACTCGCATACTCATTTACGTAGGATCACGTGAAGATTAGGCACCTCAGTTTATTTCACCCGTTTAATAAGCCCTGTAATGTGAATAGGTGGGGTTAGGTTGGGTGAGGCTAGGTTGTCAAGGTTAGGTTGTTAAGTTAGTGACATTTTAAGTAACTATGGTTGTTTTTTAGCAATATTTTCCTTTATTTGAGACCTGGATAGTGACGGAAATGCCTGAGCTCTTAGTAATAAAAGACAAAATAGTACAGAATAAAGAGCTTCCTCCCTCCCCGCTATATTATAAAGAGCTTCCCCCACCCTAGACAACCTCCTCACGTGAGTTATTGCATTATCCTTCACGACAGGTTTCTATAATACGCAATGTAGACTCCTTCATTTGTTGTCGTAAATATTAAACTTCTGTTTTTTTATAAGAAATTAGCATCCATATTGTTACTGCATTATCATTGGTAAAATTATCAATAAGTTTACATTGGTTTTTGGTAAATCATGGAAATTGTCTTAGCCTTGTGAGTATTCCCGGTGACTACTACAGGAAGAATTTGAATATAATGTAAAAAAAAAGCTAGAATAAATACTGCTTGTTATTGCGCGCTCACTTCTCTCCCTTGGTCACATACCATCTTACGTAAAGGTAAATATAATTCTACCAGTCAACCTCACCACGAGGCCTCGCTTTCTAACCAGATGAATGTCAGGGTGTGTGTGTGTGTCTTGTAGCTGACCTCACTCACACCATCACTGTACACATATACATACACTGTACATCCACTACATACATACTTACGTAGTTATACATTAGGTATAGACAACTTCCTGGTAACTTTTCTTTTATCGTTCATTATAGGATTTTGTTACCGTATACAGTAACTTATTTTATTACAATATACATTTTTACTCTTATTTATGCTAACATCACTTTCAAAGCTCTTTAAGCACCTTGACTCGGAGTTTATATTTAATTATTGTATTTTCTTGTCATTGTGGCTCTGTGAAAGTGATTTTAAGTATTTGTGTGAGAGAGGGAGAAGGTATTTACTTAATGTCTGTTGGTTTTATATATTTAAAACTCGTTAGTGACAGTTCCAGCAGCACCTGTTAGCTCTCACGCTGCCGTCTAAATATCTCTTCCAGTCATATGTAACAGCTCCGTGCACACAGTCTAAATATATCTGCTAGTCTCACTTCACTCTTACTTTGGGCACCATCAGCCTCGTAACTTTTTAATACCTCAAAATAAATACTTTTAGCCATGCCAGTGTCTTCACCAACATTCCTCAAGTCGCCAGCGGCAGCATCTGAATTCTTTCTAGGGATTCTATATCCATTCTGTCATACGTTGACCAGAATTGAACTGCGTAATCCAAGTGAGGTAGCACTGGCTCTCCCAGGGACAGCGGCGTACCCAAGGGTCCTCCCAGGTGACCCCGGCGCCCCCAGAGAGACTCCCATTGACAGCTTCATGCCCAGGGACGGCAGCGCCCCCAGGAACAGCGGCACCCCTAAGGGCCCTGCTAGGGGCGCTTGGGCCCCCAGGGGCTCTCGCAGAGACAGCAGTGCTCCCGGGGCCTTAAAAGGGATGGCGGCCGTGCCAGGTGCGGTAGCGCCCCCAGGGGCAGAGACAGCGGCACTCCTTGGGGCCCTCCCGGGGCCATGGCACTCGCAGAGGCTTTCCCAGATACATTTTTTATGTATTTTTTTAATTTTGCCGCTTACAGCGGCTAGGTTATTGTGCACCCCAAACTCATCCTGTGAGCGGTAGCACAAGAGGATTACAGAGTATGAGTTACAAAGGGTCGGAATAATTAACCCCCGTGGTCAGGATATTATGGTACTGAATGTTACACAATATTTCAAATACATTATTTGTTTAGTTCCATACATAAAGGGCATTTTATTCTCAACTGCGTGAGTACAGGAGTGTGAAGCACTGTGTCTGGCCTCACACTTTGTTCTTCACATTTGCTTAAGAGGTATTCAAGCAAATTGTGTATTTGGTTCTATACATGGGAACTGATATAGTTACTAAGTGCAAATAGGTGGATACAATCTTAATTTGTCGTCTAACTTGCCAGTGCCTTCTCAGGGGCGATGGTGCCCCCAGGGGCCATGCCAGGGACAGTGGCGCTCCGTGAGGCCCTCTTAGGGACGTCAGAGCCCCCAGAGGCTCCAAGTTCACTAAATCAAGTGAAAATAAGGGAAAAATGCCTTCCACTAAATTCCATTAAATTGAGAGTTTGTATACTATGTGTGAAACACAGCCCGAGAAGACTTCCCACCCGCTGAGTAACACTATGGCACCTGCTTGGTCAAACTCCATCCACAGCTCTGTTTAAGGGAACACAACAATAAAACTATTCCTTCCAGGGTATAATTTTAATGAAAACTATAAAAATCACACTTGCATACATGACTATTAGAGAATGCTGCAGTATATCACATTAACTGCCTGTCAGTCACACAGGGCTTCTCTAATAGACTTTACCATATCTATATATCACCGCATGACCTTATGGTACATGGAATGCATGGAAATAAAAGTGTACTGTATTTTTTAAATTAAACAAGGAAATAGTCAATTCAAATTATATTTAAATCATATCCAACACTAAAATATACACTTCTAATTTAACATTAATCAACCAGCATTTGCTTCATCCAACTGCTTCTTTTAACACAGTAACAACCTCACAGTCATTTAATCCTGTATGTTTGTATTATACCAGCAATTTTCCCCACAAAATAGTTTCAAACTACAGATAGTTCTGCTATAACACGATAATTGTGTTCTTGTAAAATATCGTGTTATAGAAAATCGCGTAATAGAAATAACAGGGCTTATGGAGAAAATAGGGTTAGGTGCAGATTACTCGAAATCGAAAAAATTTAGTAGTTAGCCTAACACAAAGTATAGCACAGTCTAAATAAATGTTACATTCATATCTAATAATGAAATCATACAGTAAATGTAACACTTTACTTGATGAGGGAGAAGGGTGATTTTGAGGTTGATAAAATCGAGCTTCTCTTCAAGTGTTATATCCTTTCTTTTACGATCATCACCGGGAATTATCACCAGAACGCTTCTTGTTGATATTCTTCTTTACTATATTCACAGTTAATATGTACCACAAAATTGGAGAAATAGTAAGCAAAAATCGCGTTATAGCAAACAAGCCTTCGCATTATATTTATATCGTTCCTAATTCATAAATCGCGTTAGAGCAAATTCACGTTATCAAAACACGCGTTATAGCAGAACTCATTGTACCAATTTACTACTGACAGTGTTAAAAAAAATTAGTATTTATACTCGCACTAGACACCATTAGCCTGGTACCGGTATAGCCCAAATCTCTCGAAACAACCTTTTATTTACATGAACTGTGTAATGAGTAGATAGATACAAAAATATTACAGACTACAATTATATTATGTCTTTGGGAATATGAGGTACATTACAGGCAATATAATTAAAGTTCTGTATGAGGTAACTCCACATTTTGAGGATGAAAAGCAGCAAGACAATTTTTCCCCCTTGTTACAATTATTACTGGTTGAGAAAAATACCTTAAAAACATAATAGTACTGTAATGAATAACAAATCTGTCTCAATTTAGATTGTCAATTTAGTTTTATTTATCAATTTATCATTTATTTTTTTAGTGAGTACAGTGATGTCCCCATTAGCCAGAACAATTGGTGCAGAACACTTCCGGGAATGAGAGATTTCCGGGCAATAAGACAACTCTCTCGGAGCCGGAAAAAAATCCCTCGTCCCCGGAATTTTCTGGGTAAGGGAAAATTGTTCTCGGAATTTCCAGAAAATGAGCCTGATTTTCATCTCTCAAACCCAGAAAAACTCCCCCATTCCTGGAATTTTCCAGCTATTGGGAAGTTTTTCTCAGAATTCTCTGCAAAATGTGCCCCTCGGAAAATCATTCCCAAAGCCGCAATTTCCGGAAAATACCGGCTTTGGGAACGATTTTTTGAGAATATTTCAATTCCGGCTATCTTTGAGTTCAGGGTTTAAGGGATTCCGGCTAACGGAGTTATTACTGTATACAATACTGTATATTTATCACTTGCACAACCTTGACACTTGAGTTCTCCGTAATTACTCTTAAATAAATACCAGTACTGAGCGAATACATTTGGCACCATCTCAGATACACAAAAGGTAACAGAGCCATTTTTTTTTTTTTTTCAAAGACATTTACTGTACTCCATCAAGTTGGGTGACATGGCATACGTTAACAGTCGAGAGAGTAGCACTTGTACAAAATGTAAAGGAATAGAGAGTATTAACTGCCATCTCATAATGTTCAGTGTAAATTGCTTAAGACACACCATAATTTGTTCAGTAATAAACACAGATAAACCGTACAAAATAAAGAAGTTGTACCTTTATCATAATGGCAAGATCCTTTGTGGTCACCGAACAGAATAACAGAATTACCGTATATGTTATCAAATGGGATATAGTTTCAACCCTCAGATGAAGGATGGATTGGGGGGATACCTTTATGTAGAAAAACAAAGCTATATTTAGTACTTGAAGGGACAAAGGATATGGTTTTGGTACTTTAGAGAATGTTGATGGGATCTCAACTTAGATGCTGTGGGTGCACCAATGTGTAGTGTACACAACCAGACACCATCATTGTGCAAATTTTAAAGAGATTGGAAGAGAAGGCAGCTCCAGGAAAGGTGCTTGGCTATAGAAATGTGAGTGTTGGGTGTAAAAGAGTACTGAATAAAAATCATGAATAAATTGAAAGAGCACAGACAATAAATTGGCTTTACAAAAATAAATCACCGGAATGAGAACTGATACAGTTTGTTTAAATATTGACAACAATAAACAACCTTTCTTAGTTAGAAGTCTCAGACACTAGACACAATTAGCAGCTGTATAATGAAAATAATAATAATAAGTGGTACTCAAGAGGTAGCATACACAAGATATACAGTATATTGTATATGTCACCCAAAATATAAAGCCGCACATTTAAGTTATGACACCGGGACTAGAGCATTAATATTTACAATACAACAGTAAAACATACAAGAAACACAAAAGGATCAAAATAATTCCTTTAGTATAATAACCAAGACAAACCATTGACGGTTACTTTATACGTCTTTAAAGTACAGTAGTACCCCGCTTAACGCGGTCAATTGAACCCACAGGGTACCGCGTTAAGTGAACAACAGAACATATGGGATTAATTCCAATAGAGACTGGCCCGACCCCCAAACTCCACTTTTTGACGACACACAACTATGTTGTAGTAAAAAATTTATCTTAACTTTATGATGGTATGCACACAATTAATAATTAAGAGAAATATCAATAATATTAGGTTTTTTAACACTTGCATTAGTAGAAAAGATGGCTGGGCACACGGGGATGGGGGGTTGGTTCCGAGGCAGAGGGCAGATTATTGGCCCTCACCTGTATCACTTGTATCAATTGTATCACTATCCACCACAGAGGCTTGCAGGGCCTCTTTGTCAAACCCCTCAAAGGCCATATAAGTCCATATCCTCACTATAATTATCACTATCACTGACTTGGGCCGGCTGTGGTGGGTGGCGGGTGAAGAACTCGGTAATGTTTTGATGACTGGGCGACCTTGTGCGCATCGTGCCCGCGCCGCTTCCCGCGTATATGATGAAAAATTCCGCGTTAAGTGAAAGTTCAGCTCTGGCGAGGCACCGCGTATATGATAAAACGCGTTAAGTGAAACCGCGTTAGGCGGGGTAATACTGTATTGTCTAGTGTATGTACAGTCGCTCAAAAAACTATCTTTACTTGGGTGATGTAGATGAATTTCAGAATGAACACTGAGACTCCTGTTGTCTGTGTAAGGTTGCCAAAATCCTTCGTCTGTTGTGGCATATTTTTTCAACACAATTTTGTATTGATAATTTTTTGAGTGAGTGTACAATCAATGGGGTAAATACTCTTAAAAGTGTTTGTGTTAGGTCCTCCTCACTTCTAGATTTGGAGATGGTTAGTGACTGGTTGTTGTAGTCAAATGTGTACAAGTTGTAATGTCTATAGGGTATATATGGTGTATCTGGCTATGGAACATATAAGGGTACCATTCATTAAGTGAAGAAACTGACAAGTTAATACTGGAAGTAATATGACAGACTTTAATGTGTGTGGTGACTAGTATATTTGGAGGGTTCTGTATAGCCATGCCACTGAATAACAAAAGAAATTATTTTATCTGCAAGCCTGAGAATTACCACTGCCATCATATGTACACAAAAGCATTTTCAGCTGTAATAGTCTGCCTTTCCTCAGCCCCCATCCCTCCCCATTCTTTTATGCCTATGGCTGACTTACATCACGGACTTGTCACTGCACCCACCCAACTAGCACACACATAAACCACTATCACACTTCCTGGCTTATGAATCTTTGGTTACCCTTATTTTTAAGACAATTTCACTGGGAATGGTGAAAACTGGACTGGGATTAAGTTTAAGCACAACTTCCTAGCAGAGAATACATAGTCTATAAAAATGAACTTGCCAATATATTATAAAAAAAAAAAGTGGATAAATGTAGTATACAGTACAGCACATTATACAGCTGCACAGATTTTTATCATAATTTTTATAGGCTATTATCAGGTAGAAACAGTCGAAGTTAAACCATTTTGTTTTGTTTTTTAATTTGTCATGGAATAGTTGAACGTTTGTGCGTTGGTAAACTACACTTCATTTGTTACAATTATATACAGTATCATAACTGAAGCATTACTATATCAGTGTCTAAAATTCCTTCTTTCTGAATTCAAAAATTTTTCAACTTAAAAATAAAAGGAAAATCTAAGCTCACAGAGGCATTGGTACTGTACACGTTATACAATGTTATACACTATTTACAATATGGACACGGGATGAGATATACAACCAGACATCCCTTCAAGCTTATCTCTCTAAACTAGTTTTATACAAGGAAAACTTATTGGCTCTGAGGAACCACCCCACTGACAACCCAGATGAACTTCTTAAATATCAAAATCTTCAACATGAGCAAAAGATGTACAATTATTTTTCCAAATTTACAAATACATCTTTGTCTTATTTTCAATAGTACTGTATAGTCAAAAGTTTGAACTTCTTTTATCAACAGAAAATATCATTAAGTCAAGTAAGATCATCTGCAGTTATGTCTACAACAAGAGCATCTTCATGAATCAAATTGGCAATGAGATCAAACCACTTAATATAAAGGTTTTGTGTATGTGTCACAACTTTCAACAGCACCCATAAAACTAAAAGTTTGGAGAGACATCACCCAATACAATATCCCACAGGTCAGTACAAAGTCAATTTATGTAAATACTACTTACAGTAACTCAAAGGTAATTCATATGAAGCTAAATTATAATAATAATTGTTCAATCATACAAATACTGTAGTGCTGACATCAATACAGGGTGGGGGTCCAGCTTCTCATTGTCTCATTATTAAGATGCTGATGACTTAGAGAAGGTCACTACACCTTGACACACTGATTAAGGTTCTTTAGGGGTTTTTTCTATTAGTATTCTGGATGTACTAAGTTGCTAATAGTTTGATGCAGAATTCACTTTTATTCCCCTAAGTGTGATAGATGGATTTATTCCACATCCTACAAAGAAACTTTTCCCTCTCCTGAGTTGTTCAAGAACACCCCTCTCACTGCTTTGTTCAAAATACCTGCTACATCCTAGTGTGTGCCTGAAATTTAAGTACTTTTCACCAATAATATTTCAACGGCAATTTTTTTTTTCTATTATAAACATTAATTTCTAATCAAAGGGAAAAGGCATTTTCACCCCCAAAGCCAATATAGGAAGACCTCAAAGCCCTGATTTAGGATATGGGGTGTAAAACTTGCAATTATGGTCATTACCGTACATATAATGACTCTAGGAATATTTGGAACCCTAATTACTCCCAACCTGTATTGTAATTTCTTAAAAACAATTTTGTGTGTTTTTCTTTCATTCTCAATGTACCTGTACTAAGTTGTGGAAAGTGATATCTTAATGAAACTTAGTGAGGCTACAGAAACATAATTACCGTTACATAAATTCATTACTCATTAATTAAACTAATAAATGGGTCCCCCTGTAGTTATGAAATGTAATATTAACTTTAAATTATCCTAACCAGACCAAGTTCAGTTTTGGTTTAGTTTAATTTCCACGAATCAAGTTAGATATTTCCTATGATATTAAATGTAAAATTTACTCTTTATGTACAGGGGTTTTAAGAGGGATATGAAGTTGGAGGTTCCCTCTTAAAAGAAGCTACAGCCATGCCAGGGCACTAAAGATGAAATGTAAATACTCTCACTTCTATTGAAAATCTATAGCTGGAATGCAACCTTAAACACCTCAAGACCAGCCAGAGAACTAAAAGTTACCCGTGCATTTTTAGAATTCCCTTGTATCTCGTGTTCAGTAACATTTTGAGTTACAGGGTACACATAAAAATAAAGTAAAATATTCTAAAGATTTGTGATGTTTGCCAATTCTGTCATTATTTAATACACATACAGGTATTGCTCACTTAACATAGCTTCACTTAATGTACTGTACTGTCATTAAAATATAGTTCACAACTTAGGTAATGTAATCCCGCAATAAATTCAATGATTTGCTGCTAATTTAGTTAAACAAAATAAGAGGCTAGTAGATTTGTGCATTCATCACTGGTTAACACTAGTGTATTTATATTACAGTATAAATATATATACTAATTTATTGGGGCCCAAAAAGTTTTCCCTGGTAAATATCTCAATTAACAATATGGGAGAGTACAGGTATAGGAGGACATGTTTTACTTACCATAATATGATTTTGGAATTTGTATATGTTAAGTGAAATATACCTGTAGTGTACACCCACACACAAAGATGGACATACAGTAAACAGTTGTACTTGGAAGTACAGTAGTATGACACAAAATACGTTACTAATTTCATATACAGTATAGTCCTACGCCATCAGATAAATATTCCTTGTGTATGTGCTCTTGCAGCTGGAAGAAATGTACCTCTCTTAGAGTCCTAATAATATCACTCATTATTGGTAAAATCAGCAGGTAGTATCATGTCCAATGGCAAAATCATATGATCACAGCATATATTTATAATACAGATCATTGGATACATGAACATCTCAGCAACCTTCTTTTCTGACTTATGACTTATCATTAATACTTTATCCACCTAATACATATGTATAAAATATAATTATAAAAATCTATTATGTGAAGAGTATTGTTGTCCTTTTAAAAACTAACTACTACTATTTATTATACTCTTCAATCAGGTAAATTGTGACGAATACTTGACACAGTGCAGCCCATACACAGATGATGACGAGCCAAGCAGAGTGCTGGAGTGGTGCAGAAAATGGGTTCTTCACCCCCATGCCGATATACTGTAGAGTCATCTTACGGGCATAGTAGACTAGAGTGGCCGGTACAACATACTAGAATAAAAATAAATATATAAACGATTGTTTTCAAAATATGAAAGAGAAAATAAAAAGGATTGCCTCCTTAATCCAACACATGGTTCACTGTCTTCATTTATATTAAATTACTTAACTTAATATCTGAAGAAATTTTATCCTACAGTACTTTGGATCAACATTTCAATACTTTCATTACATACCTGTATAAATGATCCTGCATAGGCACCAGTGATGCCGACTAAGATCTCCACATCAGATGTAATAAAACCCACTAGAGTTGGAGGAATAATGGCTAATAGGGGGAAAAGGCAGCGTGTAGTGAAGAAAGAATAGCGGCGACCTTCACGCAGACACAGCCCCTTTAAGTTATTACGTAATGTGATGGCAATGATTGGAAAATTGGTGCTCAAAGTGAAGACAGGAAACATCAATAAAAATAACTGAAAATGAAAAGACTCGAGTTAATATATACAGTACATGTATGTGGAAACTAATCAATGTTTTTATGGAAAGTTATCCTTCAGAACAAGATCTTAATACTCATTACTTTTTTAGTATATCAAGGAATAGGAGTTAGATATAATTTTAACTAAAACAACAATGGCAGTTTTGGTATTGATTCTTGACAAGTATTAGGTCAGCGCCGACTTTTGACAAGAAAAACGCGTGAGGAGACATTACCCGAAGAGAGTAAATTATGACGGAGGTGTCGTCGGTCTTGCATCTGTCTGGCTGAAAGTTGAGTGTGTAGAGGTCATTCAGATGCTCAAAGGCAAAGATTCCAGTGAAGGCCAAGAGGTAGTAGAACATCAGGATAAGCATGTAGTCGGCTGCAAGTAACTGTAACATTTGTTGAATATTTAGGAGCAACAAACCATAGTAATATAAGTAGAGAACACACTATCCATTACTATGAACAATATATCTGATCAAATTATATTTTCCTTTCATAATTCACAAAAATATCCCTCCATCTTTCCTCCTTGAACCAAACTCTTTCACATTTCTTCCTTCACTGATCTATCTTTTTTTTTTAATATGAATCATAAACATACAAAATCTGTAGCTTACACCAATACATGACCACCCATCCTAATTTTGCATTTCATCAGACCTCATCTATGTATTCAAAATTTTATTACAAGTTAACCATGTCATTCTCTATTAAACCAGCTCTCTTTTTCAGATTCTAACACTCATATGTCTTTTGCAAATCCTGTACTGTGAACACATTACTGGTATTTAAAATTTTTTGTAATACTGTACTTTATTTCAATCATCAAAAACTAGAGTACAGTGTGCCTTTCAAATTTGCGGATTTTTAATTCACAGACCTCGATTATCCGCGGATGGCACCCTGGATGTACCCAAGAATGTCTGAGGGTAGTTTTAAAGTTGCCGGCATTTTTGCGACCAGGACAGGGAGCCATTTGTTCTAGAGACAGTAATTTCCTTTACCTGTATTGTGTATATGTGTGTGTGCATACACATACATATATACAGTACAGGTAAAAGAAATTATTGTCCTAGGGGTAAACACATAAAGGGAATAGTAGTATACATTTCTTTGTACACAAATAAAAATGTACCCCCCCCCCCTCCGTCAGCAAATGTTATTTGCGGATTTGGCGATTCATGGCCGTTTTGAGAACCTAACCCCCGTGAATTTGAGGGGCACGCTGCATTTCTATTGCTCTCATCTTGGTCGCGTACGTTCATAACTTTCTACACAGAACGAGTTTTATAATCTAATAAACTTAATTAAATGTTTTTCTGTTTTTTTTAAATAAATGTCTTCTCTTTTTTTAAATAAACAAATAATAAATCACAAAATCAGGTACGGAGTATAAGCCAGGGATAATTCTACCACAACAGGTCATCTAGTGTTGCAGGTATCCAGTTAAAGAAATAAATCAACATTCTTGTGAAACATACCTTTACAATTGACCTCTTTTCAGTAACAGGAGTTATAAGAGCAGGTAAGGAGTGATGACACATGAAACTGTACACACAAACTCCGAACAGTTGTGGTAATTTGGTGATATCAGCAGAGGGGGGATGACCATGGCCCTTATTCTCGGCCAAATACACGATGGCCCACGTGATCATTATCCCCATTGCTGGAATTTAAGTGCATATAATTAGTAAATTTAAAAAATAAATGTTTAGTTGATGGATCTATGCATATACAGTACAACCAAATTTTTAAGGTCAAGAGGGAGTAAAATGGTAACCTCAAGCGCTGTATACAGGAACACTCCCTGATGCTTTAGTCTGTGAATACTGTGTTCTATGCCATGCACACTATGTAGGGATGTGTTAAATGAATGTGACAATTAAGTTTAATAGAATGTACATGGATAGAAGTGTCATAATACAGTCAGTCAAATTTCACCATGACCTGACAATCAGTTTGAACATTACTCATCAGAAAATCCATTAGTTATTACCTAGTGACACAGAGGTTATTACTATACCATTATTGGTAACACTAAATAGTCTTTCCTTTCTATATGATTTGCATGAACTCTTTTTATCACATTTTCCTTCATACAGAGAACCTAGAGTAGTATGTGCTGTTATTTTGATACACTAACCTCTGCCATGCAAGACCTACACACCGGTGAAGGGGGAGGAGTTGAAGGAGAGTGGGAGCAGTTCAAGAGTGCAGCCCTGGACAAAGAAAACTAGAATGAAAAAAGAAGAAGAGGGAAGGGTAGGATGTGTGACTGATGGTACTTATGAAGGAGATATGAGTGAGTGTAATGAGAGATGAAAGAAGTGATGAAAACAAAAAGATTAGAAGTAAAAAAAAAACTAATACATGGTTTGGTTATGTCATGTCAGCTTTAGGTAATTATAGTGTTGTGTCAGCATTACATTATGTTAACTTAGTGTTGTATTACAAAAGGTTAGGTTAGGAAAACGAAGTTGATTTATAGGGAAGTGAACAGTGTGTCCAGACTCAAGAGAGACACAGACCCTCCCCTCTACTCACCGAGCCATCTGGTAAATGTAGTCAACATCTGCATATATTTTGTTTTAGTAAGATTGAAGAACACAAAAGGGCCCATTACACCAATGAATGCAGCCTGAAAGAGAAACAGCCATCAAGACAAGAGTATTTAACCTTCCTAAGCAGAAACATACTAAGCATCATCAATATGTCTTTTAACCTAATGTCCTCCACCACATTAACCCTGAAACAGCAGCCATTAGCAGCAGGGAATGAAAATAAGCAGTTGGTATAGTGGCCAAACTCAGTGGAAATTACGTGTTCCTTGCATTCCATTTTTACTCATATGGGGGCAGAGTAAGCAATCCATAGCCACAGGCTAAGGGTTAAGAATAACATCAACCCACAGCCACATAACTAAACAAACCACCATCTGCCTCTCATCACAATCTTAACCAGAAACAAGACATTCATACTTATTTCCCATGAATATTCTCAGTGCTGTGCACAGTCAGGGGGGTCAAGAGTTCACTCCCTCCCAAAATGAAGCAGTGTCGACCCCCAAAAGAGATAAAAGAAAACAGCATCAGACGACCTTGTTTGGAGACTCATTCCTGTGACTTAATTTCACCACAGAGAGCAAACTTTTGCCCACGGCTGTACATATACAGTATGGACGTCTACAAGCGAGAAATAGCAGATAAAGGGATGTCAATTAATACATATTTTATAGGATTTCCTCACCACTAACCCATGACTCTATATGTACCTTATACTCTGATGTTCTGTGCCGGCTCATCTATCCACTCATTATACTGTACTGCCAATTCTAAGAAGTTTCCTCTGTGCATTCACCCACCAAAGTCCTATCACCTTGATCCACAAACCCCATGTTTAAGACTCAAGAATCTGAAGCGTTTACGGACAAAATAGAGCATTAGTGTCTACTGTTTGGGGTTCACGAGTCTGAATCTTGGGGTTCGTGGAGCAGCAGAAGCGCAACAGGACTTTTGTGGGTAACTGTACAGTACATCCTACTTATTACTGTAATAAGCACATAACACAGCTTTTTTTTTTTGAGCCATAGTTCACAAATTTACAGTCTAACATTAAAAGAGACAAACAAAAAACAATCAGCTTAACATCCATTATACAGTCAGTTCTGCTACGACGCGATAGTTGTGTTCTTGTAAAACCTCGCTTAGTAGAAATTTGCACATTAGCAATAACAGGGCTTATGGAGAAAATAAGGTTAGGTGCAGATGACTCGAAATAAAAAAAAATTAGTAGTTAGCCTAACACAAAGGATAGCAATCTAAATAAATGTTACATTCATACCTAATAATGAAATCATACAGAAAATATAACACAGTTAATACCACAAAACTGGAGAAATAGTAAGCAAAAATCACTGGGGACGCTTCAAAACAACCCACGTGTTTCAACTGATCGTGTGATGGAAACAGAGAGCGCGGGTGTAAAACGCTATTAGTCCACACTGCAAAACATTATTTTTATTTATTTTTTTCATACAGTATTTATGGGAACAGTTAAATTTGCAAAAAAGGATGAAATTTATAGTCCCTATCAAATAACACTTCACAAACAAAACACATGAATCAATTGAACATGTGTTGTCGAACATGAACTGTAAACACTGCATAACCCCACGCCAAGCGACAGTACACTTAAAACGTTAGAGTGGAATCGCGTTACAGCCAACACGCGTTGTAGCAGAAATGACTGTACCGTGAAACCTCTATTTAACGGACTATATGGTGAAAGTCCATTTATATCTAGGGTCCATTAGATGTGAAACCCTCATCTAATGGATTATAAGGAGGTATCACTCACTGTATATATATGAAAATTAAAACACAAGACATAAATACTTACTGTGCATAATCTATACATTTCTAATCTTGTCAGATCTGAATCTTGGAAGCATTTATCTAAATCTACAGGTTCACTTGAGCAGTTCGCTGGTACATAATTACTGTAAAGAAAATAAATCATGTAAGAAATCTTGAATTATATTTTCTTCCTTTCAACAAGAACAAAACCCATTACCCAATGTGTCCTTTAACTATAAATCATTAAATCCTCTTCACAGCCCATCACAAACTGGTAAATCACAGCCCTGATTTCCTGATTAAGTTTGACACTGAGATAAAAAAATAACATTATGGATTCTGTAAACTAAAAAATAAATAAATTACCTCAAATACTTTTATGAGAAGAACAACTGCCTTACCCCAACAGTGAGTGTATCTTCTGGGCTAACATACAATTAATTCATTATATATCAAGCTGCAGATGTTAAGACTTACTCTTAAGTTTAGCACAAAACTCAAAATACTTACTCTATACTGAAACAAAAATATCTAAGCTAGCATAACACACTTTCTTACTGTTTCTCCAGCTCTCTACTTTCCATTGAAGTTATGTTCGTTATTCATACCAATAAGATTTCTTAACCCCTCGTGTAATATGACAACCCCTCGAGTGTGGCTTAACCCTTAAGTACAATGTCTATTCCCTTGAGTACAGTACATAGTTATTGTAGTCAGGGGGTTAAGGCATCACAACGGGAAAGGTCTTATCCACACCCAATGAAGCTGAATGGCAGCCACTTTCCTATACTGTACAGAACAATCAAATGATGCCAGAGGTTATTTCACAGATTAACAGCAGCAAAGGGTGGAGAGGCTGTCAGGCAGGAGCTCAGCCATGAACAAAGTTATCTACATGAAACAAAATAACCAATAATACATTTGACACTTACCAAATACTATCTCTGAGAGACTTAGCCACGGCAGCCTCGTATATAGCCAGGTCTCCATAGAGGTATATACAGAGCACAATATAAAACACTTTATCCCACACTGTGAAAGATAAACAACACACTACAGGTTAAAAGATAAGTCCAGGTACTGATTCATAAATAGTGTAAAGACAAGTTCTTTAAATTTTTGGGGGGTAGTACAGTCATTTGTATTTAAAGTCGATAATAAAAAAATATAAAAAAATGTATCACCGGGAAATAATAAAAATGCCAAAGAGAGATATGAGTTAGGGGCCAGTTGGTCTTGGGTGTCCTACAGTGAAGGAGTAGTAGCCACAGAGGGTGAATTATCTTATCTTCCGGTGATCTCCCACACTTTCTCCACCCACATACTATTATTATTATTCCTATGCCTATTCTTCCCATTCACTCCCTTCTTAAATCACTTATAGAAACCATAGGTGATAAGTAATTTGCATTAGAAAAGTAATTAAAATTATCAAGATGTCATTTGAATAAGTAATTATACAGATTTAAAATTTTAGACAACAGATCCTCAATCAGCATGTTAAGGAATACATATAATGAGATTTTGAACAAAATCGGTGAGATCAAGAATATGGCCAAAACAGTAAGCCTTATAGGATTTTAGGGCAAAAACTAATTTTCTCTCAGAAATGAAATCTAATGCATCGAACTACTTAAGTACATCAAGAATAACAAATAACACCAAAAAATTACTTTGAAAAACCAGGGTTGGCAAAAACCATTGGTTATAAAAATAAATGAACCAAAAATGTTTTAAGTACAGTATTTGTAGCCCTTTTTATAACTTATTATGCTATTAATCATTAACAAATTTGGAAAACATAAACTCTGATCAGTCATCCAGACAGTATACTAGTTGGAGCAAGAGAGAGAGAGAGAGGGATGAACAGTGGCAACTTGGCTTCCCTGGACCCATATAATACATGATCTGAGCACATTAGAATCAGAGACTCAGAGCCCAGCCATAAACAGAAGCAGTCACTAGTTAACCTGGACAGTGACAACTTGGCTCCCTTATAATCAGGATTCAAGATACAGTATGTGCAGCCCTGTCAGAAAGCTTGTTATCACCACTTTCACCAGTGTATAATAGTTCACATCATCCATGTCTATACTGAACAACCATGGGGACATAACACATCCCAGTCTAACACCCACATTTATTTAAAATGTTTCTCTTTCTTTCCCATTTACTCTTACTGTTGTCCTGCTGCTCTCATAGAATACCTTTCCTCCATTTAATAGCCTTCCTCCCACTTGTAATACCTCCCACAATGCTTTTCTGTTCACCCTATCACTTTCCCTTTCCAAATCTGTAAGTAATAAAACCCAACAAAAAATTATTAAAACCAAGAAACAAGGCATAGATTATAAAGTGCATACAGTCCTATGAATAGTAATTACAGTACAGAGATATGCATTTAAATTATCTATGCACCCACAATTTTATATAAAATAGTGTACATAGAGACATATATTAAAGAATGACAAATACACACATCTATATTCAATACTTAACTACAAAACTAATGTATAATGTCTTACCTTTAGGATAAAATAATTCTGCCATCTGCCCCATTTCAATCTGCTCCTGTATGGCATAGTATTCCCCCACTGTTCTCTCTATCACTCCCTCTGAAGACAAAAATAAAATGAGAATCAAGAATCATATATGAACATAAATCTGAAATAATTAAACTCGCTTAAAATATACAAGGAATTTCTGAAGGGCAATTAACATGAGTATGACACTGGAAGAAAAATAACTGTTCAAGCTTTGTCAACAAACATACATACAAAAACAAAACAAATTACATAATACCTTTTTTCTTCCCCGATCACTCTGAAGTACCTCTGTCCTGGCTAAAATATAATTCATTCCCTTATCTATAAGTCCCATGCAACCAGCCACCAACACACACAGAAAGAGGCACTAGTTACTCCTCACCAGTTATCAGCGGCGACTCTTCCTCGTTTTCATCCTGGTCTTCCGATGTATCCGTGCATCGTTGATCGGCTTCAGCATTTTCTAAGGTACGACTCACCAACTCATCTGCAACCTGCCCACGCTGTAATACACCATGAAATTAGTTTTGTCTCACAACTACAGCTCGAATGCAGACACACTGTATTCTTGCGTACTTGCTTTTAATATGCCTGAAGTATAATACAATAATAAACAAAGCACCATAACTCTAGCAGAAATCCACACACTGTAGAGATGAAGTCTATGAAATGCACACAGTAATATCCTTTACACTATATCTTTTATCTAATGAGTGGCATCAACCATGAGACAAAGCTCATCTCTGAAGCCTTAACACTTCAGGAGTTACCAGATCCCCTAAAAACCACTGATACCCCCTGTATTAATAAAACTTTTCAAGGATAAACAAATAATCCAAGAGCATAACACCTCCACACTATATTGTTAAGGCCAGAAGGGATCAGACACATTACAGTGAGGCATTATTGGCTAAGAGGCGAGATGACCTGTCCCCAGTCTCCTCAGGGACTTAAACTAAACTTAGGTTCTCAAAAGATGCCACTTTACTATATGTGAAGACAGAGTAAAGGATATTAGCCTTTCATCTGAATTTTTCATTAACACGTTGAGATTTGTGAGTGTGTGTGTTTGTGTGTGCTTGCATGTGCACATTTGTAAGCATGTGTGTAACAGTATATTTGTCTGAGTGTACAGTCTGGGTCTAAAGTTCACTCCCTCCCAAAATGAAGCAGCATCGACCCCAAACGAGATACAACAGTCAGGGTAAGTCAGTTCAGAGACTCATTCCTGTGACTCAGTTTCACCGCAGGGAGCAAACTTTTGTCCCCAACTGTACATGTACAGTACAAGCAGCGTACAAATTTGTGTATTATTTGTCCATGTGAATATTTAGCACATGTATGTACAACTTACCAGTAAGTATGTATTAGTTTATTTATGTATGCACGTATGAAAATTTGTACATTGTTTGTGTATGCAGTGAGTAAACAAGTGCACCTATGATTGCAAGTACAAAACTTTGTGCATTACTTGTGTGTGTCAGTGTGTGTGTGTGAGTTTGTGTGTGTACATAATAGTGTGTGTGTGTGTGTACTTAATAGCATGTGTGCATACAAATGTGCATTCATGCACATTTGCATACTATATGCAGATACATTAACAGTGAAGTATGAGTATATCTGTAGGTATATGTGCATGTGCATATCATGTGCATTGCATACCTGTAATCATGTGCTTGTGAACAGCCATTCGTGCTACAGGTACAACCATACACTGAGCATATGCAATTGGATAAATGTCATTACTGGTCAACAAACCCAAAATAAATATATTATTGACAAGTGGCAACTGAGGGGCAGGAGGGCACACCTTGGGTCACACACCAACGTGGACGGCCACCAGAGAATGCTGGCACATCAGTCACGCTACAGTAGTACAGATAAATTACTGCGACTTATAAATCACAAATTACTATATGCTCATTATCCCGGGTGTGCTTACAGTGTCAACAAACTTAACTGGGCGTAGGAGGAGCAGTTACCTGAACTGTGTGATAAAACTGCAAAACAACAAAATAGAGTCAGCTCTCATTGTAAGGAACCCTTCTACTGCAGCAATGAAAACATGATTAATTTATACCCATTTAAATCAAAGTCAAGTCTATCAGTAAAGATTTCATTCAGTGTCTTGTCTTGACTCATTAGTAACAGCTTATCAATTCCATCCTTTCTGTAAACAAATAATATCAATAAACACACAGAAGCTGAATTTAACCCAAAAAATAAATAATATAATAGGAACATATAGCTGAAAAACCTCATTTCTATCACTATTTACCAACACACCATTATTAACCTGACAGCAGCTAATTTTAAACTGTTTATTTACACACAGCAAGTTCATGGGTAGACATAAAAGAGATCATTCAATAACACAAGCTCTCATGCTCCTGGCTAAAGTAACTGACATCATGCAGATATATTTAATAACAGAATCCATCACTCATCAAATCCATTAAAAACCTACGCTAACAAATTTCATATAACAGAACAAAAATCCTTATAATTTTCATATTTAGATTCAATTCATTTAAAATATCAACTTACAACTTCATAATAATAATAAACTCTTAATATTTAGGTACACAAATTCAGTTTATCTTAAAAATATACCTGTGCAAATTATGCCTTAAGATGTGCATCAGGTTTATCATATGAAAAGAGAACACCGACCAATATTCACACCTTATGAGTGAGTGTTTTACAAGGGTTCGGTGTTCTCTAGTTAGGTGCAGTGAGGATGGAGATGAATGATGATGGTGTGTGTGTGTGTGTGTGTGTGTGTGTGTGTGTGTGTGTGTGTGTGTGAGTGATGGCCAGGTATATGGCAAAGAGTTTCTATGCACTAGTCAGCAGATCACAAGATAAGAAAGAAAGAAGTCAAGATTTTTTAACTCAATAAAATCACACTGTCGTAAAGTTAAGCTATAATGAATAAAACACACAAATGGTAAATTGGATCGAGTCGAAATCATATGCACGGTACTGAGATGCAGTCTATAGATATAACCACATTCCTTTACTTAACAGGAGGGCTGGACAGTGCAGTACTTCCACATACTTCACTCCTGATTAATTCTGTCAATTCATGTATATACCAATTTTCCATTTGAGTCATTTATATATCAAAATAAAAAACATGAACACAATATGTAGAGAGCAAAGGAAGGAATAAAGGAGAGGATGGGAAATAAGCAGAATGGAATGTCTCTCAAGTCGACCATTAAAAAATTCTCAATAGTAAAGGTAAGGAAAACAGACAATGTACAAATTTATATCATAAACAGGTAAGAATGGAGGAGAGTAAAGAAGGAAATAAGAAAACGAAAATAACAAACTGATAGACGGAAGGTAAAATTTGCAGCCATTGTGATGTAAGATAAATTAATTCTGTACATCTATTATATAAACACTTCAAAATGATTAAGCCATTCGTATAATACACGGTAACGAAGAGGATAAAAGTAAACACCCCAAAGGCAGCATTAGGGTGGTCAATCTTCAGGTGAAATAAGCTGGGGTGCCTAATCTTCAGATGAAATGATCTGGGGTGCCTAATCTTCAGATGAAATAAGCTGGGGTGCCTAATCTTCAGATGAAATAAGCTGGGGTGCCTAATCTTCAGATGAAATAAGCTAGGGTGCCTAATCTTTAGGTGAAATAAGCCTAATCTTCAGGTGATCCAATAAAACTCGAGTGATATTGTAAATGAAAATAATATGTAATAAACAAAATCACTCTTCACGAAAATTGACACACACGCGCACATGCACACACACGCATGCACGCACGCACACACACACACCACGACAAATTATCTCATCACTGTAATCCAAATGTCCATAAACTATAATTATCAAACTACACTACACTATTTTTATTTTCATATACCCGGTATACCCTGATGTCCTGTACACAATATACCACCCATGTCTGTCACTATCTGCTACACATCACTCAGCCGCACAACCTTACAAATTTTATGGCAGTTAACTTTGCCTTCTGGCTCAAAAGATACCGGATATATTTCTTTAAACAAATCAGGTTTAGTTTACAAACATCACAACTACTACTAATTTTACTATTACTACTACTGTACTATGACTACTACTACTGCAATGACTACTATTACTAATAATAATAATACAGTCATTACAGTGGTCCCAAAATATCTGAGTTTTACACTAAAATAAATGTTTCCCTGAGGCATGTGGCTTATCTCATCACCAAAAGCAAAATAACATAATCTAGACTCAATCATGTACACAGTAGCTTCATGCTTCCTTACCCAAGCCTCACTAACACCAGAGAACCAAGCAAGGAGGCATTGGTATTACCGGTCTTAGTAAGGATGTCACTAGTACCAGTACACCAATCCATTTCTCAACATTTTGGAATAATTGCTTCCTATGATGCTCCTTCCTCAAGCTTCTTGGGAAATATCTCACTGATGTTTCCAGCCAATAGGAGACAAGAGTTTGGGTAATAAAAACAATGTAGACAGGTAACACAGAGAAAATATGTGGCCCATGACTGAGGAAAGGTTACCCATGCCTGCTGTAAGCCTTCAAAAGGATTTACCTCACCAAAAACAAGCCATCAAAGCTTTTATAAGACACAAATTACCCGGTAATATCTTTTAAGAGATTTGCAAAAAATATAAATGTGCCCAGTAGTGACAGACAACCTATGAAGTCTTATGACCACTGAGAAGGTTGACTGGGTGAAGGATGAGATGAGATGAGATGACGAATGTTGGGTGGTTGTTTTGCCTTGATGAGCTGAATAGAGTAGAGGATGTTTAGCTGGTATTGGCATAGAGAGTTCCTGCCAGCTGAGAGACTGATAAGAGAGAGTTACGATAACACGGTCGATGGTATGAGAGAGACAAAAGGACAATGGGTGATATGGACAGGTTGTTTCGGTCAAATAGTGAGGTCAAGTTTGATAACAGTATACAAGGATGATCGTGGATTGTGTACAGTGTGGAGGTCATTCTGTAACTGGTAGTATTAAATAAGCCTCATAATCAAATATTCACGGTGAAATACTAAGAAACATTTACGATCGATGCCAAGTTTAACCGATTCACTTTGTACGAGGAAGTGTATGTGTGTGTAGGTGGATCCTGTTTGGCATTTCAACATTTCCTGTGACTTTTTATAATGTACTTTTTCTTACTGTTCTTTCCTTTTGTGTATTTAAACCAAGACCATTCCTCCTTTTTTTGCATCTCTGACCTACACCATATATGTAGGAGCAGAGGAAAGGCAACAGACAGACTGACAGAATAATTGACTATACACAACATTTATATCTGGGTCAGTGAACACATCCAGGTACAATCAACTTCTCTTTAAGTCCATTTGCCTCTCCCCCTCTGAACCACAAACCCAGAGATTCAGACTCATGAATCCGAGGCATTTATGGAGAGAATAATGTATCAGTCCACTGCTTTGGGTTCACGAGTCTGAATCTTGGGGTTCGTGGTACAATAACTGAGAAAGATATGATATACTGGGAACTTTTCTCTGTAGTGAAGAACTGATATGAGAAAGTAGTGAAACTGTGCATAAAATATACAGAAACTGTGTTCATGTATCTGACAGCAAATAGCACATACCTATTACATAATTTTCAGCATTAATATTTCTTAATCACATTTTCAGTTGTCAAGTGTACACAAAAGGACAAAACAAAATTCTAGTAATATTTCAACACACTCACACCACAGTAATCACAAATCACAAATGCAAATTGAAGCTACGGACACCTTGCAACTCCTTTCCTTAAGCAAAAAATCAACCACATCTCATTTTCAATCCAATCAAGAACTTAAACAATGACTGACACACTTACACTGTGATCTTAAACAACAAACGACACAGAGAACATATAAAGCAGCTGTCACGCTAGACACAATAAGGTGGGAAATACTGTGACTGGACACATAAACATCCTTTACTGATAACATGCACACACACACACACACACACACACACACACACACAACACTACATGACACTACACTCGACACACACATCTAAGGTGATACGCCACATCTTCAATTCAATGAGACAAATCATTAGAAATATCAACAAAACACATAAAGGGAATACTTAATTATCTGAACTAATACCTAATAGTTTAAGAAAAAGGAAGTTCTTGCAGATTTCAAGTTGAATTTCAGTCCTCCCTCTCATCTACTAAAGTTTAATCACATCTTTAAGAGGCATTATAAAATATGTCAATTATTCTACTGCCGTGTAACTTCCATCTTACAACCAATCAACTGTTTTAGGCTACAAAATTAACATAGAATTACCATAGATAGTTCCCACTTCAACACACTCACAAGCATGAACCCCCACACAGCGAGAGACTGGAAGAGGGCGAGTGTCTGTGGACAATTACAATTCCAAGACTTCGCTAACAATTCTGAGGGCTACGAAACACAGGATGCAAATGGGAGGGGAAGCAGCAAATGTCTGCAGATGTCAAGGGTCAGGTGGGCGACCAAGAGGATATGTTGCTATCAATGTTAGTGGAGGAGTTTGGAGAAAGTTCTTGATAGATGTGAATAAACTTAAAGTGATGAAAAAAGAAGAGAAGGAAAATATGTGAGGGTGAATAGGAAGCACAGAACATAAAATAAGAAATACAGAAATAAGGAGGAGATGTGGAAATAAGTGAAGTCAGGCAGAACAAGGATGAAAGTCTACTGAGAATGGAAGATGAAGACAGTTCCCATCTAACATATAAACTTGTATCGGAGTTAAAGAGTTATTCAATCTCCTAAAGTATTTGTAATTTATTTAGCCAATAAACTGTACTAGACCATCTAATTAACAGTCACTCAGTCTGAACAAGGAACAAATGTGTCTAGGTGTTGCAAAATTCCTCCTGGCTGTTATCAATACTGTGACCTAAATGACTGCTCTATGTTTCCTTCTTCCCATCAACTCCTTCATAACCAAACCTTAAATCTATCAGGAATCCAATGTTCTTTTAAACCTCTTCAAATTGGTCTTCAAATCAAGCTACCCGTCACTACCTCCTCCAAAGCTTACGGATGGTCTGTCTGCGTGTATGTTTGCAAGATCACGTTCCTTCGTGGACTTTGGGTTGGCTATACAAAGGCACCTCCCTAAACACTTCAACCATATCTGAAACACTTAAAGAATTCTACGGACCCACGTGGCAATCAACTGAACGAAGCAATCACAACTTACTTTACTCACATGCAATTTGGGACATGAACGTTGTCTTAGCGTTAGCACACACATACAAGCTAGCGGTAGCAGAAAGGCAACAGGAGAAGATAGATAAGCACAAGACAAATCAATAAGACAGAATACAGATCATCACCATTCATAGACAGACCAACACGAAGATCAAGAAAGCATGGCAGACTAAGAACCAAGTATTATTGAGTTGTGGGAAGACCAGTGCCTCAGAGAAAACTTACACTATCAATACAAGAAAAAGCTTCCTGTTAATCTTCTCTCGGCAGTGCTTCCATGGCTGACCAAAACCAACTGGCAACTACATAAGCAATTTACATACTAGTGTCTCCGTCTCAAATTGGCCAAGGGTGTGGCAGTCAGGTGGATATGTCTCGTACCCCTTCCATCTTTCATTTCCCAGACTACATTTCCACTTTCATAATCCTCACACAAAAAAAAATCACCTTTCTACTGTACTAATCCTTCTTACTTCACCCTCTATTGTGCCCTGTTTGCTTCCTGTCACTTAAATTATTTTTTGCCGGCCGTCCCTACAGCTAACTCCCACCTATGATGGCCACCATTTAAGACTTAAAGAACAAGCAACTGATAATCAGCCACACTAACATGCACAGTGCTTATCTGGCTCTCAAGACAAAACTGACACAGGCTACATGATATAGGCAGAGGCTCATCAAGCTTACAGGTACAGTACTGTGTGAGTGCATGTGTACGTATAGCATGAAAGCTTAAGTAAGACACAGTCAGTCATCAATCCATTTACTCAACTATATTTTGCCTTCCTCAAAACAAGAACTTTTCCTTCTCATTAAGGGATACATCCAGGATTGAGAGGTTTATGCTGTGGAGCGTAAGAACATCTAACTTATGTGCACCAGGACTCGTTAAAACACTACAGTTACTCGTACTTAACAGGAGTGCAAGAGGCGGTGGGGGGGGAGGACCATAAGTTACTATACATTCTGAAGTAGACTCATAATATTGGGACAAATTAATAAGTGCCATACCTGTATAAACTTTACCTTTTGAAAATACCGTATGTGATATTTTTGTTATCACTGTTTGATGTTCTTTAAGGGAATGGGAAAATAGTTTAAATTGCAAATCCAAATGAAAATAGATTACTTTCTACTCTTAAATATGTGCAGTTTAATAACCAAACCAGTTGACTGAAAGAATTAACTTGGATGAAAATTTTAGACACATCAGAAACTTCCTTTGAATTCAGTCACTGCCGGTACTGTACTGTAACTAAGACAGTTCTCTCATAACCTTTCAGTACCCAGTAATATTTATATGGCTCTAAGGTGCTGTTCTTCTGATTCCATTTCACCTTGTATACTCAGCCAATCTCAACTCCATTATGGAATACAGAACTGTTTTGTGAAATTTCAAATTAGATTAATTTTGTTCAGTAGGAGTTAAAACTTTTTAAATTGTACAGTATTTGTAAATAAAGTGGCTCACATTCCTGGTTAATTAGTTTGGGGGAGAAAAAGTTCATATTTCATTAATAATGTTCGAGGTGATACTGTACATAAAGTTGAGTTGTAATACAATACATATACTACTGTTTCCTAATGTGTTCCTTCTATAATTATCCAGGATTAAAATGTTTGGAACCATTTCTGTAACTTCTGAATAAGTTCCACTGGACAGTATTTTCATTAAAGAAGTTCAATTGAAGTCTTGGTATTGGCAGCACAACAGAGCCGTACATTATCAGCCAGAACATTACTGGGCAACTTGATATACTGTACTCTAGAACGTAGAATGTACTGAACAGTATTGACATTTTCAAGGGAAGGGGTCCATAAATTCATGTGTTCGGTGAGTTTTCTTATGATACAGTATTTGAAGACCAGAGCCTTGTCTTTTTAATAATGATCTCTTTCTGTGTGTGACTTACTATATTAAATGTAAAAAAATATATATTAAAAAATCCTTGCATTAACTAATGTCATTGTTAATGACTAAATTCAGCCATGATTTGACCGAGTGAGAAGGCTGCCTGTAGGAAAAATTTACCCAACGGTGAGAGTATCTATTACTGAACACTTCAACACCTTCTGGCTGGGACAGACTCTAGCACGGAGAGTTTTACTGAATGGTATGGAACACAAATGTCACTCACTGAAGACCTACAGTATTATATAGGTTGTAAAATATATTAACTTATTAATTAATGTCTGGCTTGATGATAACATAATCCCACACACCTTCACCTCACGTCTGTACCAATAATGACTTCAGTAAACAGAATGGTTTGTATGTTTCACTGAGAAAACATTGTGTGAATATTTCTCCATGACAAGGAAGAGACAACAAGCTTCTAAAAGGCATTCAGGTGACAGATGGGGAGAAACAACAAACAGTCAAAGTACAGTAATGCAAAAGAACAGACAGCAGTTAAGGAAGCCCAAAATACCAAAACGGATGTCATCGAAGTCAGGGGGTCGTTAGCTGCGTCCTGGAGGCATGGTGAGGTAGTGGCAGTACAGGTGGCAGTGAAGGTGGAAGCAGAAATGTTGGTGGTTGTGCATAAAGATTGTAACAAGGTGTCTGCTGATGGTGATGGAGGTGGGGAAATGTGTTGTAGGTGATGGTTTTGATAACGGTGATGATGGTCTGGAGAGGAGGCAAAAGGCACCTTCTTGAGCTGTTTCATCCGGCGCCAATGGTTGATAGCGTTGGCGCAGGCCATGCTCTCCACCACCCACGTTGTCGTCATGTAGCTGCAAGAGATGATCAACTCTTAATGGCAGTCCACCATAACTTTAAATGGCAACCAAAAATAACTTTAAATGGCAACCCACAATAACTTTAAATGACAACCAACAATAACTTTAAATGGCAACCCACAATAACTTTAAATGGCAACCCACAATAACTTTAAATGGCAACCAACAATAAACTTAATAAAAATATGTAAATATTAAACTGTACAGAACATACAACTTCTCCATCAAACCAACTACAATTACAACAGTTAAAATAAATACTTAACAGACAAAACACTGACAGATACTACTCTAATTATAAGAAATCCAGATATTTAAATCCCACATGAATCAAAAACAAAAAAGTATATTAATCTGTTTAAACATTAACAGCCAGTGTAAACAGTAAGACCTATGATGTGTTTTTAAGTATCAGAAAGCACGATCAATAGGAATGACTTATAGCCTTCAGTAATAACAGTACAGTATACATGTGAGTATAACCATATCATTCCACCGTTAATTTGTGTACGTCATTTCCTTATTTTAATCAACCAGTTAGTAAAATCCCATACAGTACATTACCAGACAAGGCTTACAGAGAAATAGTCACAGTACGGATGCTCTTTGACACACAATGTGGTAAGGATTATGAAAACGGTATTGTGTAATGGAGAATTTTGGTGGCGGACACACACACAGTGACATAACACCTTGTAACTTATATCCTTTTGTTGTTGACTCTCTGTGATGGCTCTTCTTAATCTTTATTTTCTCCTGTTTCGTCCGTCTCTTTTATGTTTTCTCTGTTATCATCATTTTTCATATTTCCTTCTTATGTATTTCTTCTTTTTATCATTTCTATTTTGTTCTATTTATTGTTCACCCCATTTTTTTTCCGTTTACGTTATTTTCTTTTGATTACCTTCATACAAGAACAAATATACAAAGACGTCATTCAGTGTAGCGGCGTCAGTCAGTGGGTCTTAAATTTCTTACACCTCAATAAGAACTAAACGGATCTCCTTCATATTTGGAAACAACCCTTAGTATTGTTAATTTCATCTTAGCTCTGACATTTGAACTTCCATAATGTGTTTTTCGACTTGTGATCTTACACCCTATGTCATTTCACTGAAAGATTTACATTATACTAATGTCGTTTTCTGTCCTGTTTGTTTTGAGGGTATTTATAAAAGGTCACTGTAGCATTTCCTTCCAGTGTTAATTCTGACCTTTGATCATGCATCTCAAATTGGTCAGGTTCCAACTATACGATTCTCCGACAGTAATTGAAAAAAATCTCTGGTTGTTTATATTTACCTTTTTTTTAGAGAATAAAGAGTAATTCAGGTGGACTTTAGAATCAAACGCATATTGTGAAGGAGGAAATGAGAGAGAGGAAGAGAGAGGTTCGTGGAAATGTGATAAAAGTAACGTGAGGAGGAAGTTATGGTTGGGTAGTCAGATGGTTAAACTAGGCTGGCAGCGTCGGGCAGAAAGCTTCATCTGTCAACCCACCACGCTAGGAGGTGTAATATGTGGAGCTACTACACCAACACAGTACAAAAAACCAGGGTATATAATAAGTACAAACTACACAGCTTGGGGGGTAGAGCGTGTGTTGGTCGTGGGAAGCTTAGGGGAGCAGGACTCGAGGTGGAAGGGGGGGGGGGTAGAAAGGGACGAGTAGGGTGCGTGCCCCGTGACTCACTCTTGCTTCAGTTTCCGCCACCCCCGTGATGCAACTCTCCCCCTACCCCTGTTAAATCTACCATACCCTGCTACCCCGCCACCACTACCTCCCCTACCCCCAGCCAGCTCTTCCCTTACGATCCCTGAACACACACACACACACACACTGATATCCCATCCAGATTACTTCCCCTACCACCTCCTCCCCCGACCACCAGAGAACAACCAGCCCTCCACATCACCAACACGCCCCCAGCACACGGTGAAGAGGACCTACTGCAAGATAATAATAGTCAATGTACAGACTCTTACCTTCAGGAGTAAGACTTTAGCTAGTTTCAGTGACCTCTACAGCACATATGAGGAATTTGAATTCAACTTTTGTTCCTATTTCAATGTATTTTTTTCTTTAGCTGGCAAGCAATATTTTACTTGAACAAACAACAAAATTCATTCGAGTTATACAGTACACCTTAAGTCATTCACTATACGTGTGTGTAGTTGTTTGGTTGTATTTGGTGGTGATGTGTGTGTGTGTGGCTGCAGCTGGGTCGTGGAGTATGCATGACAGCGGGTCGGGCAGGGCAGCGTGGGGTGAATGGCTTCACTTTACAGTCTGTCATTACCTCGTCATCCACTAGTGACCACCGACAGGAACACTCTGGAGATCTACACGATAACATTTTCCTTCTCAAACGGTGATGAAAGTACCCAGCTATCTGCCTCACATAACGTCCAACGAATACGAGGAGTAAAGATGGCGTTGGTTACAGTGGTGCCTTTATAGTAACACACACACACACACACACACACACACACACACGTTAAGTCAAGTCAGGTTAGGTTAGATTGGTTGGTTCAGCATAATTGACTTGTTAAACATTCTAAATATATTTAATCATTTCAAAGGTCATTAAATAACTCCAATAACTCGATTTGTTTACATTTTAACCCAGATCCACAATCAAGCATGTAACGTAGTACCTTTGTCTGAAACCTGAACAAAATACATGATGTGACCCCGAGTGCCGAAACGCAAGGTCAGGTGTATTCTTTACGTCCGAGTCGCTTCAACCAAGGACAGCCAATGAAAGATGCTAAAAGCTTATTTCAACTGTGTGCTATAGCTATTTCTCTTGTGTAACGAGGACACACTAGGGGAGAGAGGGAAGGAAGGAAGGAGAGATAGGGTAGGAGGGAGAGAGAGAGGAAAGAGGAAGAAGAGTAGAGAAGTGACGACAGATAAAGTAGGTAGTAGGAAGAGAAGTGAATAATGTATGAGTGTGAGGGTGAAGAGGGGGAGGTATAGGTTGACGTGTATGGGGGGAGGAGAGAGGGTGTATGGGGAAGAGGGAGAGAGAGAGAGGAAAGTGTGTAGGGGAAACATAGGCCTACCTTAATCCCTTTGGGGCTACTGCTGCCGAGGGGACACACACACAACGTGATTCTCCCCCCTCTTCCAAGAATTTCTAAGTTAATTTTATAAAACGTAGTGTATGGAGAAAGAGGGGGAGGGAGGGAGGGAGAGAGAGATGAAGGGAAGATTAGGGAAGGAAAGGAGAGGGGTGGTGAGGGGTGTAGGGGAGGAAACATCTGGGGAGAGAGACACAATAAAAACTCGAAATGAATTTATTATTTCTCCACACGTCCTCCTCACCTCAGCAGATATGATGAGGGAGAGGGGGAAGACCTCACCATACACCATCAACTTAACCCCTCACCATCCCCATACACCACCAGCACCTTCACCATCACTACCGCTACTACAAGTACACTAAATATTAACACACACACACGAGGCAGCCTGTAACTTTAATGAGTACTCAGGTAGTTAACTAGAGGCTTCAACACCTGTACCGCTCTGGCTGTCAGTGAGTGGCGCCTCCTCACACCAACTTAAGGAGGGAGAGAGACCGATATTTCCTTTACTATATAAAAAGGTAACCTGTTCCCCCTAGTGCTAACCTCATGTATGTATGTATGTATGTATGTATGTATGTATGTATATATGTGTGTATGTATATATGTGTGTGTGTAGAACCTGTAGAGGGGGTAACACCTTAGTCCTTGAAAACCTGATCTTCACAAGGAATAAAGATATACCAGATTTACGATTTAATTTACGAACTATAAAACAAGAAAAGGAAATGGTATATATTTTGTCACTAAGTTTTCTAAATTTACCAGTAACATCAAACGCAAAAATACACAAATGTAAGGAAAAAAATATACGATACTCGAATGACCTTTAAAATTACTCGTTTAAAGAAGAGCAAAAACTGATAGCCAAACAAAATGCAGATTAACATGACTTCCAGGAATTATTTTGTCTTTTAGTTAAAACCTTCAGTCCGGCATCGCCCACTGTAAGATTATCTGAACATGTGATCCACCAAGCTGTCGTCATCGTCTCTCTTAGCCATGACGTCGTAAAACCCCAGTCCCAAGATTGGTCAGTTCCAACAAGTGCGTCACAGATCACGTGGTTAACTCCTTGCAACTCGCCCACTTCTCAACAGGCCCTCCAGATTTGGGAGATGACGTCACGAACCTATGCAGACATTGGCTAAAACCGAATATCACGTAATCGAATCTCTACAGTGATTGGTTGGAACCATGAATCACGTCACCGATCAAGAGGGATCACCAATATTGGCGGGAAGTTGAGGACTCCTCAAACAACGCCCCCCTCCCTCTTATCATTGTGTTGGTGACTATGCAAAAGTGTTTATTAGCCGCACAGAAAAAAATCGCTCAATTAATTTCTATCTTGGTCACAGCTCTTAAAAGTAAAATAATATTAAAATGAAAATCAATACTACAAGGGATGGAAACCTATAAATGATGTCACTCCGCACGTCGTCCAAAAACAAGGGAGCATCACCCCTGCCCCGCTGTACCCGGCCAGATGTGAGTGGCGACAATAAGACAAAAACGCGCTCTCTCTCACACACACACGACTGCCTAACACACCTGGTAAAGTACAATAATTCTCAGGAAACCTCACTAAATCATTAATAATATTCCTCAAAATAATACACATACATAATACTTCTCATTACACATATTTCTCATTACTAATCCACCTGTAACTACCTTGCTCTCAATATCTCCCCACAAACTAGTACTGCTCCACGTCAATTATCAAATGTGCCAATATATTTTTTGCTATAATCGGGTCAGTGGTTCTAGAGAGGTCAGCAACTCCCAAGCCTGTGTGTGTAATATTCATGGCACTTTTAACGATATCTCAATACAAACGTGAACTGCTTTCCTTTATATTCACGTAAGTTCAATTGATGCCAAATCGCATAAAATAT